TGAACACGGAAACAAGTGCAAGGTGAAAAACACACAACAACATAGGACGAAGGTGCAAGCTGGCACGTATCCTGTTCTCTCAAGTATAAGGCACGTATCCTGTATCCTACATGAAGGGGCCCGGGATTGTTCCGCCTTTTCAATTTTGGACAGGGACGAGGTCGAGTTGATACTATGTATAGTGTGTATCGTACATGAAAATCATTGAAAATCTCTTTTGGGACTGCTGGAGGTCTTGTAAGTCTTCGAAAAAGGTGGAAAGGCAAAAGTCCAAGAGGCACGGAAGAGCCACAAAAAGAGGAACATTGTGAAATGAAGGGGACAAAGGCAAAGGGAGTAGAAGAAAAAAATGATGAACATGAAAAGGAAGAGCGAAAGGACGAAGGAAAAGGAGCGGACAAAAAGTGAAAAAGCGGAAGAACAAGAAGGAGGTCAGGAAGGAAGCGGTTTTATAGACATTGTATAAACTTTGTTCAGCTTGAATCGGACATGAATCATGACATGAAGGAGTTCTTTTTGGCATGGTTGGAGTGCCACATCAGTCTCGGAAATGGACCGGCAAACAAAAACAGAACAGGGGACTGTGGGAGTGCTACTTTCTGCATACATGACTTAGTTTCAAAACCTCAAAATATTTAATTCTAATCACCAATCACACATGAATTAACTTGTGAAACCTTATCCTATATTAAACACACACACCAAAAAAAAACTATGTCCCAGCCACTTATGGACCCCCGTTGAGTGTTTTTTGTGTTTTGAGTCTTGAGTTTTTCTTTGTGTGTGTGTGTGTTTTGTTCTCTCCAGGCCTTTTGCAACTTCTGCCCCAACTTGTCAAAAGACAAAACAAAAGAAGGCAATGGAGGTCCATGAGTGGTTTGGACATAGGGTCATAGGGTTGTTTTTTGGTTTAGTTTTTGTTTGGTTTTATGGACGTTTTTACTAATATTACCAAAGGACAGGAGCCATTGTCCATGTCTGCTCAGCCGCACCTCATGGACATCATCCAGGTGCGCATTGTTTGCTGATTTTCTCATGGTTTGGACACCTTCCCAGAAAGTTACTTGAAACCATGGGAGGAAATACAGCACAGCCAAGACTTGAAAATAGAATCAGCAAACAAATTTCAGCATGTTTTTTTCAAAGCAAAATCCTTCAATACATGCCTTGTGCAGCAATATGTGTTCAAAGAATATGACATGTCTTGCATAAAGTCACATCATTACGTGCATAAAGCGGCATCATTTTGCACAGTCCTCTTAAAAAGGGAGTGTAGTGTAGTTTTTCTTTGAAAGGAATCTCAAGTCATGTTCAAAGCGACAGCTTATCAAAGTTCTCTTAAAGAGGTAAAGGAATCTATGGAAGAAGGACAGCAGCATTTCAGAATTGAATCTTTTGAGTACCTATTCTTAATAATCATTGTATTCCTTAAGAAAGTGTTGGTGCGGGTATGCTAAAAAGTTGCCTTGATAAGGCTGTGAACCATTTGATTGAAAAACAGGCAATAATATGAAGAAAACCGTTACTATGAAGTAGAAGTGTACCTATAATATGTTTAGAAAGAGACAGGTAATGACTACAACGTATGAAATATGGCCTTTCATATGAGTGAAACAACCGAAAAATACAAGCACCATTATTTAAAAAAAACACGTTACAAACCAATGTCATGCAGAAAAATGGGAGCGAGGCTTAACTTCATTGAGCACATATTGCATTTGTTCACATATTGTATTTCTGCAAGAATATTGTTTTTTGTTTCAGGGATTATCTTGTCTTCAAAGCAATTAATTATTTCATATAAAGAAGTGAAGTTTTTCCTTTAAAAGCACATATCATGCAGAAAAATGAAAATGAGGCTTACCATTGAAGGATGTACTGCATCTTTCCACACATTACAGTTTTCTTTCAAGAATATCGTTTATTTATTTAAGGGAATATATGTCTTGTCTTCAGGGCAGGCTGCAACCTGGAAGCAGTATGTTCCTTCAAAAGTAATCGAGTTCGACCAAGGATTGCTGCAATGTGCATCGACCATTGCTCCTTTTGACAGCAATACTGAATGCTTAACTTAATACTACAATGTTTTGGAAGACTGCACTTCTACAGAAACGAACAATGCATGTTTTGGGAAACCTCTATATTTCGTAGGGATACTACTTCTTGAAAGAAGTATTGCATTGCCTTGGACGAAAAATGCAGCTTATGAATGAAAGATATAGTGTGAAACGAAGACATCGCTTCTGCCAAAGTAGCACTATATTTTTACATGAATGCCTCATAATTTGCAAGGGTGATTAAAGGGTTGCATTTGCAACTGTTTCAAAATAGTTTAGCTTGCTAGATCTTACTAGGGTGTGGCAGTCTCACATTGTCTCCCTCCCATCGGCCATTGTAGTGTTTACATGTTTTTACTGTTTTTTTGGTTGGTGGCGTCTTCATTTGGATGAACATTTTGGCAGAGACATTAGGCATGCTGATGTTTATGAACAATTAGCACCAACAACTTGCTGTAAAACTAACAAAAAAACGCACTCCCCCAGTCCCCCGCTCTCAAAAAAAGAGGACATGGAAGAGGCAGAGAAAGAACAAAGTCAAACATGAAAAGGACAAGGAAGAAGAGCAGGAAGAGAACAAGGAACGTTAGTAAAAAGAGGAAAATAAATTATCAAGAGGAAGGAATATGACAAATGAACAAGGAAGAGGAACATGGAAGAAAACACAGGACAAGAACGAGGAAGAGGAATAAGAAGAGGGAACCAAACAAGGGAAAACAAATTAATTACTTTACTTCGAGGGATCCCCAGCATGACATTGTTTTGTCATAATTAATGATATCTCAGTAATATCTCATCTATAAATATATATAGTATATATGGCATATATTTTCTGACATTCTATTCTGGCATTCTTTCTGACATTCTTTTGGCATTCTATTTGGCATCTATTCTGACGTCCTATTTGGCATCCTCTCTGGCATCTATTCTGACATTCTTTTCATTTCTGGCATTCTTTCTGATAATGTATTTGGCATCTATTCCGACATTCTTTCCGGCATCTCTTCTGGCACTTTATCTGGCATTCTATCTGACATCCTTTCTGGCATATGTATCTGGAATATCTTCCGAAATTCTTTCTGGCATTTTATCTGGCATTATATCTTCGGAGTTTCTTCGTGGTTGAGGTCCAGGTGGGAACGCTCTAATCCGGAGCTTGCGGTGGAGGTCCGGCGGGGAACGCTCTGATCCGGAGGTTGCTGTTGGGGTCCGGCGGACGACGGAGGAGGAAGGAGGAGGAAGGAGGAGGAAGGAGGAGGAAGGAGGAGGAAGGAGGAAGGCGGGCTGGCTAACATAAAATCTAACAACCCGCACCTGACAGGTGGGGAAAACGGACAGAACAAACATGAAACAAACAGAACAAGAAGAAACAGCAGTTACAGAAGCTGTGACAAGAGAATCCGTATGTAGGGTAACTTAGTCGTCACTTCTCTGTGGCAGGTAGATGCAGAAAAAAGATTATGAGCACTTCGATTATTAATCATCTTACTTGATTTCAGGACATAAATTTAGCAGCAGCAAAATCAACACTTATTAGTAGAAACCAGGTCTATTTACAATGTATTTTACCTCCTCGAGTACATCTGCAATGGTTAATAGATTCCCAGGGCGCTGTCATGCACATGCCTGTAAATAAACCGAATGTAAATTGTACATATGATAGTTCTCACGGAACGGACGAAATATACCCCAAAGGTCCCCCCCACATATATATATACATACTAGGTATATATATAAATATAATAATAATGTATATATATATATATATATTTACACTATATATACACTATATATCGTATATATATAGTATATATATATTGTATATAAATAGTATATATAGTGTATCTATATAGTACATTAATATAGTATATATGTAGTATATATATAAAGTATATATATATATAGTATTTTTATTTAGTATATATAGTATTTAAATATATAGTATATATATAGTATTTAAATATATAGTATATATATAGTATTTTTATTTAGTATATATAGCATTTAAATATATAGTTCATACATAGTATATATATATAGTATATAAATAGTATATATATATATAGTATATATAGTGTATATATATATAGTATATATATAGTATATATATATATAGTATATATATATAGTATATATATATAGTATATATATATGTATAGAGTATATATATATATAGTATATATATAGAGAGTATTTATATAGTATATATATAGTATATATATAGAGTATATATATAGTGTATATATATAGTATATATATAGAGAGTATTTATATAGTATATATATAGTATATATATAGAGTATATATATAGTGTATATATATAGTATATATATATATAGTATATATATATGTATATAGTATATATATAGTATATATATATATATGTATAGTATATATATAGTATATATATACTATATATATAGTATATATATATAGTATATATATAGTATATATATAGTATATATATATATTATATATAGTAAAGTATATAGATAGTATATATAAGGTATATAGTATATATATAGTATATATATATAGTATATATATTTCAGTGTATATATATAGTATATATATATAGTATATATATATAGTATATATATAGTATATATATAGTATATATATAGTATATATATATAGTGTGTATATATATATAGTATATATATAGTATATATATATAGTATATATATATAGTATACATATAGTGTATATATGTAGTATATATATAGGATATATAAATAGTATATATATAGGATCTGTATATATAGTGTATATATAGTGTATATATATATAGTATATATATAGTATCTATATATAGTATATATATAGTATATATATATAGTATCTATATATAGTATATATCATATGTATATACATATACATGTACATTATATCCATTTATCTATCCCCATGATTCCCTATGAAAATCCCCTCAGCCGCAGCGAGGTACCTTACGGCGCGCGAGGCCAGCGAGACCTTCCGGCGTCTTGGCGCGCTGTCGGCCGTTGGCTCGGCGCTCTTCTTCGACGCCATCTCGGCCAGCTATGTGCGGCAGGGGATCGTGCCGTGGCGCCAATGAGAATGGAGAAATAGTGGGATGAATCATGCTGATTTAATGGGATTAATAAATGAAATAGTAATCTTTGATTATATTTGATTGTTATTGACTATTTGATTATTAATTCGTATTTATTATATTTTATTGTATTTTTTTAAATAATAATAGGATTTAATGTGATGATTGTGGGATGGTACCCTCTGGTTTCATCAAACATGGCAAGCTGGGAAATTTTCGAAGTAGCCATGGAGATAAATGGATTTACCATAGCCATGGAAGTCATGGCCCCAGTGGCCCCATAGAAATAGATGATGAAAATGATGATTTACCTGTTAAAACTTGTGATTTTCCACAGCACGTTAAATAACGGGAGGGTAAACACTATGGATCTAGGGGGTATTGGGACAGGGACTGGTCCAATTGGTTTCATACGGTTTTATGGTTATTTCAGTGCGGATTTTTGACATAACATGTTGGGATATGGGGAAAAATCAACATCCTTTAGCTATATGGTTAGATATCCACTCATAGTAATTTTCATAAGCAAGAACTGAGGTTCAAGACACAAACCACACTTGGATTTGAAAAAAAACATGGAGACGTTTACCACGATACGCTGAACCACAGGCATTTTTCCGGGAGCAAATACGGGGACCCGATGTCAAGGTTGAAGCCTGCTTGGGCAGTTTGCGGGTAATAGCTATGACATGATATTTTTCCGTGACGCCGTGGTGATTCCCCTCCATTTTTGTTGGGATTTTCTTGGGTCCCAACATGGCGATGATGAAAAATCCAGATTTTTGTCTCTGCTGAGTCGATGATGTTTGAAGCATTGAAAGCAAACTATCAGCCATGGATTTCCGACCTTCAAACATGGGGAAAAACCATGGGAAACAATTGGATAAATTATTGGATAGAATTGGAATAACATATGGGTTTGTCTGGAAATGATGGGAAAATAACCAACCCCACTTTGATATTTATAGTAATGCTATGTAATGGTTATTTCGTTTATTCAGGGGATATGAATGATTGATGGGATATACAAATCTCATCAGCCGGGAACTATATAATACTATATACATCTGCTAGCCAGGAGACATGATGCTGTCAATTGCCAACTACAGTATACAAATCCAACTAAACTTCTCCATTGGACTGAGATTCTGCAGACGAGGGGTTTGGTCCCGCAAAATTCTTCGAGGGTAGGGTGAACAAGTTTGGTAAGCGTGGAGAAGCCAACACTATGTACTAAAGAATGCTCTGTGACATTTTGCTACAGCCTCGAAGTTCACAAAAAGCGTTGAAAGATGATGGGAGTGTTCTCACAGTATCCTCACTGCAGCCCTTGGTTGAAGAAGCTATTCAAAACCCCCGATTTATATCGATTTATACTGGCAAAAAAAAAGCAGCGCACACAGACACAGCAAGTTAAACCAAGGCAGAGATCCCCAATGTTGATCCACCAATTGTGCAAGAGTTGTATCATTCCGCAGGGGAATCCTCCGGGACGTCCCTATTATTTGATGGCAAGAACTTTAGGGGTAAATCCTCCATCAGACACAATAGTGTCAGTTGTAATCATCAATTTATCAGCATTACTTATTACTATTTCCCATATATAAGACCATGGTTTCCCGTTAAAAAGAAGTTCAACTTTGTTCAGCGTCAGGTGGTGGGTGGCGCTCCATTTCTGGGTGGCTCTGACCGCTACGGTGATTGGCTAAGAGATTTGGCCTCTTTTGGAAGCACGCAGGTGGGATGTGCATGGATCTGCTGCAAAAAATACCGTGAAATAAACAGATCCATTTTTGTAGACCAGTTTGGGGGTCTGAAAGATTGGTAAAGGGATTGCCACAAAGATTTGGAGATCTCTATTTCCCCTGAATCAATGCAAATCAATGTAATTTTATGTTAATCTATGTACATTTCGTTAATCAATCTATAAATTGATGTAAATCATCTCATTTCATTTGGGTCTTTTTGATGCCAGGGTACCAATAAAGCCAGGCTAAAATGCGGAGCATTTTGGGAGTTAGCCATCCATTTTTGGATGGGGGTGTCCTAAGCCATGGTTAGAATGGGAAAAAACATCTACAAATAGATGATTTGAGGTAATTACCCGTATTTTAGGAAGCCTCCACATCAATCTGAAGTTTGATATTGACTAAGATCCCATGCGAACTTGTTGAAAAGTCGAAAGTGGAGTTTTCCTCCACTTTTGTCGCAGGTGTGGGACTTTGCCAGTTTGCAAGTGGATCGCTGGAACCGGCGACTGAATAAGGCAAGGCAGGGCATGTCGGACATCAGTTTTTGCGTGACACAAGGGTCTCATCCGTTCCAGTCTGGTGTCCAAGTATAGGGAAACCCAGTCCAAATCAAGAGTCAGAAGCAGTTGATTGAGTTGATAGAATTTGTTTGGATTATATGTATCCCCACTATATCCCCATTAATGGCATGATCTGTTTTCGGATCCGTGTTTTCCCGGCCGTTTTTCCCGCTCCATGAGAGATTCCTCGCCCCTTCCTATGGACTTTGGAGGACTGGGCGAGGACCTTGAGCCCAGCCGAACTCTATGGCCGAAATGTGGTGCTCTTTGTGGAGAGTCACAAGGTCTAGGCGATGGTTGTGTAGGTTGTAACTTGTACATGGGACAAGCCAGTAAACTCAGCAGGGAACTTGAGGAATTCACCTGAAATCGTTGGGTTTTGGGCCCCAACTTTGGACAGACCGAAATTCCTGGAGGGGCGGGGCTTTTGATCTGCCAATATGGCAGGGGCAATACCAGGGTGGCCGCCAGCACCCTCCATTCCACACTTGTACTCTTCAAGAGGATTCCGGACTAGAACAAAAAGTCATATTCTACATCAATAAAAGGCCTCAGGGGGGTTGTTTTACTTCAAGTCAGAGTTGAAAGCTTCTTGAGGACCTTTCCTTCTTTCCAAGTTGCGGCAATCGCAATCGCATAGCGCTCGATGAGGCAATCAGCATCAGCTAGCCGCTAGCCATTGTTTGGGTTAGCGAATTCTCACGACCTCACCATGACCACATTTTTTTTAGGGACGGCCCCCTGAAAAGCATTCAAAATCACCTTATCTCAGGTCGGTGAATTGTTGTAATTCAGTCGAGTCCAATGTTAGAAGTTCAGCAAATTATTTTTTTGAGGTATCGCCGCAAATAGGCGTCAATCAAAGACTTTACAGAATATATTACACACAATACACATTATGCCAAGTTCTTAGATTGCCGGCGCCCTCGAGCTCTCGATTGTTGAATGGTTGTTCTCCGGGTAACTAGGGGAACGCCTGGCTGCGATCTGTACAACTTGAGTCGTGCGTAACTGGTTCATCCTTGGTCGGCATGACTTGCGAACCCCGCATGACTTGCGACTTGCAAAATCCCCACTTTTCAGCCACGGACGGATACGAACGGCTTCGTCGGCTCAGCATTTTCGCAACGGCCGCAACGTTGCGATGTTCAGCGCAGATACTCTGCAGATGTAGCTTCTGTACAGACGGCAAACAGGCTACGTTGGCCTGGAAAAAGGGAGGCATCCCCGGTGCAGTGAAACACGAGTTCGTGAGTGAATCCATTTCTTGCCACTTCATGCAACCTTCTGAATCTCTGAAGTTTTTTTCTATGTAATCAGTGTATTAAGTTGAAATTTTATCGACCACAGAAGCCACCAAACCCGGCGTGCCAGGTGGTCCACTACTCTGTTTGGGTAAGCATCATTTGTCTTTGGCAGATCAGGCCGGTTGCCCCAGAGCGGAGCTGCAGATGTTCGGCTTCCATGTGGATTTCTGCCAGGTGTTTCTTACACCAACTCAGCCAAGCCGATGATGGTCCTGCTGTGTCAAAGGAGCGGGAAGAAGTGGCCTCAAGCGGGGCAGATGTTGGATATGTTGGTTTCCCGGTTTCCCCATATCAAACCATGAAATGATGGACTCAGTTTCAGACCATGAAATGACATCAGACCATGCTAGTGGAATCCTTGCAAGTGGCTGGATTCAGAATCGGCTACACATTAAGAATGGATGTTTTCTGAATCGTGATGCGCAAGACCAAATAATCGGCGGGCCAATGTGCAATCCTTATCCACTGATATTAGATACGGACCACTCATCGAAAACCCTGGGTTTAGTGTGGTTTAGCATTGGATGTAAATATGTTTAAAAGAATCGAATATTCATAGGGTTATCTAATATTCATAGGGTTCCTTACCTTCTTGGGGTATCTCATATTATCTCATATTCATAGTGGAAGCAGAATGAACCTTTTTTTCCGTTTGAAGCTCGGTGCTGAACCGCGAACCGCAGGTCTCCATGCTTTGCATTGCCATTCAGGTCACAAGGGAAAGGGGGGAAGACCTTCATGACATCCTTGTGCATCTTGTACTAGATGCAGATCACTCAGACGATATGTATAATTATATATACATATATGCAGCCATGCCAATATATTGAATTACATGTATACAGTATACATTATATATACATATAATATATATATTATATATATATATATTATATATATATATATTATATATTATATATATATTATACACACCATTCTATACGTTATATATATACATACAATATACAGAATCAAATTGTATATACATACACATACATATACATTTAACAATATAAAATTAGTAATGATATATCGTAGACATGTCATGCACTGCACCGATAGAAAAAAATATGAGCAGCTGGTAAACTGATTGATCAGGTTGAATTTCCCATAGGGATGCATATTCACCACATGCAAGCTACTAAGTCATTATGTGTTTTCTTGGGATAAGGATAAGACACAAGAACCAAATGAATGTACCCTCTGGTTATGTAATCAATTGTAATCAATGGCCATTTCAGGAACCTAAATTGGAGGTACCTACCATGTATATCCATAAAATGGTCCATGTAAGGGCTATGTAAAGGGATATACCCCAAAAATATGGCTTTATATGATACAGTACCTCCATTTTAGGATCCTGGAATTCCCATTGATTTAAGGTACTGGTAGCTATGAAAATCATCTAATTTGTTGTTTTTTAATTAATGATATTTTTTTTATCATCTATTTCTATGGCATCCATAGCTATGTTAAGTATCATACATATACGTATAATACATATATATATATATTTTCATTACATTTCCACCATGGCTTTCATAGCTACTGTATGTTAAATCACAAAATGTATATCCCCTTAAGTGGATTATAATCCCGTGAAATCCCATGAAGAGTGTTAGATAGCCAGAGGGTACTAATCCAATAAAATAGAAAGCAGGCTCTGACCGATGCCTATGACTCTTTTCTACATCTTTGCCTCGGATTGTCCTCACAGGACTGCAGGATTTTTCATCTGAAAAAATGGGATCTATTGGATATGGCTGTTTTTTCATGGGTTCCATATGGTTCCATGGTTTCTTTGGGGTGATGGTGGATCGAACCCACACGAGCATTGGCATCAAACGCGATGCTTTTCTCCATGTTTGTTGGGATGCAGCCGATGGGGCAGAACCAAACACATTTGAAGTGTTTTGCCGTTGAATGCCCCTTGCCTTCTTTTTGGGGTCTTCATTTTGAAACCAGTCATTTTATGAAACATGGAACACAATGGCTGACAGGAAGGTAAATTCAGGACGTTGCCAGGAGACTTTCTGCCAAGGGACGCTGTTGAACGATTGCCAAACTGGCTGCTGTTTCAATCTTGACATTTTCCATTTGTCCCGGGATGATGGTCCCTGACTATTTTTTCGTTCCAGGGAGGTTGAAGGCAATCAAAAAACCAGCAATGCACCCGGTCGCTCGGTCCAGCTGGCGCAGTACCTTTTCAACTCGATGTCCATGGTGGCTCTCTTCAAATTTCTCCTTTGCTCGCTTTTGGAGGCGGGCCCCTGAGCTTTACCGTACTTTACCGTTACACTTGTTACAATCCCGTTTCCAGATATGATCATGGTGCAAAGATGTGTGAACGTCAACTTTTCGCTGGGACCTATAGGGAAAACCAAGTAATACTGAAGGTTTTTTTTAAATTGGGAAACGCCCCAAAATTTTAAAAGCCAGATCAGGCGCATACTTGCAGTCGCACAACAACTTGTCGGGTCATCATCAACCTTTGCCAGCTTCGCTCCTGGGGACTATGAAATCATCCATGCCCAAACTGTGCCATGGTGAAGCCGCCGGGTTCTCCGATTTTTCTGGAAAAGAAAGATGGTTTCCCGTTTCGAAAATGATCTACTTCATGGTGGGCTTTCACGGCTTTTCCATATCTATGCTATTTAAAATATAGTTTTCTATAGTTTTTCCATCGTTTTCCATCAGTTTTAATCATCTTTCATAGTTTTTCATAATTTTCCATAGTAAGCACCCAAGTTTTGCTCCTCCAGCACCTCCCTGCACGCAGGCCAGATATCTGCTGATCATCCTAAGGCATCGACGTCATGAAGCCTTCTCGGAGGCCAAACGCCGGTGTTTTTTTTGTGAAAAAAACAGGGATTTGGAGGTTTCCTAAGTCATGGGGTTACCCAAATCATCCATTTTTAGATGGATGTCCTGATGATAAACCATCCATTTTGGGTATTCCCCATTTATGGAAACCCCCAATTTCACACCAAAAACATTGGAAACAATTTTCGGATTTCACATGATTGAATCAACAAAAACTGTGAATTTCTAAGTGAATCAGATGATTTGGACATATTTGGAATGATTTGGACCCGATGGAAGTTTTTGTCTGCAACGATAGGCCAGTGGTGTTGGATTTACAGCCTCAGACTTCATGAATGCGGTGACTGGAATGATGATTAGGTTTGCGCCACTATCCCAACATTAAATGGCTGAGCTTTTCAGCTTAGTGAATAACATACTATTGATCTACTATTATCATTAGTTGTCCAGATGTGTGAAGCAACCACCATGTTCAAAAACGGGGATGCCTAAGAGGCCAAGTGATGATGTTGGGCTGTCAACGAACATGGCGGATCAGTCAGAATGTGTGAAACAAAGATGATTGAATCAAGGGCATGCTATATATATACACTATATATTATACATATATATGGTATCCTTATATTATATACTTGTATATACATGCGAAACACAATCACCTGACATATTTACCACAAAAACCGTACGTGTTGAGTAGCAACAGGACAGGTTTCGACCAATGAAACCGGCAGCTGTATGGAACTGGATCCACACGGCTGAGCCTGACTGCAACTGGTGAATGGGAACATCAAAAGCATTCGTAAATCCAGCTTATTCATAATTTTTTACATGTTTTAACCATATATTTGTCACATTTCTATACATTTGTCTGGTTTTTGTTTAATAAGTTTTAATAGTCAATACCACTATAGTTGTTGTGCCATGATCCCATCCCCAACGCCAGGGCTGGGAAAGCGTCCGTCGGGAGGTGTCGTGGTTGCCGGGGGCCTCTGGAATCCAAGAAGGGGAGTGGTTGAGAAGGGGATTCCCGGTGGATTGTGATCATCCCCCGTAAAAAACAAACTGTATGTGTATATGATTGTATATGTATGTATATATATAATATAATATATATATAATATAATATATATATAATATAATATATATATATATAATATATAATATATATATATATATAATATATAATATATATATAATATAATATATATAATATATAATATATATAATATATAATAAATAATATATATATATATATAATATATATATATATATACATATATGTGTGAATATGTAATCCCCTATGATGATTTATATGATGTGGATCCCACCAATTGTGGCTGGGATACACTCGACCCTATTTTTTCCAATGTTCCGGGGTCAGTGTTATGAAGCAAAGATGGTAGGTACCACTTCTTGTCAGTCAATGGGCCGCTGGGCACAGTCGGCTTCAAAATGGTATTGCCTTGCACGAATACAGCCCAAGATGCGGGAATACAATACTGGACACAGAAAACACGAGCCTGCAGCCCAATTTCCAATCACCAACGCGGTTGGAACCCCTGTTCCCCAGGTAGTCAGGTCTTGGGGTACAGGGATCAAGTTACGTCAGGCTATCATTCTGGTAGGGTTCATTGCCGCTCAGGTACACGCGTTTCTATAGTGCTTTGGTGGTCGGCAGCCTCATGGTGTACAATTGTTTTGCGCTTAGTTACAGTTGACTGGTGACAAATCCGTTTGCAGCTTTCCCTTGACATCTGCACTTGGAACTGGTAGTTTTGTCCTACTGGCCGGATCCTTGTGGTGGTCACCAATTTCAAGAAAACAACCAAGTAAGTATTCAGTGCTTGCGAATTTATCCCCCAATGTCAGGTCAGTTTCTAGATGCAGAATTCGCCAGGAGTCTTCATTTCCTTTCGTGCTTACGAATCGCCTAGAAGTCTTTGCTCATGGGTCTCGTTAGGAATCTCGTTTTTGTTTCCTTGCGAGGCTGGTTTTGAAGGTTCACCGTTCCACCATTAAATATTGCTTCCCTCTCCTGATGCGTGCACTTTGTCAGCCTTTTCCTTCTTGTGACCAAGATCAGAGTATGGCCCAAACACAGGCTACGGATGTTATCCAATGATCGTTTCTGGGCATGTTTTTGGTGACACGTATTCTCACAACCGTGGAGGCGTTGTGATTTTTTCTCTCATGGTACATTGGTGGGGTGGGGTGGGGTGGGCTAATAACGTTCATTTTCTTGTGCACACAGACGTCATGCTACGCTACTGTACGTTCTCTTGCACGTGCACACATACGTCATGAAACGCTGCTGTATGTTCTCTTGCACGTGCACACTTACATCATGCTATGCTACTGTACGGTACTGTACGTCTTCTTGCGCATGCACACTTACGTCATGCTCTGTATGTTTTCTTGCACGTGCACACATACGTCATGCTACGTCATGATCCCTCTTCTCTTGCACTTGCACTTGCACTTGCACTTGCACTTGCACTTGCACTTGCACTTGCACTTGCACACACACACACACACGCACTTGATGCTACGTTGTGATTTCTTCTCTTGCACTTTAATGCCAAGTTGCGATATCTTGTCTTGCACTCGCACAGACACGGGACGCTACGTTGCGAGTTTTTTTCTTGCACTTTCCAACATATCTCACTTCTTATGTAGACACTTGTTTTATTGTTTTATTGTTGTATCTTTCTGTCGGTGGTTAACTCAAGAAGTGAATGGGCTCGGAAGGTGGTGCAAGGCAAAACAGCAAATCGATCGCTGTTGGAAAGACATATATATATATATATGTATGTATATATATATAATGCCCCAGTCAGATGAAAGAACAGCACCGGACCGACCCTGAATGGTAGATTCTGAGACAGAATCTGCCAATGGTTCTTCAGACACAATTATTTGGTAAAGCGACAACTGAGCGGCAATGATATGAGAGGAAAAAGGCTGCTGAAACCTTTCGATGTCCAGCGATCCAAACACGTCATTCAGGAAGTGGCAAAACGTGAGGCGTTTATGTACATTGACGTCAAAAACACACGGTTGCGACGGTCCGTGTTACCATCTTTTGAAGGCTGGATGATCGAAGGAATACTAAGCTGCAACACATATTTGGCTTGGCTAGTATTCTTTCAGGGTGGCCAAAATGTGGACACCTCAATTTTTGCTCCAGGTTTCTTTTGGATTACACAAACCACCCTGACCGGCCTGACCGGCCTTAAATTCGCCTGACCCGTGGGCGAATTTCTGCTGTCAGGTCTGGCTTACTTGGATGTAGTGGTGCTGGTACTGCAGGTGCCGGCCAATCCCAGACTTGGATTTTTCAACACCTACAAACAACCCATTTTGAGGGTAAACAACCTATTTTTTTAGCAAAAAATGCCGTTCATCCAATCATATCCAATCCATTGAATAATCGTCAACATGCTGTTTCAATCCCATTTTCATAGGTAAATCAATTATCAATCAGGTTAAATCCATGTTTTCTTTAAATAATGATTAATTCAATGATACTTGGTGTTTCAATCCCGATTTTGAATGATTTTGATAGTTAAGTCAAATCAAATTTTCTTCAATCTATTTGTAGTATTTCCCCACCTGCCAGGTAAGGGTTGTTAGATTTTATCAGAGCCGTTCTCCTCATCCTCCTCCTCGTCCTCCTCCTTCTCCTCCTCCTCCTGCTTCCTCCTCCTCCTCCTCCGCGTCCTCCTCCTCTTTTACCACCTCTGCCTCCACTTCCACGTCCACTGTTGCCTTGCCAACTCTTGACCAAGCTCTTCGCCAACTTCGGAGCTCAGTGCGCACTGCTGGACCTCAACCTGGGACCTTCTCAGCTCAGTGCGCACCGCTGGACCTCAACCTGGGACCTTCCTAGCTCAACCTGGGGCCTTCCGAGCTCAGTGTGCAGCGCTGGACCTCAAAAGCCAGATAGAATGCCAGAAGATATGCCAGATAGAATGCCAGATAGAATGTCAGAAGATATGCCAGAAGATATGCCAGATAGAGTGCCAGAAGATATGCCAGAACATATGCCAGAAGATATGCCAGATAAAATGCCAGAAGATATGTCAGATAGAATGCCAGAAGATTTGCCAGTAACAAAACGTATAGATGTCATGGTGGGGATAACTCGAAGTAAAGTAATTTAAGTAGTGACTTAGTCATGTATAGTTAGTGTTTCTATGTGTTTCTGCAGTTTCAATCCCCATTTTTGATATATCAAATCCCTAAACCCAGGAAGAACTTGTCAAAAAAACCCACGCCGCACGCCATCTCTACTGCCAGCTCTACTGGGTGCCGCAGATCGCCTTCGATGCCTGGCAAGGCTCCAGGCGATGGAGGGTCTAACTGTATGTTGATGGGTAAGAATATCGACTTTTGGGGGTAAAATTTTGATGGGTTGAAGGGTCTAGGATGCATTTTTTAAATGAGGAACATGTGATGGTAGCCTGGTAGATTTTTTCACGAACCAGCATTGAATGGGGATACAACGGGACAAGCATAACCCGGTGTTGATCAACCAGCGGATGGGGTGACTTTCCGCCAGAGTTTCCCCAATGAATTCATGGCAAAAAACAGCAGGCATGAACTGTTTGCTGTTTATGTGTGTTTTGGATTGTGATTTGGTTGATTGGTGTCATTCGATGTCATTTGATGTCATTTGATGTCATTTGATGTCATTTGGTGTCATTTGGTGTTTGATATTTGTTTGCACTGCGGGTTGACTTCATCAATATCCGTGTTTGCTGTGCTGCTTGTGATGTGGATAGCAATAGTATCTTCATCTTGGTTCATCGCCATCAGAATCTGGGGTTATCTGATGTTATCTGAAAGCAGGATGCCCCAAAAATCCCCTTGTTTGTCATCATTTTCCTAAATTGGCTGCCATGTATCATCATGTATCCATTTTTAGTTAAACTCATGTTATGATGACATGTTCCCCCCCTTGCCGTTTGTCTTTCCGTTGAATTGCCAAAAGGCGCATTTATCAAGAGTTGGTGGTGTTTGTTCATTACAAGCATGGTGATTCTATTAATAAAAAAGTGACTTGACGCTATAACCAACACATATATATATATATATATGTATATATATATTATATGGCACACACACATATATATATATGGATTTTATGAACAAGAAACCGAAATTGTGTTTTCAACTACAGTACAAAATTTTTGATTTTACCTGCAGCAACCGAGAACTTTGCACTCACAGTTTTGAAATTTTACAGACAAGGATAGGTTTTTGTTGCCAAAGTTGGATTTGACCAGCAACATCTAGATCTTACTAACAACGCAGGAAAAAAGGGACTTGCATTGCCCAATTTGGATGATTAAATCTCAATCTCAACAGTTCGCGGGCAAATTTTCATGTTTAGGTTACATAAAAATATCTTCAATTTTGGTAGCTAAAGTTCCCATTTTGTTAGTTGTGTACCATTCTTGTTGATTCCATAGCCCCGAACTTCCCCGATTCGCTGACAGGAACACCCTGAAGCCGACCTTCATCACAAGCATCTCTGCATCGAGGTTGAAATGTCAGCTGACACCGTCGATCACGGAGTGCTGGTTTCTTGGGGATGCGTTGGGGATGAAATTCTGCGCATCACTACGGTTACAACCTCCGCAAGTTGGCACATATATCATGTATTTATATAATTATATATATATATATATATTATACATATAATATAATAATTATATATGATATAATATGAATTATCTCCAACATTATAGCATATCATAGTTACGTAGCCACTTCTCGGAACTGCATCCCCAAGTTCATGTTCAGCCCCCGCCTCTTGGGCATTCCCTGCAGGTTGCTGCTTCCTCTTTACTTGTGGGGCTGTCCGAGCCCCAAGGCGAAATTCTTGACCCAATGCCATGAAGCTACCATTTGAGGATGGTTTATGGTCATTATGGTTTATGATGGTTTATGCCACCCATAAAAATGGTGATGACTTGGGGATGGTTTACTATTGGCTTAGCCAGATTGTCCAGATTCGACAAGACGGTATCTTCCAAAGACTATAGTCAGCAACCACAGAACAGATTCAATGATTTTCAATGCATATCAGCCAACGCACGCAGAATGTATCATGACATGGGGTTCTAAAATATTCTAAAATCACATCAAAAACGAAGAACGGATTGGAACCTGGGACCCCATGGTATTTCAACCACGGAGCCAAGGTCCGAAGACGATTTTCACCGGTGAAATCTACCCGCGACTGCCAGGGGTGGGGAAGCCCCAGGTCCCTAAAACCGATGGCGCCATCCAGAAGGAAAACGAAGCGAACACCAGGGAAATCAAGGGCGTTTTTGTGCAGAAAGATTAGAACAGATTGGATATTGGAACTAGGTGGAACAGTTGAGTTGGTTTCTGAATGTTTCTGTTTGGTTTTAGGTTCTCCAAATCAAGGCACAGAGCCTTCGCTGGTGCTTGCTGTTGGTTGGCCTCCAGGCTATACAGGCCAGTGGCATGCAGTGGCCAACATGGCCAACCCCCCTGTTGATTGGTTGTGACAGGAGGTTAAACTACTTATAGTGGGAACAATCATCCATTATGGGAATCGCTGTGAACATCTATATACAGTATTGGTCAACGAGTTTGTTCAAGGGGTGTCAGAGGATTTTGAACACTGCTCAGATGGCTATGGCTTAAACCATGTCGGAATTATTGACAAATCATCATAATCAGAAGTCATCGAACTTGTTTTCCATAGCTACCGGTACGTTAAATGACCAGAGGCTGTTACCAAAGAATGGATGAATCAAGACAACGACCAAGTTTGCGGCTCCATGCGCGAAGGGAACTGACTTGTCGCTTTGAGTGTGTCCAATCTTGACCGAATACTGGGAAGATCAGCATTTCATGACATTTCCAAAAACATAGTGGGAATTGAATTGCCTCAACTGCAGGAATTAAGATGGTTATGTGAAGGCACCCTGAGTTCCCCAAAATTTGGACGTCCCAAAATGAATCAAAATGAAGGATGACCCACTTCGGCTAGGGAGATCCTCCGGTAATAACACAGTGCTGGCTGAAAAATCTTATTAGTCTATATAAAACTGTTATTGACTGTTACGATTTCCTTCATTAAAATTCTCTAGAATCATCTATATTCAATTTATTGATTTACTTCCAGTTTTTTTAAATTAATTTATCTCTATGAGGCTCTATATTCAGTTGGGAGATGTCCACTTGGGCTACGTGGCTGCGCAGGTTGGCATCCTGCTACTGCAAAAACGTCTCGGAGCCCGTTGGTTTATTCCCTGGGCACCTTGGCAAAGCATCCCCACAGCGGAGAGTGGGAATTGTATAGGGGTACCCTCTGGTAATTTAACATAGCTATTGAACATGGCCATTTATAGTGAGTTTTCCCAATAAAAATGACCATTTTCAATAGCTATGTTAAATTACCAGAGGGTAACATAAAACTTTTTAGATGGCCGCACTTTTCTGAAATTATGATGAACTGTGATAATTTATCCAGATTGGACACATCTTGAATGGGCGGTGTTGTGTGTTCCATTGTTTTCTTTAGTTACTGTAGGGTAGTTTTTGTTTAACGACCTTTGGCTTTAGCCATTCAAAATGTCGGATTTTTGGAGCAGTGTTGAACAAGTGCAGGGACCAAACAATCGGAACTCGCTGCCGTTAAATACATGTTGGAAACCACGTACACAAGAGGACGTATAGTGGAAGTTGGGACGAGAATCGGAGCTGGAACAGCTGAACAGCAACACTGCCTAGCAGTTCAACCCAGACATCTGCAGCTCCAAGATTTCCTCTTCCTGAGAGGTGAGGGAAATCACTCACACATTGCCGTTGCTGGATGAGGTATGCATGCCTTGGGCATACAACTATCATCGATTCATGGATGCTTGGCTGAAGGAGGAAGCCAAAGGGGCAATCTACTCCGAAAACAACTCGGAAAAACGCGGTCGAACCATGTTAAAAAATCAACTGGTTGATGGTCTCAAGATGTCTCAAGTATTTATGTTTTTGTCAACCATACTTGGCAAATACTTGGGATGATTGGTTGAGATTACTCGAATTTTTTGGTGTGAAAACCACCAACCAAACTCTTCGCCTTCAAAAAAAGTGCTGAGGAAATCGAAGCGGGCTCCGAATGTCTGATGCTGAGTCTGTGGACGGCTGCAGGGCAAAAAATGCTTTGATACCTGGGAGATCCTGGGAGTATGCTGTAGAAGTGACAACAAAAAAAATTGAGGAGTGCTTGCTTCGATACTTGGATTCTAGTGCAGCATTCTAATAATCTCTGCTTTAATATAGTATATATTCTAATAGGACTGGAAGTGAGGTGAGTAGTGGATGTCAATGGATTTCAGACTTTTCGGACATTTTTGACGAGGCGTGATTTGCATGGCAGATCTCAATCCAGAGGATGTCTGCTGTCGGGTGCACTCCAGTTCTTCCTGAAGTTCGTTGAATCAAATTTGAGTAGCATCATTAAGGAACTCGCCAATAAAGCAGAACCAATCCACCATATACATTTGTTGCATGTGCCATGGTTAAGACTTGGTGCTTGTCCATTGTCATCACTTACATAGACTCTTCATAGGGAATTCATCTCGTTTGGCATTCGCTGCATTTCTGCGACCATCCCACAGAAACCTCCATTTATAGATGATTTTCGATGATTTCCCAGCTATCAACCTCCATTTTGATACTGGATGACCGGAGGCTACAGTTTTGTTTTGACCATCAGAAATGCTGGGTCAGGACGGGCTGCGTGTGGTGACCCCCTGCAGTCACAGCTTCCATCAGGCGGGAAAACACCAGGAAAACCGAATAAAACAATTGATTTCAAAGCTACTTTGTACGGTAAAGTCATGTTTTGTTTTGGGCATTTACATGTTTTTTTAAATAATATACAAACATCTTGCGTTTCCCTTTGAAGTAAGCGAATGAGCAAAGCACAGGATGGCTTCTTCGCTACAATCCTTGAGTCGCGGGTCTTCAAACTTGGGACGTTGATGCACACATATTTACATACTCATGCGAGAATATCTATGTATCCCCCCCGTCTACTAATCTATTTGCCTCTAACTCTAACGTTCATTATCTATCTATCTAATCTAATCTAATCTTGTCTTATCTAATCTTATCTAATCTATCTCCCTATCTACCTATCTACCTACCTACCTATCTACCGACCTGTTGATACGTCGATGTATCGATGTATCTATCTGTCTATTTACTGTACCTGTCTATTTATCTGTCTATTTATCTATATCTATCCATGCATCCATTCATCAATTCATCTATCAATTCATCTATCAATTCATCTATCAATTCATCTATCAATTCACCTATCAATTCACCTATTTACCTATCTACCCACGTATCTTTGTATCGGTCTATTTGTCTTTCTGTCTGTCTGTCTGTATGTTTGTCTGTCTGTCTATCCGCAGTATATATATATATACACAGTATCTATCTGTTCGCAGTATCTATCTATCAACAGTATCTATTTGTCCACAGTATGTATCTATCTAGTTATCTATCCAACCGTACCTAGCCTACTCTACTCTCCTCTACTCTATGTGTACCTCTCTATCCATTTCGTCCGCCCATTATCTGTAGAATATAAGTGTATGATATATATATATATATTATAGATTATACATATTTGCACATAGAATGTGTATGTATATGTATATATATATTGCATATATTAGTCAGTAAACACATATACACCGAATATGATACCCATGAAGCTGGAAGTTCCCTAATAGGTGGACTGGTGGATGGTTTTCCTAGTGAATACAGGAAACCATCGGAATCGAAGGTAAGAATCAGGGTTGCTGCTAGAAGTCTCCTGTAGTGATCCAGCCCTTGGCTTTGAATTCAGCAAAATTACTTATGTCCTGTCAGCCTTCGGCCATGTTCGTTGAAGTCCTGCTCGCAGGCGCAATCGTTATCAATCCTTCATTTTAAGCCACAAACCGCGCTCATAAACTGATACATTGCTCTCTTAGAAACTCTCGTGAGTTTCACAGTGGAGGCTTGTTTGGAGCAGTGGATGGATGTCAAGATGGAGTGCCCCACTGGTCAGATCTTGGCTCCTGGCGGTCATTGATTTGGCAAAGAAATAACTGATGTTCCAAAGCCATCGAACCCATTCTGAACGTCACCTGGGAATGGTTGGGATTCTTTGATTTTTTTGTGACTTTCGTGGGTTGTCACATGTTAGCACCATGTGGGTCTGTCTGAAAATCCTCCTTTTTCTGTTCGGAAAATGATCTTGTTAGCCATTGAATACCATTGGGTTTTGAGGTTATTTTCAGACATATATACCCATTCAAAAATTTGGGGCTTGTTTTTTTTTTCCGATGGGGATTTACTGCCAAGGTGCCCGACCTGCAGAGCAGTTCTTCCACCTCTTCAGTGAGGGAAAGTGCGCAAAAAAGTTCGCAACATATCCGGAGGAATCAATCAGACAGGCGATGAAAGAGTGCATATTGCAAGATATATATGTAACATGTGGAGATCCAACTAATCTATTTTTGGGCGGCTAAGTTTTGTTTTGAAGCAACCGTGGTTCAGTTTAGGTGAAGGTCTCTAGATTGCAAGAATACATCCCGCGGGCACACACTTGCTCACACCCACACGCCCAGCATGCCATATAGAATGTCAGAGAATATGTTAGATAGAATGTCAGAGAAGATATCAGATAGAACGTAAGAGTATGTCAGGATGTAGGCCATATGCCAGAAGATATGCCAGATAGAATGCCAAATAGAATGTCAGAAGATATGTCAGATAGAATGCCAGAAGATTTGCCAGTAAGAAAATGTATAAATGTCATGGTGGGGATCACACGAAGTAAAGTATTTTTTATTTTTATTTTTTTCCGTGATGTCTTGGGAGTTGTTTTAGTATCCAAATTGCACCCCCAGAAGCATTGATTCCATAGATTCCAGGGCTCAAAGAACTCTGGCAGCCGCAAGTTTTCAGCCGCAGCTACTTGCCTGCTCTTCGGCCGTTTCACTGAAGAAAAAATGCTGCAGTGCACTGCATCAGCTTGCAGCTTGGAGGACAACACCACCAATAGGTGACAGCAATTGACTAGTCAACTAATTAGTCCATTGTGGCTACGGCTGCTATGGCTAGAAATTCTTGACAGAAAGAGATGGTTTACTATGGTCTACTTAGTAAATATGTTGTAGACCAGTGACACCCCTTTGCTGAGCCATGGCCATATTGTTGATAATTAGATGTCAGCGTACACGATACACAGGATAGTGCCATGAATGCCCGGTACAAGACGGTACTGTGGGGAAAATGAGGTAATTAGATGTAATTAGTAATTAGTTATGAATCAAGGGAACGGCAGTTGAGAATCAAAACTGATCAAAAATTGCACGAACTAATCTACATCCATCAACCTCCAACTATAAATGGGTATGGGGTCAAAATTGGGTAATCCTCTCGGAAATGATGCTCTAAAATGCTATGAAATCCTATAACATGCTACAGCATATTATAAAATGCTATGAAATGCTATAAAATGCACGAACATGCTAAATCATGCTACAAAATGCTTTAGCATATTATCAACTGCTATAGATACCACCCAGAAAAACACCAACATGTCTTGCGCAAGGCACGTTTCTGGCTGGAACGACTGATGCGTGAGCCGCCTGGGAACCCCGGATCCGGGTGCCAGTTGGTGAATCATCATCCTCTATGATTGTCCTCTATGTTTTATGGCCATAATTTGTGGTCAACGAAACACATCATAAAACATGCCCATATATAAGATGCATTTTTATGAACCATCCCCAAATGGTAGGTTTTATTATTGGGCTTCTCACATTAACCTTTATAAAGATAGCAGCCGTGGCAATCAAACATGGCATTTGAAACATGGTAATTAATTGAACATCTCCGATAATCATGTTCTGTATAATATATATATATTGTTGTATTTGTTAATCAAACATGGCAATTGACAATCCCCTATCAATGGAGGTTTTTGTGAGCTGGGTCAATCAACTATTATTATCTATTATTATAACGGGAAATTTTCCAGCACCGGTGTGTGATTACCGGGTAATTACCGGGTATAACTTGGGGGGTTTTGCCGATGAATGGGGGATTGGAACCACCCAAATGACCTGGGTCATTGGCAAATGATGGAGTTTGGAGGGACGATTCGACATCGCCAAACAGCAAAATCCGTGCCAACCATTGCCAACCATTTGTTCTAAGCTCTGGTTTTCATCCGCCAGGAAACGGACATTTCAGGCAGATGTGAGTGAAACTGAAGTTCGCCAGAAACTTCAGCTGAAACTCACTGGCTCATCTGACGCCAATGAAACGCACCTGAAGATACCTCAAGGATCCTGAAATTTGACGCCACTTGGGTTTTTGGCGCTCGCACTACTGTTTTTTTTTGGAGGGGGCCCGGTCAGGTGTGGCGTTCGGCCACCCGGCCGGATCCGAAAGGCACGGCTCGTGACCGGGTCCGCTTCACAGTGGAAGTCTCAAAGTGAGAATATCATCACACTGGGACCCCTCTGGCTCCCAATAGCAGAACATTTGAGATATGTTCGTTTTTAAAAATATGTTTGTCTTCCAAAGGTGCCTGGTGAGCAATTTTGACGGTGGCAATTTTTATATCTTGGGTATGCGTCTGCTGCTTGAATCTCTCAAGGATTTTGCATCGTTTTCTGACGCCTTGGGGTGATGTCTCTTTGGGATCTTGGGATGTTTCGGGAAGCCCAAACTCATTGGTTTCCAATGGTTTCCAAGCAAAAGAAGCATGGATTCCATGTGGCTTTGTCTAAGAACAGATCCGCGCCGTCCAGGGAACGGGCCTCCTGTGTGGCAGGCACGGCATTTGAAGCGTCGGATCTAGAAGCCTTGAGGCAGCATACATTACATTCGATTAGCCCCCAACAAAAACAACATGTCCCATAAAATCCATAAACATCCATAAAAAGAGATTCCACTTACAAAGACCCCGAAGCAGCTCTGGGTTTTTTCTGAAAGCTTTACGGCTTGGTGGTGCCAGAGGCCCTGAAAAAGCTGTGACTCTGCAAGTACAGAAGGTAGCTTTGGCCACTCTTCCCGTTTCAGATGTCGCAAGTCATCTGCTCAACTGCCTCAAACAGAATGCAGGGCGCTCCACCTGCAGGGAGGTGTCGAAGTGCTGCCACATCTTGCACCATTGCACCAACCAACTTGTTTGAAGGAAACCTGCCATGGAGAAGCCTGGAGATACCATGGACTTCACAATCTTCACACGTAATTAATTTTGGCGCACGTCCTCACCACACACTCAGCTTGTTTGATCTGCAGTTTATGGATGTTTATGGGCAAATTCTGGTTGGCAGTTCTGAGGCTAAAATGTGCTCAGATTCCGATCCAAACTTGAGGGCTCATAGATTGCATGGCATTGCTGCTCTTTTTTCCAGGAGTCTCCATCATTTCTCTTGCTTTACATACGTACGAGCTTTTAACACTCTTTGCACATCAGGGTACTGTGATGTACTGGTTCATTCAATTTTTGTATGATTATGGGTAAGTATGACATAGTATATATATATATACCCTCGGGGCCCCAGGTTTCCGCAATGGGTGGGGTGGGGTGGGGCATGTTAACGTCATGTTCATGGTACGTTGATGCTACGTTGATGGGAGGGGGGGGGTGGGGCATGTTAACGTCATGTTCATTGTACGTTGATGCTACGTTGATGGGAGGGGTGGGTTGGGGTGGGGCATGTTAACGTCATGTTCATGGTACGTTGATGCTACGTTGATGGGAGGGGTGGGGTGGGGTGGGGCATGGTCATGTTCATGGGTTGATGCTACGTTGATGGGTGGGTGGGGCATGTTAACGTCATGTTCATGGTACGTTGATGCTACGTTGATGGGAGGGGGGGTGGGGTGGGGCATGTTAACGTCATGTTTGATTTCGGTCACAAATAATTCCATTGAACATAGGAACTTACTGGCAGTGCACCATATCAATAAAAAACCAGGTTTGCACACAGTGTTGACAGCCTTGAAAAAAATCAGGGAACTGTCTATGTCAAGCTTGCAGCCCGCCAGCAAAGTTTGGGATCGAGCGCCGTGGACACTTTGAAAAAGAACATGTTGCAGCATGTGCAAGAGAATGTTGACGTTGAAACTACAACATGTGCCGTTTCATGCTAATATACAAAAGATTGCAAATACCTATAAAAAAACCCCTCCCTTCATATTACACCACGAGCCGCAGTAAAAATTGACAATTTTCTGCTTAAAAAACATAAACGACTTTCATGACATGTGCTATTTCGTGTGGGAAAACAAGAAAAAATTGAAAAAGAACATGTTGCAGCAGGCTGATGAAGTTGAAGCAACAAGAAGCCAAAAAAAGGCCGACTATCAACATTTGCCGTTTCATGCGAACGTTAAAACTCATTGCAAATACCAATACAAAAAAGCCACCTGTTCATATTACCCCACGTGCCGCAGTAAAAATTAACACTTCTGTATTTCAAAAAAAAAGAAATTCATAAAAAGTGGTATTTCGTGTGGGAAAACAGTAAAATCTCAATTGATATGTACTGTGGATAACATGTTAGAACATGCAACTTGCGCGGGCCTAAAAATTTAGGTCCGTCAAAATGCCCTTAAAGAATGAAAAAGAAGAATGTGCAAAACCCACCTTTCGCTATGGCGAAACAGTGATTTTTGACATATGGATGAATGAAAACCAAGATACTCTGCGGAAACCTAGGGCCCCGAGCGTATATATATATATATACACAGTATATTATTACACATCTCTGCCAATACATCATCAGGTTGTCAATTTATAATATCTGCTCTTACTATTCTGGTGTCAACCCCCGGACTCACAACCCCCTTGGCTATTTAACTTGGGGGCTATCGTTCGTAACAAAACTCTAACTATTGGGGGTTACCCCAATTAATCAACCAGGGCTACCTTCTGGTAATTTACCATAACTATGGAACATCGCCATTCAATATTTAAATCATCGAACTACATAGGCCATGGATTCCAGTTCGCAAAGTGTTGAATACCAGAAGGTATCCAGATTATTTGATCCATTGTATCCCCATTGTATCCCCATTGTATCCCCATTGTATCCCCATTGTATCCTATATATATACATATATATATATATATATTAAGTCCCAGTAATTACCTATTTTCGATAGGGTATCATTCATCCGGCCTTGGCATGAGTTCCTAAAATGGGGGGAGCCCCAAATCATCCATTTCAATTGGCTTTTTAATCATAAACCATCCATTTTGTGATACTCCCATGGCTTCAGAATTCCACCCCAAGGCTGACCGATGCCGAGCTCAGCAAACGCCGGCGCCGCCGGCGCTGGGTTTGGGCCAAACGTGAGATGGCACGGTGCTCAAGGGCCGGGTTGGCGTCGCTTTTGGGGCAGGCTGAAGGCGCAGGTTGGGCTTAGAATATGGGGATTTGGCCAACAAAAACTGGGGTTTTTAAAGTTGAACCATCCGTTTTAAGCGGAGATATCAATGATCAATCTTCGGATGTATCTTTATATATATATATATGATGAGGGTATAACTTATAAGACTTTGAAGGAAAAAAATCACACATTTTATGGAGGTGTCAAATGAGATCTCTTGGGATATCATTGGGGATGCAACAACCAATACGGGGGATGCAACAACCAACTCCCATCTGGGTTTGTCTCACAGTGGGGTTAGAGGGGACATTGAGAAGTTCTTGGCTTTGAAGTTTTTGGGTCACCCCAAATATTTCAAGAATAACAATAAGTCTTATCATTATCATGATATATATATATATATTATAACGCTAACGTACATATATATATACATGTTTGTGTATGTAGAATATATATATATATACCAAACACATGTTATATAAATGTCAACATTATGGCGTTTCTATGTCTTTCACTTTCTAAGGCTCGATCTGCTGGCTTCTTCAGCGAAGAAGAGATGAAAGAACGCGACCCACAGCCTTGGACCGAGAGACGGGGACACATTATGGTCATCATCAATCTGGGTGTTTTAACATATTTAACATATTTAAGATATTTAACATGTTTAACATTTTTAACTGACCATCAATCTGGGTGTTTTAACATATTTAACTGACCTCCATAAGATAGTAATTGACTTAATCTATGGAACATATATGGGAAAATGATGATGATGGAATTTGGAGAACAATTGTGATGTGGCAAAACCAATGACATACAGGTTCAAAGGACCCATAAAGATGGTGCTTTCGGGTGATGATTTATCATTGGGTGTACCACATTAGACCGAATATATTATATTATGGCTGTTTAACTGGGAATGATCATTATTCGCATCAAAACTTGAGGCACAAAGCCATCAATGCGGCTCCAATCCTTGGTCGAGCGATCTGTTAAAACAGTAGAAACTGTCACCTGATGAGAAACTTGAATTGTTCAATGGGTCCCCTTTGAAGGAAAACGTTATGTATTCTTATCTCTTCTTATACGATCTGGTATGTCTTATGTACTTTTTTTTTAACAAATGTATTTTTGGATTTGCCTGATTCGCGGTTACAGAGCATGCGCCCATTTCAGCCATTCGTTTGCTTGGGGATTCAACCCGGCTGATTTCCTTCGCATCAGGCTTTACCATCGCCTGGTGGGACAATACGTTGACACCACCGTCAGCGGCCCAACGGGGCCCAGCGACTTCAGCGCGATGTATTTCAGCGAAGATCGGGCTCCTGTGGGCCCTCCTTTTATTTTGGTGTTTCCATTTTTGGAATAATGTCAACCCTGGATAATAAACCCCTAGGCTCTTTCATTGGAGGGGCCATTTAAGTACCAGGTTATGACTATTGGGGAAGTACCCCCCTAATAAAAAAGGAGGGCAATTTATTTTTGTTTTATTTTTTTTTTGCGGCAGGTTTTGGATTTTTTTGTGGGTTCCTGGTTCTATGCTTTCCTGCTTCTTTGATTTTCTGCTTCCCTGCTTTTCTGCTTCTCTGCTTTTCCTGCTTCTCTGCTTTTCCTGCTTCTCTGCTTCTCTGCTTCTATGCTTTTCTGCTTCTCTGCTTTTCCTGCTTCTCTGCTTTTCTGCTTTTTGCTTTCCCTGCTCCTCTTTTTTTGTGCTTCTGTGCCTTTCTACTTCTACTATTCTATTTTCCTCTTCAGTCATGTGTTTTTGCTGCTCTACTTCCTGCTCCTCTGCTTCTTTGCTTCCTGTCTTTACTGTCTCTTTGTTTTTCAGTTTCTTTTGCTTTATTCTTTCCTGTTTGCATCCTAAATGAAACCCTAGAGAGACCCTAGGTGAAACCCAAAAACTAGACGACGGATGGCCCGAGAGCGTAGAGGAGCAGGGTCTTCTCTTGTTAGTATGGAGACACCATATGACAAAACAATATATTAAAGATGTGTTATAGGCAGTCGAGAAGAGGAGTATCAAGACAATATTACACACAGACGCTTTTACACACAGAGGCTTTTACACACAGAAACTTTTAAACACAGAAACTTTTACACACAGAGGCTTTTACACGCAGACGCTTTGACACACAGAGGCTTTTACACGCAGACGCTTTTACACACAGACGCTTTTACACGCAGACGCTTTTACACACAGACGCTTTTACATACAGCTTTTCCATACTTCGCCGGATAACATGAAAATCGCAATTTTACCTCAGTTTTTGTAGCCGCTCTCGCCGCCGCTGTCAGCCACTGCCTCAGTGCCGCTAGTCACCGCTAGTCTAGTGTGGCCAATGGAACTCAGCTACACCGAGACATAGTTGACCAACTTGAGCGATGCGTCCGACATGGCCGAATCAGATACTCCGAGAGATACTCCTAGGAGTTCTCCCAGATCCATCGGAGAGGACTGGGCCAACGAGCTGTGCCAAGTCGATGAAGAAGCAGTTGCAGATCTTCTTGCTGAAATGGAGTCGTCACATGCAGCCCTCACCATCCCAAGCATGGGGACAAGCAAGGCAGCAAGGTGCCTGGCTAACATGAAAGCTGAAGTTTCCCCACAAATTATTGAGCGCATGTCAATAAAGTTAGCAGCAAAGCTTTTGAAGGACATGCAGCCACCTGATGCTGGCGAGATCTTCCGTGACATGTATTCTGGTTACAGCAAGAGCATCGTCGGCATTTTGAATCAGATGTCGATTGAAGTTGCCAATGAAATACTATCTGAGATGGATCTTGCTGCGAGGATTGGTATCGTTGGAGAATTGTGTCAGTCATGCTCCAGCCACTCTCAGCAGTCTGTGATTTCCGAAGTGCCTTTGCTTCGACCCGGTGTACTCGCTGAAAAGGAGGAGTGGGCAAACTTCACTTCGAACCAAGCATCCGACCCAAAGCATCGTGGTACGCAACTTTGCGTGGACTTTCTGGACCCTATGCAAATCGAGCGACTGCCAACACCGCTCAGGCAAAGGCTCCCAAGCATGGTTCGATGGTGGGGGTCGTTTTTCTGACCATGGATTTCATGTAATTTTCATATACCGTTGTGAAATGCCTTAAGCCTACTTCTAAGGATTTGTTGTAAAGCGAAACCAATACAAAAAAAAAAGCAAAACCTAATTCAAACCTCAATTAGAAAAAATAATCCAAACCTAAACTTGAAAAAAACAAACAACCAAAAGGACAAACTATTTGTCTTGTTTTGGATTGTTTTTTTCTATATACTTGAGGTTTGGATTAGTTTTTTTTTAAATAAATACATTTTTTAAGGCCGTTTTTATTTTTTCTACTTGAGGTTTGTATTGGGTTTAATTTTTTGGGGGTGGATTTGGGTTTGTTTTGTTTAGTCCTTTTTATTTTTCTATCGTTCTATAAAAGTTGCTTGTAAGCTGTGTCACAAATATACCGTTGGTGTAGTCTCCTTCCAAAATCTATCACAGTCTTCAGCTCACACCCTGAAGGTCATATGCGCCACTGAGAAAGCGTTGTGTTCCTTCATCACTTTGCTGCCGAGCACAACCATTCTGATTATGATACCAATACCACAGGAATTTTATGGTTTGGCAATCTGGCAAGGTCTGGCAACCCTTTCCTCCTGAACCTGATCATTTGAGATCATTTGAGAATAATGAGTGCTTGGTAGGCCATGCCTTCTGTTGCTTCGTGTACCAGAGTGTACAATCATCAAGCAACAGCCTTTTGTTTTGCCATCGGACTTGGCATTTGGGAATGCACTTCTGATATTTGTTGCTGTTTTTTTCCCACCTTTTTTTCAAGCGTAACTTGTATTAAACAATCCTGTCATGATTTGGAAAAGAAGTGTCGGGGACCTTCTCAAGCTCTTTGAGGCTTGAATTTGCTGGACAAGGTTGCACAGTATGTGTTGCCAAAAAGAAAGTGTTTGCAGTGGTTCAGTGCGGTTGTGGGAGTGATACGTAGTATACGCTCAGTATACTATAGAAGTATATTGGGAATAAGGCACACAGGCAATGTACAAATATTATAATAGTATAAGAATAGTCTATGTGTAGCAAACAGGATATGTGATGTTATGTGTATATAGCTTCTGTACAGGTACAATCCAAGTATATTTTTGAGCTGACGCTCGTCGTCGGCTCCGCCGGAGTACTCGACCCTCCGTTTCATCGCAGTGTGGGCTTGAAAGCTATTGAATGAGGACATGCTGCAGAAATATACAGTATTCCTTTGGTTTTTTGGAACATATGTGTTGGAAATAGACCGATTTTTTGAAAGCAAGTGAGTTCCCGAAAGCTCCTGCGAAGGGCTTGTCCTATAAAGAACTGCTGCCAAGTTCAACTTGTTATTTCGTGTAAAGGCGCCTCTGTGCAAAGACTTCTGTGTAAAAGCTTTTGTGTGTAAAAGTTTCTGTGTGTAAAAGTTTCTCTATGTAAAGACTTCTATGTGTAAAAGCTTCCTTCTGTGTGTGAAAGCTTCTCTGTGTGAAAGCACGTCTGTGTAAAGATTTCTCTGTGTGTAAAAGCTTCCGTGTGTAAAAACTCTCTGTGTAAAGGCTTCTCTGTGTAAAAGTTTCTGTGTGTAAACGTGGCTGTGTGTTAAAGCTCTCTGTGTAAAGACTTCTCTGTGTAACAGTTTCTGTGTGTAAAAGCTCCTAGACGTTTGTGTGCAAAAACTCCTTAGAGTAAAGACTTCTCTGTGTAAAACTTTGTGTGTGTGTGGAGCTCCTCTGTGTAAAGACTTCTCTCTGTAAAAGCCCCTGTGTGTGTGTGTTAAAGCTTCTGTGCGTCTCATCCCTCCAGCTTTCTTTCGGGTCACGCTGTCGTCCAGTTTCAATCTGCAACGTTGTTTCTTGTGGAGGAATACCAAGAACATGTGAAAGCAACGCGCATTTAAAAATTGAACATAAACAACGCACAAAGTGCTGTAATTTACAGCATTTTACGCTGTCAGATGGCAAGAAACCGCGTAAATACCACCTACTGTTTTCTTCTCCTGCTGCCCCCCAAATCTCCCCAACGTAACTTGTGAAACCCATAGAAAAAATTTTATTGTTTCAGCTATTTGTAGCTACTTTTTCCTCCTGCTGCTGCTACTAGTAGTAGTACTAGTAGTAGTAGTAGTAGTAGTAGTAGCAGTAGTAGTAGTAGTGGTAGTAGTAGTAGTGGTAGTAGTTGTAGTAGTGGTAGTAGTGGTAATAGTAGTAGTGGCAGTAGTAGCAGTAGTAGCAGTAGTAGCAGTAGTAGCAGTAGCAGCAGTAGCAGTAGTAGTAGGCGGCATGCGAGACGCTAAAACACCATTGCAGTGAAGGACAGAAAGCCGAAAAACGTGGTGGCGAAAAGTGCCTAAGGTGACTTCTGAAACAGTCGAAAAAGCTCTATTATGCAATCGTAGAAAAGCTCTAAAAGTAGTAGTAGTAGTAGTAGTAGTAGCAGGAGTAGTAGTAGTAGTAGTAGTAGAAGTAGTAGTAGAAGTAGTAGTAGTAGTAGTAGTTGTTGTTGTTGTAGTTGTAGTTGTAGTAGTAGTAGCAGCAGCAGCAGGTAGTAGCTAGTAGGTAGTAGGTAGTACGTAGTAAGTAGTAGTTAGTAGTTAGTAGTTAGTAGTTAGTAGTTAGTAGTTAGTAGTAGTTAGTAGTAGTTAGTAGTAGTTAGTAGTAGTTAGTAGTAGTTAGTAGTAGTTAGTAGTAGTTAGTAGTAGTTAGTAGTTAGTAGTTAGTAGTAGTTGGTTGGTAGTATATAGTTAGTAGTATATAGTTAGTAGTATATAGTTAGTAGTATATAGTTAGTAGTATATAGTTAGTAGTATAGAGTTAGTAGTATATAGTTAGTAGTATATAGTTAGTAGTATATAGTTAGTAGTATACAGTTTGTAGTAGTTAGTAGTAGTTAGTAGTAGTTAGTAGTAGTAGCAGTAGCAGTAGCAGTAGTAGTGGCAGTAGTGGTAGTGGCAGTGGCAGTACAAGACGTAGTAGAAATAGTAGTAATGGTAGTAGGTAGTGGCAGCAGCAGTAGTAGTAGTAGCAGGAGTAGTAGTCTTAGTAGTAATACCAGTAGTAGTAGCAGTAGTAGTAGTACCAGTACAAGGAGCAGTAGTAGTAGTAGTAGTAGTAGTAGTAGTAGTAGTAGTAGTAGTAGTAGGAGCCCGACCCATAGACGGCCGTGGTGTTTTAAGCATTTTTTGGCAATTTTTTCGTTTTTTGATGGTCTTGCATGCCAACTAGCACACAGACGTCATGCTACGTTATGGTTGTCTTGGGGTGGGGTTGGGTGGGGTGGGGTGGGGCAATGACGTTCATGTCAACTTGCCCACACACGTCATGCTACGTTATTGTTATGTTCTCCTGCACTTGCACACACACGTCATGCTACGTTATGGTGATCTTCTCTTGCACTTGCTCACACACGTCATGCTACGTTATGGTGATCTTCTCTTGCACTTTCTCACACACGTCATGCTACGCTATGGTGGTCTTCTCTTGCACTTGCACACACACGTCATGCTACGTTATGGTTGTCTTGGGGTGGGGTTGGGTGGGGTGGGGTGGGGCAATGACGTTCATGTCAACTTGCACACACACACACGTCATGCTACGTTATTGTTATGTTCTCCTGCACTTGCACACACACGTCATGCTACGTTATGGTGATCTTCTCTTGCACTTGCTCACACACGTCATGCTACGTTATGGTGATCTTCTCTTGCACTTGCTCACACACGTCATGCTACGCTATGGTGATCTTCTCTTGCACTTGCGCACACACGTCATGCGCACCATTGTTCTTGCAGATGGAAACCGTGCTTGGGAGTCACATGCTAAAAGTTTGAAAATCAAACATGCCAAAGTGTCTCATCAAAACAAAGAATGGACCAAACAAATGCGAAGAACCTCCTTTTTTTCCTGCCCAATGTGGCAGGGACGCAAATCGCTGACAGATGGTGGAAAGGCCTTTCCAAGACGGTTGTATGATGGAGTCAACACAAAAGAACACCCTGAATTGGAAAAGTTTCTGTTGGCGAAAATCTTTGGGACCATTGACACCTCACCGGTTTCTCGAAGAACTTTGCAAGGCCGTCAAAGCAATGAAGCGCTTCTGAGAAGAAGGAAAAAAGTGCTGCATCCCAAAAAAACACGAACTTATGTCAAAAAACGAAGTAGTTTTGGAGATTTTCAAAACCCTATTTTTCACGTCAACATGAGAAAAAATGACGTTTCGCTGTAGCGAAAACGACATTTTTGTTGATGAAAAACTCCTAAAACCATACGGCCGTCTATGGGTCGGGAACCTAGTTGTAGTAGTAGTAGTAGTAGTAGTAGTAGGGTAACCTTGATTCAGACGAAGCAAAAACGCGCAGCAAGAGAACAAAGGAACAAGCACAAGCCGAAAACAAAAACAATAAAAACACTTTCCAATCAGACACGCCGGCAGGCCGGGAACATGCCGCCATAGGCCGCCATAGGCCGCATAGCCGCCTGAGGACAGACAGCCCAGCGCTGGACTTGCAGGAGCTGCCCCTGTTGTCAGCTTCCAAACATACACGACATTCCAAGGCGATCACCTGATGCTGATAGGAGCTCGGCTGCCATGCTGAACACCTTTGGGATGAACACCTTTTGGATGCTCATGGTTATCTTCAAGGATCTCGTTGGCTTGGGAGACATGAGTATGACCTTGCAGCTGAGCATTTTCTCCTTCAAGATCTTCAAGTGCCAGAACAAACCATAGGATAATAGAACTTTGACGATGGCAACTGCATTTGGCTCAAGATGAATCAAGATGGATTGGTTAGGGCCAGTTTTTGGCGATCGAACCTCGTTTCGTGCGAAAGGATCGCGCGGGACAAGTTGAAATTGCAATTTTACCTCAGTTTTTGCCGGTCGAGCCTCATTTCGCGTGAAAGGGTTGCGACGGGAACCCAGAAATCGCAATTTTATCTCAGTTTTTGACGATCGAATTTCATTTCGTGTGAAAGAGTGACTTGCAAATCGCAATTTTACCTGAGTTTTTGACGATCGAACCTCGTTTCGTGCGAAAGGGTTGCGGCGGACACCTTGAAATCGCAATTTTATCCAGGTTTTTGACGGTCGAACTTCGTTTCGTGCCGGGTTGCGGCGGACACCTTGAAATCGCAATTTTATCCCGGTTTTTTACGGTCGAACTTCGTTTCGTGCGAAAGGGTTGCGTCGGACACCTTGAAATCGCAAATTTATCTCAGTTTTTGACGATCGAACCTCATTTCGTCCGAAAGGGTTCGCGGGACGACTTGCAAATCGCAATTTTACCTCATTTTTGGCGATCGAACCTCGTTTCGCGCGAAAGGGTTGCGTTTCGTGCGGTCTCGTTGGCACTGCCCCGGCCCCCGCCTTCAGAAGAGAAATAGAGAAGAAGGAGAGGGCAAGAGGGCAAGAGGAGAAGATGTGAAGATGTGAGGATGTGAGGATGAGAAGATGTGAAGAAGAGGGCAAGAGGGCAAGAGGGCAAGAGGAGAAGATGTGAAGATGTGAGGATGTGAAGATGTGAAGATGTGAGGATGAGAAGATGTGAAGATGAGCAGATGTGAAGATGTGAAGATGAGAAGATGCGAAGATGAGAAGATGTGAAGATGTGAGGATGTGAAGATGTGAGGATGATGAGAAAATGTGAAGATGAGAAGATGTGAAGATGAGCAGATGTGAAGATGAGCAGATGTGAAGATGAGAAGATGTGAAGATGTGAAGATGAGAAGATGTGAAGATGAGAAGATGTGAAGATGTGAAGATGAGAATATGTGAAGATGAGAAGATGTGAAGATGAGAAGGTGAGATACAGACCCCCACTATTGGAAGAACCCTGCGCTCAGACGCTCTCAGGAAAAACCTAAAGAAATCCTGATAAGAAATCCTACATGGAGGTCCGGCTGTGCCCACTGGGATCTGGACTGCGAGGAGGAGGCGGCGGGTGAGGAGGCGGAGGAGGCAGAGGAGGCGGAGGAGGAGGAGGAGAAGAGCTCTGTTAAAATCTAGCAACCCTCACCTGGCAGGTGGGCAACAAAAACTATTTTACACCCAATAAAAACATGGTTTATGAATCCGGGGTTGACATTAGATCTGTTCCATTCAAAAACAGATCTCTGAATGAATTTGATCATGACACCGTGACATCAGTGGAATTTTATGGGGAATCATCCCCCAGTGCCGTAAGGTCAAGTTATCAGACCCAATGCCTGGGAACCCAGCGCAAAGTGGCAAGCGGCTGTGATCTTCTCTGTCTTGTCGGTGTGCCATTATGATCTGAATTGATCTGAATATTTGAATCCTTGCTCTACAAAATATCGGAACATAATATGAAGTAACTGGGCAAAAAAATGAGACGCGCGTGACGAAATCGTACCTTTCGTTCCTTTTGTCCAGTCATCGCAATCAATATTCGACAGCCAACCTTTACAGTCAGATAGTTTTGGCTGGGATTACAGGACGAAGTGACCATTTTTGGTTTCGCTGGGTTTCTGCTTCAACCATCAAACAGCAGACTGGGGGTCCCTGTCCCTGGGGTGTCCCTGGGGTCGCCCCTGGCGTTCGAGGCAAGGTACTTTGAGCACCTACCTTATGCAGCAGTTGGAGAGAGAATGTGAGGCCATCTGCGCGGTGGCCTCGGTGGCCTCGGGAGGATGAGGCCCAGATTGCCCCAAAGGCCCCGAAGAAATGGCAAATTTGATACGGAAAATTTGGGAACATGAGAATGAAATTGGGAAAGTGATGATTATAACATTTTATGACCATGAAATTTTGGGATACCCTATTTTCGGACAAAACCATTTGTTGATGTTGACGCGAGGATATTGCTTGTCAGATGTTTAGAACACCAATCAGGGACAAGGGCACCAATATATCCCAACTCCATGTCCAAACAGGACCAAACAGATGTAGAAACTCCATGTGGAAACCCGTTCGGAAAATGATCGTCATGGTTTGATTTTCACATGCTGGTTTAGAGGATGGTACCGCAATCCTATCCTGTGATAATGATCAGGGCTTTGTGTCCCTGGGCTATAACATCAATGGCCAATGTCAGTTGGCACCTAAAAGGGTAATCGTATGGACAGGAAAATGCCTCGGCTGTGCATGCGAAAACCGACTCGGCTGTGCACGGGAAAAGCAACTCAGTTGTGCACGCGGATGATGATGATGATGATGATGATGATGCTGGTGGTGGTGGTGGTGGTGATGTTGTTGGTGGTGGTGGCGGTGATGGTGATGGTTGTGGTGATGATGGTGATGATGGTGATGATTGTGATGATGATGATGATGATGCTGATGATGATGGTGGTGATGATGATGACGATGCTGATGGTAATGATGATGGTGGTGATGATGGTGATAATCGTGACGATGTTGATGATGATGGTGATGATGATGGTGTTGACGATGCTGATTATGATGATGGTTGTGATGATGCTTTTGATGGTGATGATGGTGATGATGATGATGATTGTGGTGACGATCATGGTGATGATGATGACAATGGTGATGAGGATGACGGTGGTGATGATGATGGTGATGATGATGGTGACGGTGATGATGCGTGTGACGAAGATGAAGTTGGTTTTGAGGATGAGGACGAAGATGGAGAATGATCATGATGACGAGGAGAACAACAATGATGGTGATAACCAGCTTCATGATGACAAGGATGCTTCGCTTTCGATGATCATGTCTTGGTGGTCCACGTTGCGATGATGATGGTTATATAAATATATTGTTTTTTGTTTTATTGTCATCATCATGCTTCTTGTTTTTATTATTCGCAATATTTTTGTGATGATGATGATGATGGTGATGGTAAGTCGAAGGAAATCGAGTAGCGGTTGTGCTTCTACAATGAAGTTAAACAACGGGTGTGGCTGCTAGATCCTACCCTTTTCTTCCCTAGCCCCACCCCAACCGCCCCAACCACACAAGGTTGAAGTGTGATGGTAAGTCGAAAAAAATCAAGTAGCGGTTGTGTCCCTATAATGAAGTTAAGCAACGGGTGTGGCTGGTAGTTCCTACCCTTTTCTTCCCAAGCCCCACCCCACTCCCCAAGGTTGTGTGTACAAGTGAGTCAATTTTGAGTGTACAAATGAGTCAAGCATATGTGTATACAACTGAGTCAGTTTTGTGTGCGCACGTGAGTCGCTTACCGTATGGACATGTTCGTTTTGACATACGGAAAAATTAGCGGACTGTATTTGAATGCATTTGATACCTGAGTGATATTCACAAAATTGCAAGGCTGTTGATGTGTATGATCCCCATTGACAGGAATCACTAGGGGTCAAAATCAAAAACCCAGTTTGAACCACAGGTGGACTATAGTGGACTGGTTTTTTTTAGTAGTTTTTAGTAGTGAATCCTCCTGGGAATTTAGCTAAAAGACTTAGGGACTGGAGGTCCTTAAAAAAATGCATATTTTAAAGGACAGTTTGGCCGGCAACAAATCCAGTTACAGTTTTTAAGATGTATATTGTTGTTTTGACGGTCTCCTATTCTTTAGGAGGCCTTCCTAGGAAAATCCTAGGAACTTGTTTTTTGCTTTGTTCATCAATGTTTTTGGGATTGCGTGTCGAATAAAAACCAACAGATGCTCACAAGCAGAAGACGTGAAAGTGAGATGGAATGCTTGACTGGAAATGGTGGAAAGACGTGAAGGCTCACCTAAAAGTATGGTGGAAATGGTGGAAATATGAAGACAAATGGACGAAGGTAACCAGTTAGCCAATTTTTTTGAAAAAAATCAGATCCCTGCTCCACCACCAGCTGGACACCTGCAACGCCCACTTCCCCAGGGATTCCCTAGGTTCCCCAGGATAATGACCACTTTGGCGTTTATTCTTTCTTTGGAGGCACCAAAACTGGTAGGTAGATCCATGAGTCTCCTATCTTTAAAGGGGGCTCACCTAAAAGACGTTTGGCCTCATTGATGGTGCTTGACTGCGCCGTCGTCCATTCAACTGCAACTTGGGGATCCAATCCTTTAAAGGGGCACCCAATCGTGTGCAACTTGGGTCTCCAATCCTTTAATGGGACACGTGTGGCTACTGTGTGCAATCTTGGTTCGTTGGTGTTAGATTCTTTAAGGCTTGCATTTGCTCTGGTTTGCATTCTTTAACAGGCTACCAGTGGTCCCTTAGAGATTCAGGGGTCAGCTTGAGGATCCGAATTCCAAGGGGGATAATAGTGAACTATTCTATTGTTTGGATACCTCACTTAATTCGATTCCTTTTTGAAGCGGTGAACTCGTCGTTTTTGTGGGTGACGGGCCGACGGGTGCGTATCCCACTTTCAGGAGCATGACGCATTGTCTATGAACCGTAGTAAAACCAGGGAAAGACACATTGCAAATATTCTAAACTATGGGTTCCTTGGCTCTTTCCTGGGTGGAGAATATGGGTTTTCCGAGTGATTTTTTTGCCTATTTGTGCGATTCCTCATAGCAGTCTCAACAAAAACCATAGTAAAAACATGTAAAAACCAAAAATAGGATATCCATGGATATCCCATTACTCATAGTAAAACCATAGTAAACCATAGGAAATTCCTCCCATGTTCCGTTCTTTTTTCGGTGCCCAGCATCTGGCAGGCAGAGGTGCTGCATGTGGGACATCATCGAGGCAGTTGGATAAAACAAATATGGTTTTAGGCGATAGAGATTCTCTATCGATATAGTGATTTAATGGTGATTAAGGTGATCAATGGTGATTAATGGTTCAACCCCCATCATCGAGGACAAAGTATGAGGGTTTCTTCAAATGGGGATCCTCAAATCATCATGGGTTTCAACACTAAGTCATGATCATCCATGACGATTGGATGATTTGGGGGTACATTTATTTTTAGGAAACTTCCTTATGGGGATATTCAATTCGATATAAAATTGTAATCATGACGATGAACCCCCTATGGGGATTTCTATTCCCATTGTGTTTGGATTCCCATTATGGGATGGATGACCATAAACTTTGCCATAAACCATATATACTACGTTGGCATTTCGCATATTTTTTATTTTTTTCCGTTTGTGTGAGTGTCTCGCTAGCGTCCTTAAAGTAGCCAGTTTGGTTCCAGCACCACTGCATAGTCAAAGCCATCGCTTTCCTTGGTCTTGCCCTCAGTCAGATTTGAGGCTAAAGAGCATCCAAATGATGCTTCCGTATCACATTTGAGTTTTTTCCACATCATAGCTTAATTTGATAGCAATTTAAGGTCATTTGCTCTTCCACCAGTCCAGGGGTCCAACGGTCCAGTAGTTCACCCATCGCTCTGTGCCCAGGCCCTGTCCAGCCGTTGCCTTCTGCGGTGCCAAGCCACATCTCCCCTTTGCAGGCCAGCCTTGACCGGGATCAGGATGACTGGGAGCAACGATGTGCCAACTTGGACTTTAATAATTGTAAATTGGCTGAAAATTCCTGAAATAGCCCATGATCAATGCCACTCAATTGCTATTTACACCATCATTGCTGCCCCCTGTTTGCCCAAAGAAGCTCTCGGCTTGGTGACGTCACATGGTTCCTGCGGTCCTTGCGGTCATTGCGCGTGGAGTCAGGATGGCGGATCAGGAAGGAGTTGCTCAGCCGGCGGCACAGCCAGAGCTGCCAATCGGCGAGCCGGAAGCCTTGCAGCCTGCAGCCCCGCTGGAGGAAGAGCAGGCCCAGCATGTGGAGGACTTCTTGGCCCAGGAGCTTGAGGAGGCTGATGTGCAGTCCTTGGCCCAGCGGTCCCAGCGGTCCCACTACCAAGATCCCCTCGTGGAGGCCGCGTTTGACCACAACCAGCGGGCGCAGCGCGAGATCGTGGAGAGCGTCAGCACTCTTCTGAGCCAGCAGCCCGCCATGAGCGCAGAACTCCTGATGCTGCGCCAGGAAGACATCCAGAAGTTCTCCGTGACGATGACCCAGGCTCCGGCTGGCTTCCGCCGCCGGTATGACACAGGGGTCGACTTTAGCTGGGCTCTGGCCGGGTTCAACTTCGTGGTTGGCTCCTTTTACAGGGGCGGCATCAGAACCCATGAGTCGCAGTCAGAGATGTGCGCCTGTGCCTCGTCCCAGATTTTCGCCAGCAAAGCTTTATAATTAATGATGGTTCGTTTTTCAATCATTTTCCTATAACTCAATGACAACTCTTTTTTTGATAAACGGAAATAATGTAGTTGATGTGCAGTTGATGATACTGGTGCCATCCGCTATCCCGCAAACTGAGACCTGAAGCTGACGGATGGCGCCTTGGTCGACCAAGCCCGAGACCTACTTCGGAGGATCCCGGTCCTGAGCTCCATCCCCCGGATTTGGGTCAGGGTGCCTTCTTTGACGTTTAGTACACAATCATTGCAGTTTGTTTGGTTGCTGCCTTCCAGGTCCATATATTGCTAATTTCCCCCAGTTTGTTAGGTCGCTGACTTCCAATATTGGTCCGTTTTCCATTGTCCCAAATTTCAACCACCAATGCTCATGCAACCAGGTCGCTGGTGCTGTCCAAGAGCTTCTTGAGCAGTTCACCGAAGCAGAGGCTGGTGCAGGTGGCGTGTTCAATTGCCCCATCCTCCTCTACCCCTGGTGGTAGTTCACCTGCTCAATCCCACGGATTTAGGTGAGCCCGTCAGCAGGCCGCGCTACTATTTTGTAGGAGTTCGACAGGATGTGGCCATTGTTGGTGAAGAAGTGGCTCAAGGCATGTACAACCATATTTGGCAAAGGTTGAAGAGCTCCAGCGGTCCTGCGGTCCCACTTGGCAAGAGGCTCTTGCCTGCAGAGCACAAGCTTGTCTTGGAAAACCAGTCCCTTCGCCAGCAAAGGTGGGAAGATGCCAAAGCTGCAAACTTTGGTGGCGACAGTAGGTCGCAGAAATGGAAGCAGCGCCATGCAGCCTGGCAGTTGGAGCATGCTGAGAGCCAGATCCAGCCAGACCCAAGCATGCCAAGCCCTGATGAACTTTTTCTTCACCTACCACGTGAGCGTGATGTGTGGAAGAACTTGCTGACGGACAAGAGCATGCCTAGACTGGCAGTTGCTGACTTGTCCCAAAGTTTGGGCCGTGTGCCTTTGCGATCTGATTGCACACCTACCATCACCCCTGGGTCCCACGTGGTTGTGTCTGAAGCTCGGAGAATGTTAGCTCCCATGGAAAGGCTCTTGCTACATTGCCTGCCAGTGCACACCATGTCCTTTGAAGGCATAACCGATGCTGAGTTGGAGGACATGGGTGGGAACATGATGCATCTCCAGACTGTGGGAGTAGCAATGTTGGTTGCCATCGCCCTTGTGGATTGGGCCCAGCCTGGGTCTAGATGCGGGAGATTGCCACAAGAAGGCAACATGGTTCTTGCGGTCCATGCGGTCCCTTCGGCCCCCATGCCAGCAGCAAGAAAGAAATCGCTGACTGCGGCAGAGAAGAAATTAGAAAGGCAGCTCCGTGAGCGATTCGGATTGAAGGTTGGCATCAAAAGAAGAGTGAAGGTTGACGCCTCAAGGCTAAAATCCCAGAAGAAGGTGAAGCTTCCCTGCTTACCTTTGCACAAAGCGTGCCTGCGTGGAACACGCTGGGCAGGCTGAGTGTTGAATTCGTTTTCATCTAATTCAGAGGCACTGTGAAGGTTCTTTCTGTCAGCGCCTGCTAAAAATTGAGGTGCTTCGAGGTGTTCTTTGAATTCTCTTTCACATTTGCCATGACCTGTTGTTGTTAGCTGAGGTTGCTAGCTTGCTCCACTGCTACGCCAAGGGCTTGTGCATTGCCTGTCGGGCAGATGTTGAAGTCGCTACCCGTCAAGCTTGGAAGCTGGATCGGTTCTTGTGGTTTCGATCTGCTCTGCGGAGTAGATCTTTTCAACTTCAGATTGGTCCTGCGGTCAATCGGCCCCTTGACTCCTCTTAAGCAAAGTTACGTTGTTTCATTGGGCTGCCGAGTGTTTATTATTAAGCCAAGCCTCGGCAGTTATTCTTTGATGCTAGTTCCACCTGAAAGGTCATATGCCATTTGCAGTGCACTCAAAGCATGTGCCAAATCGGAGGGCTCCAGGTGGACTGTAGTTGCAGGGGAGAGCAACTCCCAGAGGGGCAAGACTAGCTCAGTGAAGACATTGAGCTCAGTCGGTGATGTTCTATCTTTTATGCGGTGCATCAGAACATTGAAACAGACACGTGGAATCTCAGGTCGTTTCAACACATCGCAGCTCAAATGATTCCAGCCTGTAGCAAAAAGATGGAAAAAGATCTCTTCATCCGGCTTGGCTGTTTTCTCGATTTTGCGTCAAAAACAGCCCAGAATCACCCCAAGCCAATACACCTCCAGTTTTCAAAGACCAAGGGCGTAATGAAAGGGGATTTTCCCCTCCAAATACCAAAACTCAGGAATCGTACAATTGGGAAGCTTTCTCTCCTCTCAATCCACCTCCGGTTTTCGAAAACCAAGGGCGTATTGACCTTGGCATTGCCCTTCTCAATACGCCCTCGGTTTTTAAAAACCAGTGCCACGCCGCTTATAGCTTCAGAATTTTTGAGGATTTTGCATCTTCGCATGGCTTAGTGGATCTACGCATGATTTAAGTGCATCTTCGCATCAATGTCATATTTGTATAAATATGTATAATTATGTATATATATATTATATGTATGTATGTATATGTATATGTGTATATGTATACGTATATACGTATATGTATATGTATATATATATAATATATATATATGTAAAAATGCGCATACTATGTATAATATCTCTGTCGCACGTGTGAAGCATGCATCTTTATGTATCTCTATGTATGAGTATGTGCATATGTGCATGCATATTCATAGAATGCATGTAAAACTACAAAAAACTTACAAGTATGTAAACGTGTGTGTTGACCTCCAACACCTGTGAGGCCATGCCTCCAACACCAGTGGAAGCCAAAAAAGCAGTGAGGCTGTGGATGGCCACTGTTCAGTGTGGCTTGCCAAAAGAGGAGTGGAACCGTACAAGCCGCCTTGCCTTCAATGTGTCACGGCATGAAATTTGTTGATTTGGCTTGAAGAGTTGATGTGATCAAGACAGACCTTCTCTGAGCGCATGGTTTTGTACAGCTTTGAACTCCCTTTTACCTGACAATGACGAGAATAGTGGTTCTCTCTCCTATTCCCTTGCTCCACATGTTATCTTCCAATTCTGCCAAGAGAGAATTTCTATGCCTTAATGTAGTCCCAGACATTTAGCATTTCCTTCATGCCAGGGTGGAATCAATGCTCATTGCAAGACAGGTATAGGGCTAGAAGATGCGGATCGCAAAACAAGCATAAATTTTCTGGCGGCATAGAAGAGCGCGTTTGTTCCCAACTCACCAGCACAAGACGCACGCGCATAATCACCTGACCTAATGATGGCAGTGAAAATGGAAAACAATCGTGCAGCACGAAACAGGCCGACATTTCACTAAGCCATATGATCACAGCTGCAAACCCTGACCTGCGGAATGTTCTCAAACGCAAGAAACAAACACACAGAACGCAAAAATCACTGATGAGCAGCCAACACAGAGCCGCGTCTGAAAACCATGCGACCCAAAGCTTCTAAAGGCACCATAATAATCTATTGAGATCTAAATATTGCTGCAGCACTAAGAAGAGCCTGAAGCTTATCATTGCGTTACGACCTGCTGCCGATGTGCCATTTATAGCTTTAGTCTAGAATAGCTATTCGATAGTCTCGCGGTTTTTGCTGTGTCCGTGGCAGGGTCCTGCGGTCCTGCGGTCCACGAACGGCAAATTTTGATCATGTGGCTAACAGCTTCTTTTAGCAATTTGATCGCAAAAAAATCGCCAAAAAGGAGCTGTCCAAGTTGAGGCTATTTTGCAGCCAAAGGAAGCTTCAATGCACAGTTTTGTTAAGTCCTGCGCGAAAGCTTGCTTTACATGTATTTTAGCCTCATCCCTTATTTGCATTTGCCGTTGCAGCAATTTCTACAGCCGTTGCCATTGTTAGGTCCTGGCGGTCCAGCGGTCCTGAGTAGCCATGGCAAAAGCTGTGCCCGCAGTTCGGCTTCGTGGCAAGCAGCCATGCCCTCAAAGAGTGAAGAAGAATGGCCAAAAATCAAAGGGCAAGCAGACCAAGCCAAAACGAGACACGATTCGATGTCAAGCGTTGAAAGATGGCTTGTTGCCACCTGCTAGAAGGCCTTTTGCGCTCTTTGTCAAGGACAACGTGCGTGGGCAGAAAGGAGGTGGGAGAAGCGAATGGCGGCTTGAGATGAAGCGCTTGTGGGCCATGTGGCACAAGTTACCCATTGACCAGAAGAAGCGCTACTTTGACCAATCCAATGCCGAGTTTGCCAAGCAGCATTTTGTGATGAAGCAGATGGGCATGCCACTGCGAAAGTCAAGCTCGCGAACAACTCACACGCTGGCAAAGGACGTGCTTCCAGAACCTGAAGATCCTGTCATGATCGGAGGCTACAAGGTGGTGAATGCGGATCCTGGCCTTCCTGATTGCCATCCCCTAGGTGAAGGCGCTTATGGCAGCGTTTTCCTTTGCTTAGACAAGCTTCAACGAAGATGTGCTGTGAAGGTCTTCAAGAAGAAGAGCGCACTCGAGGATCTCAACCATGAGCTCGTCCTTTTGCAAGCAGTGCAAGAACAAAGCGACCAGAAACTCCGAGGATTTTACCCCTGCATTTTGGAAGCACAGCCCTGTTTCAAGCCTTTTCCATTTTTGGCTCTTGAATATTGTGGCTCCAGCTTGTTTTCTTTGCTTGGGGAAAAAGGAGCTTTTAGCGTAGATGACAGTCGCGCCATCGCTTTGCAGCTGAAAGCTGCAGTGCGTGGCTTGCACTCATTGCAGATTTTGCATTTGGATTTAAAAACAAGCAATGTGCTTTGGTGCGTTGTCCGGCGTGAGCTCAAGTTGGCAGACTTTGGGATGTCTGAATATATCCCAGGGTATGGTCCTTCAATTCGTTTTCCCATGTATGTAACAGCAAGTTACCGAGCCCCAGAATTGTGGCACGCTGCTCAAAGGGACCTTTCCAAGTGGTTGGGGCCTGCAGTCGATTTATGGTCGTTTGGTTGTGTTCTCTATGAGGTTGCAGTTGGAAAGATCCTTATGCGCCCACTGCGCAACAACCTTTGTGGTTGTGAGAACACCATCAAGGAGTGGTGCCAGCAGTGGCAATCCTTGCAGAAATCATTGCAGGGATCAATAAGACCAAGTCTTTCAAATGCACAGGTCAGCCGAAATTTTGACTATCGGCTGGTGAATCGTTTGCACTTGCTGGAACCAAGCTTCAGGCCAGCAATCAAGGCTATGCTCAACCCGGATCCTGCTCAGCGAGATTGGGCAGGCATTGATTGAGCTAAATCTGTAGGGTTTCTAGGGGCATAGAGACCTGCTGTGTGGATGATGGGGTAACTCATCCTGGCGGTTCAGCGGTCCAGATTGCGAAACAGCGACTTCCATCAGCTTTCTGGAGAAACAAATGTGCTCAGGGAGTGCAAGTCATGAGCGCATCGATCTGGTATCCATGTCATTGTGTAGGAAGTTGAAACCAGCACCATTTTGCACTTCATATTTGCCACTTCCTGGCGGCTGAGGTCTTGGTGCAAACGGATGGCGCATGCGCAAGACAGAAAAAATGGCAGCGGCTTGAAATATACCCAAATCCCTTAGTATTTTTCGGCACCGTTGAATTGCCATCCCAGTATATAATATTGATAAAACATTGCAATTAAAAAAACAACTATTTTGATGGTGAGTACCACCCATTTAGTACATGATGGAATTGGGGATGGTGGATTAGTGGGACCTATTGCTTTAAAAGGACAATCGAGATATGAAAAATTGAATACCTGGAGATCCCCATCAAAATAGTGCTTGGGATATAGGAATTTGGGATATAGAATTCCTGCGCTGCCCGAGAGTTCGGCAAGTTGGTAGCAGATGAACTTCAAATTTATGGTCCATTTATGGTAGATATATCATGAGATGTCTATATGGTTGTCGATCTAAAGGTCCATGTAGAGATTGTCCATTACACAGGCCGCCAGGGTTCCAACATGAGAGCCCGCGACAGTTTTTTTCCTGAGCTCGCGAAAGTCATGTTTTGGTCGACAGATTTAGCATGATTTAGCGAAATATTTTCACATGAGACCCCCGCAAAAGATAACCGTGGGGTGCGCAAAAGATTCGCAAAAGTACTTTGTTTATTCGCGAAGAGTGGTAGTTCGCAGATAAAAGAATTTAGATCAACCGCCATATATTTGATTATTTGATGGAGGTTTGAAACAAACCCACTTACAACTGGGGGTCACCACCTTGTACATTTTCTTTTTTCAGGCGATGAATCCATGCCTGCGCCGGCCAAAAGGCACGTGACTGACCCCACGGGGTCCATGACGATAACCTCTGTGCATTTGCAAAGAAACTTTTGTGATGCATTTTGAATCATTTTGATGCAGATTCTGAGAGCATCTGACACTAGTTTGGTGTTCCTAAGAGTTACTAATTTCCCATACGTCGAGGCAGAAATTGATTGGGGATGGAGAAGCTGATGACTTCACCAACGAGGTTGGGCCTTGGGGGAAAATCATCGAACGAAATGGCGAAATGGGATTTTCCAGGGGATTTTCCAGCTTACCATGTTTGATGACCGGAGGGCGAATGGTAACATGGAACAAGCGGCTAAACGGCGATCAGCTGCATGGGACATGGATCTACAATTTCTTCGAAGTCAAACCACCATGTCACCATGTTAGGTTGGCGGTAGCAGTTTTTGGTTTGTCACTATATCAGCAGCTCATATGGATCAAAGGGATATGGATTAAGGATCGCCGATGCTTTCAAACTGGTGCTTTGCATCAGGTCTGTACCATGTTGTATCCATGAACTGGAAGATTGATCACGCAAATATACGCAAATCATTGTTCCCCATCTATATATATATATATATGATTTTCCCAGCTAGAAATCTCCATTTATAAGAGAGTATTAGAGAATATAAATGAATATAAGAGATTTCCCATTGCTACGTTTGACTACCGGAGGGTCTTCGTGTCACGTCTTGCTCGTTGTATCCCATCAGCACAATTCCCATGAATCACCATGGGATCAGCCGTTGTAACGGCCCAGGATTACTATGACGTCAGCGATACGGAGGCTGGTAGCGATGACTTTGCAGTGAGGTGGGGGGAAAAAAAGATGGACGCTGGACACCGCTGGACGCTGTGGACTGGGCCTGGTGTAAGAATGAGAGGTAAAACAAGAACAATAGAGTAGTGTTCAAAACCGCTGTTGGTTGATGCTTAGTTCGGGGATTATACTACCCAATATATTAGGGATTATTAGGGATTACAATAATCCACTAGGGATCACTGGGGGAATTCTTATAAACCAACCAGTATAATGTCAGTTGTTTCATCCGGGCACCGCTGCTTGCGCGCTGTGGAGCCAGGCGCGCCAAGTTTCTTAAGGCGATGCGCGATCGCTTTGTGGACGGCCTAGAAAGGACCAGGGGGTGGCAGTTGTTTTTCCCCATGGGCTGTCCTTCAAGTCACAATGGAGACATGATATATATAATGAATATATAATGTATATAGGTATTGACATGGGAGATATAGGGATATGTGATATGTTTCCATTACTTTGGGTTCGTCGGAAAATGGGGTATTACCCTCGCAAGTCAGTCTCTATGGAAGCAATTATGGAAGCCATGGTCCATGAAAGTAGATCATTTACCCTTTGAACATGGTGATTTTCCATAGCTATGCTAAATCACTAAATCACCGAACCCCAAAAGAATGCTAAACATATCTTGGAAAACCTGGAAATGATGGGGAAAGACTTTTCGGCATCTTTCTGGGGGTTACTATGCAGGAAGGCATGAATTTACTGCCCACACAGGGTTCCCCGAACCGTTCCCTTCAACATCCTTCAACCATCTCCGGGAAAAGAGTCTCAAGTGCCAACAGAAATTGAGGAATGGGGGTGTTGAAACTTGTTGAAGCTCGTCAAGAGCTTAATTAAATCAACAAAATCTGGGCCAGAATATGCCATACTTCAAACACTATCTTTCTGTGAACATGCGCATCTATTTGGCTGTGGATCAATACCTATAAGTACCATTTTTAGTGGGTTATTCACATCCATAAATCCCAGCTATGACTTGGGGTTCACCAGAGGTACCAGGCTTTTGACCCATCCCCATTTTTTCAGATCGCAGATCCGCCAGGAATTTCGATTACGCCGCGTTGGACGAGAACTCGGACCTGGATGATGTCGTGGAATTGGGCCGAGATGCAGAGGTCCGACCTACCTGACAGCACAGATGGGCCACGGCCCTAAGGTTTGGCGATGAAAACCAGTACCCAAAGTTGCATGGTAAAATACACATGGCTATGAATCAATACCTATTAATACCATTTTTAGTGGGTTATTCACATCCATAAATCCCAGCTATTTTGATGTGAACTACAGGGGTACAAGGTTTTGACCCACTGCCACATAAAATCACATAAAATACAAAGCAAATGCCAAACTCTGTGATTTTCTTGGGTCTGAGAAGTTCTGAGAGTTGTGCAGCCCATAAGCCCATTTCAACTCCACTTAGTTGTCCAATAAAGGCAGCATCGTTATCCATTTCAATGCAGCAAGTGAATTGTGCCTCCTTTTGCAGGGCATGGGAGTGGCGGAGTACCCCTAATATATCCTAATATCTCCTAATATCTCCTAATATCTCCTAATATATCCTAATATCTCCTAATATATCCTAATTTCTCCTAATATATCCTGATATATCCTAATATATCCTGATATATCCTAATATTGAATACATGAATACCACCTTTTCATGGGCTCCTAAATGAACATATCCAATACGAAACTAGGGGGAAGGGATCTTCCGGCCATTTCCGGCTAGGAAAAGTACTTTGATGCTGAGTGAAGCAGTGGTGCCCCTGGGCCAGATGCTCAGCCACAGCCTCTCAAGTTGGCTGCAGTTTCTACATGTTTCTACAGGTGGTTCAGTTTGTCCCTGTTTCAACATCATTTGGATTCCTGTCCAGAATCGTTGTGTTGTGAGTCTTGGATGACAGGCTGGGGTTTTAAAGACGCAATACAAAGTTTCTGCAGTGGCGCCGTTTGACAGAAAAATGTCGTGCGGCCCTGGTGCATGTGTGACCTTGCAAGCTCTATTATTGGAGGTTTTGTAGCATGTTGTGGCCCCAGTCTAGATAAGATCTCTATAAATCTGTTCTGCAGTGTGTTGCCATCTCCTTTCAGAGGACAAACACAACACAGTTGTCTTTTTCCAAGTGTTGTACGGTTTGGACCCATTGTTGCCTTAAATTATATACAGTAATCAGAATCATTATATATATATAGGAGGGATTATGAAGATACTATATCGTACATAACATATTTATTCCCAGCCGTGTCTGCACAGCTCGAAATCCTGCAGCATTTCAGCTGAAGCGCCCAGCAGGATTGACCCCTTAGGTGTGGAACACTCCAGCGCCATGCCCGTGGGCACTTCCAACAAGGCGGAAAAGCTTGACGTCATATGTTATGATGTTATATGATTTTCATATGAACAAAGGTCTGAACATGTTGGGGGAAAAAAGCATGAAGCGATGGATTGAAGCCTCATTTTAATTCATTTCAGTTTTTTGATGGCTATAAATCGGGGTATAGTCAATTTTCAGACACCCACATGAAAACTTCTAAATGAATAAAATATCATGGGTCAGATCGGGTACCCCAAAGTTGGTTTTCAGATGGCTAGGATTTGCCGGTGTCGGTGGCTACAATTTGGATCATTTTTGATATATATGGAAATGGTCCGAAATATGAGTAACCCACCCCCCATTCCTGTCATCCCAAATCCACCACTTCATGATGAACAGCAACATCGATCCTGGGGTGCCAGGCACCTTTGGGACATGACTAACTGTTGCCTCGAATAGTCGCATTTGAGTGTTTTCTCAGCATTGGTCAATCTTAGTTTATTGTCTTGACTTTTCCTGTCTTACTTTCTTCACCGTCCTTTTCTTGTCGGTGATTTTCCTTTTCTTGTTGGCGGAATAACCTTATCTGTTCCTCTGTTATTTCACTGCCTCCTTAATTTTGTCCAGATGTTCCCGGTCTTTGTTGGTGAATTCACACCTTGTTGAGGCACAGAACGATGTCATCCGCAAGAAGGGTGCTGCTTCCAAGAAGGTGTGGGATTTCACAAAGATTTCACAACGAAGGCATGGCATCTTTCAGCCAAACAAAGTCGGGAGTTTCCAATGGTCCAAACAACGGGTTGTCTCAATGATCATGGGATGACGCAACAGACACGGGGATATACGCAGCTTGTGGTGGTTTAAATTAGTCTATCAGGTTCCCCTGCAACCTACAGTATTTCTTCAAGCCAACTCCGTGGTTCAGCGGCTGAAAGGGTCTCCCAAACGATGGGAACGTTGGTTTATATTTAACTTATAACATTTTGCAACTAGCATTTCTGGTGGATATATCATGATGTATCTGTTGTTAGATGGGGTTATATTGAAACAGAACTGCGGGGGGGCTTCATGTAGAAGGTGGTCACATCATCCATACAAAATCATGTTGGTTAAAAAAACCAACAACTTGTGTGGTTAATGTGAATATACGTCTATGGTTCCATGTATATATATATATAATATGTATATATAATGTATATAGATATATGAATAATACATAATATATATATATATATATCCCAACGGAAACCATGGCCTATAGAGGCTGTTTTTCATAACAGAGGAAGGGATTACTTTCGAAAAAGCCCTCGGCGGCGCAGGGGGTGACCATCATCCCACCATCCCCCCCAGGAGATGACTGACGAGGATATAGAGTTCAAGAAGAAGCAGGTGTGGTCACATGAATCAACGAGGTATTTCCATGGGTTTTTCCATGGGTTTTTCGATGGGTTTTTCCACTGTTTTTCCATGGTTTTTCCATGGGTTTTTCCATGGTTTTTCCCATGTGGTTCCATTGTCTTCAATGGTTTTTTCCATTGTTTCTGGGACGATTGCTAGTCAAGAATGATCATAAGACCCCAACTCGAACGGACAGTGTGAAGGGCATATATATATATATACACACTCGGCCAGATGAAATTGGGGTTTTTCCAACTTAGTTCTTGTTGAGTTGAAGCCCTTTCCTGCGGGGATGATACATCAGTTGGATTAATGGTTCCCATGAAAGCATCGAATTCAAAGCCTACTGGGACGATGGTTGTTATCATTGAGCCAGTCATGTGATCAACCCCACAAAATGACTGGTTAAAGCGCAGAAATGACCGATTCTGCGGGTTTCGACACTTATCTTCCCCTTTGTCTATGGATGTTTATGGCCATGATATCCCTATAATGTGGATGTGGGGAATTTATCAATTTAACCAACAAAAAACTGTGATTTGACACGATTTCAGCCGTAAAAGCATCGGATGTCATCATGGAAAATGGTCCTTTGCCGCGTTCAAACCATGGTTTTCCCATGGGAACAAATCGTGTGTTTTCGCGTCAAACGCCAGGCCGAAGAGAAGAAGGCTATGGCAGCTGCTGCCAAGTCGATGGGCAAGAAGAAGTCCTTTGGCCCTGCGGATTTCCGGAAATGTCAGCAACTTTCGAGGTTTAACGAACTGGTTGAACTAATCAACGAAAAAAACAAGGCTTGAATCAACGGCAAATGGTGACTTACCAATAAAAAAGAGGGAAATCACTATGAAACATCGGGGTAAATTATAACGACCTCACTGCCACCTCACTGGAATCATGGTTAGTAAGGGCAATCATCCCCAAATGGCCTTAATTCAGATGAGTGAAATATTATAATTTACCCAGAAACATGGATATTTCGTCAAGAAAATTGGGATTTGAATGATAAAACCGGATTTTGTAAGCAAAAAGATTAGGATTCAACTATCTGGACTGTGCTGTATGGATTTAACTGATTTAAGAGTATTTAAGTACGTATACCAAAAATGAGGGATTGAAGCGGAAACAACATATGATATGGATTTAACCACTTAAAAAAAGGGATTCACCATCAATAACTATAGGGATTGAATGATTCCACTATGAAAAAAATAGGGCTTTATCCAACATAATATGAAGCACCAACCATGTGGATTCAGCCGAGAAAATTGGGATTCACATATCAACCATTGGGGATTCATGATTTTCAAAACAAACATTGACGTGAATATCATGCTTGGACTGAAGCAGCAAAATCCAAATTGTTGTAGTTTAGAACTAGGGGTTCTACGATCTAGCCATACAAAAGCGGGAATTAACTATGAAAGATGGGCAGAATCTGAGAGCATTTTCCTTGCTGAACTTGTGACCTCTTAGCTGGTGCTACGGAGCCCCCAAAATTGCAAGTTGAATGAGTACAGTCACAATAAACCGCTGGATTTTGGGGTGGTGTATATATTAATATATTATATATTCTATATACACATATATATATATATATTTTATATTATACATTACATATTCTATAACCTCTTTCTGGTCAAACCCCCATCACCAGTCAAGCTGTGCTTCGGCCTGATTTTTGATTTGACTGAGGTGAAGCCCGAAATGAAATCTGCGCCATTTCTGCCATGAAGACCGGTGGGCCGAACGCGTCAACCGGCAGGCAACAGAGACTCACAGACTCAGGGGAAAAGAGCTTGCATGTTTTTCTGTCATTTGAGCTGCGATCTGCCCCAGTTGGTTGATGATGTTAATTTGGGATATCTTTGGGTATGATACGGTGTGATCATCATCCATGATCTGAATTGATCTGAATCCTCAGCCACCAAACAGTAGAATGATGGAACCCATTTGCTGTCACTGAAGCTGCCAACTTTGTGGGTCCATTGCTACATATTGCTACCCAAAATTTCGACTCATAGCCATGGTACTGGCCGGGGGGATCTGGTGCAAGGCGTCCATTTATCCCAGCCGGAGATTGGTCTGTGCCGCAGCTTCAAGTGGAATCCTGGATCATGATTCATGAAAGCCCGATGTGACCATTGTGACTCGAAAGTCACCCTGAACAACTGGAACCTTTAGGTTTGCAGGGTACCATTCTGCTAACAGGTGACAACGGCCTCACATGGCTGGGTCAGTCTTCGGGGATCACACAGGACCCGCAAATAATTGATCATTTTTGGCGGCGTGAAAAACCATCTCAAATGCAGGGTTTGACCATTTTCACCCATTACATACATGTACATTACACATATATACATATATACATATATACATATATACATATGGATAGATAGATAGATAGATGGATGGCTAGATAGATAGATAGATAGATAGATGGATAGATTGGTAGATTGATAGATTGATAGATGGATGGATAGATGGATGGATGGATAGATGGATAGATAGACAGATAGATTGATTGATAGATTGGTAGATTGATAGATTGATAGATTGATAGATTGATTGATTGATTGATAGATTGATAGATAGATAGATTGATAGATAGATAGATCGATAGATCGATAGATTGATAGATTGATAGATTGATAGATTGATAGATTGATAGATTGATAGATGGATAGATAGATTGATTGATAGATAGATAGATAGATCCTACAGTATGTATATGTAAGACACAATGACATCAGTTGCGACCCACTTCACGGATCAAATGTCCACTCCATGGGATCTCAAATGGCGTGGGAGTCATGGTGCGCTGGAGTGAATCTTGGGCGCAGGGGCGGGCCAGGGGAGGTGGGTACCTGAATATTTAGGGGAAAGCTCATGCAAAACCAGTTCATCATCATTTCCCCGAAAAGGACCGTAACAGCGAGGTTGGCAGCCCATTTCCAGAGACACTCAGACTTGGCCCACTCCGATTTAAATGATTTTCCCAGGACAACAAAATCCATCAGGGAGACAGGGAGACTGTCCAGGATCCAACGAAGAGATCGATCTAAAAATGGTGTCTTTCCATCTGTGTATGTCCGGAAAAGGGAGCATACCATCCCATGTTATATATGATTAATATGTAGATTATGTATGTATGTACATATATATATATATATTTATATATATATACACGTATTATGTATGGTATATGATGTTATGATCGAATTTTAGGTTACGGAACATGAACAGAAACCACCACTCCAGCGGCGTTACCGAGGACCTGCGGCATGCGGCTGAGCGAGCGGAGTGCGAGGTGGACCTGGAGGAGAGCGATGTTTGTTGTCGTCGTTGGGTTCCAAGAAATTTGTTGAATTTTGGTACTCTAAACCCTTGAAAACCCATGTAAAACCAGGTAAAAACCATGTAAGAGGCATGTAGAAACCTCAACCATAAGAATTTGGCACCTTCCGATTTTCGTTGAAATGAATTTGAATAATTAGTGATTTCGACCATCTAAGATTGGAGGTTTGGGGGTTAATGTTTTTCACTAACAAGTCACTGGATGGTTCTAGCCCTAAGAGGCTTCACTGATGATGTACCAGGGTTTGACCTGTTCCCCCTTTGGTTTTGTCTGAAAATTATGGCAAAACCCATCAAAACCCAATTCCATCTACGGGCTAATCATTGATCATTCCCCAAGAATTAAATGATTTAGAATTGCCACAACAGGAATATCTGTGATATCCCTACCCCCTGCATTGGTTTGGAGGACCTGCCTCCACTGGTTTCGCATGAACCGGTGCTGATGGAGGATTCTTGGCTTCCCCCGGAAGCTGAGGACGACACCAAGGACAGGGGATAATACAGCCAACACAAGAGACAGTGAAGATAGTGAAGCAAGGAAAAAAGGGGTTCACATGTCTTCACTAAAATAAGTCATGGAATGTATAGGAAGGTTTCATAAGATTTCGTGGTTTAAATCCCGGGATCTGGATGATCTGTCACTGTCTAAAAACTGGTGCAGAAACAATAGTAAACCAGCCCCCTTCAAGATTACATAAGTGACATAAGTGTATCTCGACACGAATGAGTTTGGTAAACGATGACAGTGGTTGATATGTTTTTGAACCCAAATGAATCGTGGGGGATCTGCTTGAACAACGCCGCTCTCACACACACACACAAAATGCAGCGGTCCTGGTGCCTGTGATACCGTGCCTGTCAGATCCTGTCAGTGCTTTGTGGACCATAAAGCCTTGCGATGGGCTTGGTTTGAGAGTACAGGTGTGACAAAAGGACAGAACATGCTGAAGAAAGAGATGGATTTCAATGGGTTTCATGCCAGTCGCAATGACCCAATCCAAAGGCCTTGCTGTTGCAAAACAGGTAAGTCTTTGTGCCGTTTCGTGCCGTCATGTTTTCATGGCCTTCTCCAGAGATGGCAGTTGCTGCCAACTGCCCTCTCCACTCATATCCACTAGCAACCGAAGGAGGAGGGCTATGATTTAGGACGATCCATGATTGCAAGAAGATGCAAGAAGCTACTTGGAGATGGCCCACTTGGACACTCGCAAAGCATTGGATAATATTGGATATTTCTGTGATTCACAGCCATCACAGCCCAAATGTTATGAAACTGCCGGCATTTGAACATCCCAGCATAGCCCCATTGGATTCATTTTTGTAGGGTTCAACCAGGGTCTCTCAATGAAATGACCTGTATGTTATTATGTTTTTTGCGAATCTGCCAGGAGGTGCCATTGCCACTGATCTCCAAGCCTGAAAGGCAAGAGCCCTGCAGCCCTCCAGCTTCAGAGGAGGAATGGTAATCCAGGATCTAGGTGTCCCAGTCTTGTTGGTCTAAATATATTACCATAAAAGTCCTAAGGCCGTACTTTTTTGAGTCCTTGCCGAAAGTGGCACAAAAGAGGATCATCGCCGAAAAAACATATAGCAATGCCGAGGTTCTACGGCCGAGGGTTTATAGCAATGTTGTTGGATTCCACGGCCGAGGGTTTATAGCAATGTCATGGGTTCTATGGCCGAGGGCCGAGGGTTTGTAGCAACAAATGTTTGGCTCCCATGATCCATGTCACGAAAGGTAGCGTCAGCTACCTGAGTTCTCCGTGCTTCAGCACAAGCTTAGGGGGTATTGGGGGGCCAGCCCGTGGAATTCATGGAATTCTCGCCGTTATGTATTGGATATCAAAGAAAGGGGCCCCCCCCCCGAAAATGGTCATGGGTTCAATTCCCACGGGTGACGCGGTCACGGGCCCCCACATCACTTTCCATGAGGGAGATGTCCCTGTAGTCCAGCATAATTGGTTTGCTTCAGCTTCAATAACAGTTGCTGCAAGGGGTTTTAAAAAGGGGTTTTAAATAAACCCCTTTTCGTGCATCATTTCACGCTGCACAAGACACCGTATCATGCAGTCATGCTCTGGATAAAATCATCTTAGACTGCGCAAAAAAGTTTTTGGTGTATCATCTTAGGGGCGCAACATTTTGACACCACTCCTCTCCCACTACACTACCTTTCGTCCGCCTCCGCCTGCTCTCAAGTTATAAGATCTCAAGAGATATCTTCAAATCACACACGATCATGTGGATGGGAAATTCTTGGTATCCTTGGTTCCCATAGTGGATACCCATAGCTCCTTAGCTCCCTCCACTCAATCAGATGGCCCAACATTTTTTTCAAAAAACAAATTAAATGTGATGGAGCTCGAGGAAAATTCACTCACGATTTCTCACGATTTTAGAGCCGCTATATGTACATTTTAGGTCCTTTACGTACCTTTTAGGGCCTTGGGGACGTACTTTTTGAGGTCCTGCTCATGATTACTCACAAATTTAGATGTTTCCTCATTTTGCAAGAATTTGCACACTTCGCAATGCGGAGCCACGATGCATGCATGCATGCACACACTTGTTTTTTTGGACGCTGTATTTAACCCCAATACCGGGTTTGGACGCAAACTTTTGATGTGCAAAAGGGTTGCATGACATAGCATGTTATAGCAACGTTCCTTTTTAGCCATAAGGCCTCAAAAGGTACATCATGAGGATTTTATATACATGGACGCACTTTTTTGACCCACTTTCTGCGGATTTTCATAAGGACGTACTTTTTGAGGTCCTGGACTTCCAGGGTTATATAATAGTTATATATATATGATATACATATAATCAATGGGAATTTCAGGATCCTAAAATGGATGTACCTACCATATATAAGGCCTTTTTTTCAGGCCTATGTAAGTGAATATCACCACAAAATATGGCCCAAAATATGGTACTGACGTAGCTCCATTAAGCGACAACGATTCAGGTACCGAACCTGGCTGTACCTGAACATACCAGACCTATTAATGGCTATATGAGGGTTTCCATTTCCTCCAAAATGGATGTTTTTTTTTCATAAAACATCCTATGATATCCTATATAATATCCTCTTCAAATGGATGATTTGGGGTACCCCAATTTAGGGGAGCTCCATATGAAGAAATCATGTCAGAACGCAAAGGTTGGATTCATCCTTTTTCCATCAACAAGGGGGAGGGATTGAAGGATTCAAGCTCTCGCGCAGGAAGATGAAGATGATGAAGAAACGGAGGAATTTCAAGAAGCGGACGAGGACGAAGATGAGCAGGTGTGGCGCCCTGCCGAATGCCATGGTGTCATGGTCTGTCAAGAAATGGGCTATGAAACAAACGGGGAACATATGGGAAGATTATGATTTTCCAAAGCACTGGATTTTGGGGTACATACTAAGTTTTTGGTGAGCCGCAAATGACCAGTCAATATCTTGGTTTACACTCCGGTAATCAAACGTGAATTTTTATATTTTAGATCCAATGAAGCCAATTGCCACGTTAACAAAAGCCCTTTTAGCCCAGAATTTTACGTTTCAGCGGGGATTGGGGGGAATCCCCGGAGTAGGATCAAGTTGAGTGGTTGCCAACCAGAAAAAACTGAGGCATTTTTGGTGGGTTTCCCATGGCCATGTTTTGACATGGTGGATTTCATGATATTTCATGCTGCTTCGGATGTTTTGAGGCTGAATTGTGCAGAGGTTGCCAGGTTAAAAGAAATATGCTGGAGAAATGGCTACGTTTGAATGTTCGTCTGTTCGTGTTTGTTCTGGTTGTAGTCCATAATATTGTACAGTCAATACAGTTGATATAGTCAATGCAGTCCATATACATACGTATCACCCCACATATCCATACTCCATACTTTGAGGATCATCCTTGGTTACTAAGTCCCCATTCAGTAGATTATCCCATTTATAAGTGGCTAAACTAAGCCCAAAAACACTCACCACTTACTAAATGGGGTATAGTCGTGAACTAATAACTTGGTTAACTATTGGTTTATGGCAAGTTCATGGGTGATACTAATATTGTATATCTACAGTCTATAGTGAATGGGGGGGTCCATATAGTCCATATAGTCCATATAGTCCATATAGTCCATATAGTCCATATAGTCCATATAGTCCATATAGTCCATATAGTCCATATAGTCCATATAGTCCATATAGTCCATATAGCCCATATCCCTCTATGTATTGGTTACAAAAGTTTCCCTTCCACGACAGGACGGCATGAATCGCCAGGAGCCCTTTGAGCAAGAGCTGCCGGAGGACCGCAGCTTGCCGCAGCCGGAGGCCGGTTGGTTGTTGCAGTTCAGTGGGTTGGGTTCCGGTTTCAATGTTCCATCAAAAACCACTCCTGTATGAATAACTTACAGTATGTTTTTGGTGAAATTGGATATATATATATATATACATATATTGGATATGTATATATATAAATAAATATATATATATATATATGTATGTTGTAAACAAACAACTTGGACAGCCATATATATTTTTTGGGGAGCAAACTTCGCAAAAGCATCCAGTTTGGCCAGGGCATGCCGGATGGACCGTGGCGAGTTGGAGAACTTGAGCTGCCTGGCATTGCAACTTCCAGAGCCCCCCAGTGATGTTGGTTTAGATTCACCCCATGAATACTACAGCATTAGCATCTATAAAATCTATAGTTCATATATGTTCATATAAAACCTATGTGTTTTTTTGCAGAGTATCTATAAAATCTATAGTTATTTGCGTATCATGAACCTAGCTATCGTTTAGGGGCACCACATTGCAGTGAAATGTTTGTGTTTCGGCTTTCGAATCTTGTGCGTTGATCTCTCATTCCAGAATTGGGTGAAAGGACGAGTTACAGTTGACACCCCCCTATAGTTGGGGTAAAAAAATTAGCCGGTTTCAAGTAACATGTTTAACCAATGCATTGATATATGACAGTATTCCCATTGATTAAAGGAAGTTACCTTTTCCACAAAGCATCTCTCAATTTTCCCATTGGTCGATACCTTACCCACAACAGTTTCATCCACAGCACAGCGCTTGCTGCCACCAAGCTTGTTGATGTCATGGTGCTCCATGTAAGATTTCAGACATTCATGGTATATTATGGTATATTGTTTGCCACTTTTGTACGGCATAGTCTTCAGTTCCATGAGCATCTCGCAGCTCTTCCTTGATTCGCTTCAGCTTCTCGTTGCACTTCATGAACACCAAGAAATGCAAGAAAGCCATCAATGATTGACACTCTTCAGGAAGGGCTGGAACTGTAGCAGTCCTGCGAAAATGCTTAGAGAAGTTCTCAGTGCCCCAGAGATGATTGTTGTCGCTCGTCACCTCTGCGTAGTGTACATGAGGCCTTGCAGCGTGAGCAGCTCCATGTAAGCATGCCATAGTGGCCATAGTGCATGAATACCATCAATGCCCTCAAAGTCATGGAATCCTGAAGATCTGAGCTATCATCAATGGATAAAGGAACGTACATGATGTTCTTCTGGAATGCTGCACTGGACTGAAAGAACTCATCTCTGATCCCCTTGCGAAATGTGTTCAGGTCCATTCCAAGTGTCAAAGGCAAAGGCCAGGTAAAGGAAGCCAAAATGGCTATAGCAAACATAGCATAGTTCAAACCAGTGGTGGGGGGCGGTGAAACACATTATACCCATATATATATATGTATAATATTATTCATTTTTATTATCATTACTACTGTTATTATTATCAGTACTTTTATTATTATTGTTGTTAGTATATTATTATATATATATACAAATATATCTTAAAAATTATATTGATATATACATATATACAGCATATATACATAGATAGCATATATATATATATATACACATATATATATACATATACATATACACCTACCCTAGCAGATATTTCATGGTTTCCCCCGGCCATCGGGTATAAAAAGACCGCGAGGTTTTTCAGCGCCTTCGATTCGGGCAACCTGGCGGGCGCTCAGTTCGCGCGGCCCCTTCCGGCATCAGAAGCGGTGTCCAAGAAGGCCCCGGATCGCTGGGCGCCGCGTTACCTTTTTTCATCATTTGGGTATGGGTCAAGCCGAGTCTAACCAAGACTTCGGAGTTCACAGAAGAAGAAGAAGAAGGTATGGGTCAAGTCATTTGGTACCCCAGTTGGATGATTGGTCCAAAAGATCGACTAAAATCTATGGTTCCCAAGGTCTTGAAGTTCCCAATCTGTGATCCAAAAAAGGGGTGAGCAGAGTGCCAGGACCTGCGGTCAGCCGATGTGCAGTGGGCAGCAGAAGTGGATGGCAACTCAGTTGCCTCAGAAAAGATGGGGTGAGGGTTGAATCCATTGGAAGTGGGGGGTTTTGCTAAAAGCCACATGGAGCCCTCAAAAGCTCGATGTGCACGTTTTACATTGGGAACCCCTCAGAAACTCTCTAGAAACGGGGGTCTGTGACATCCAGAATATCACATCAGAAGCTTCTCTTTTCCGGGTGAATCTCCCGCTGTTTGCCAATGTTTGCCACCATGCCAGCAAAGCTGGAGGCAAGATTCTTTACCAAATGCTGCACAACTGCAGCGTTCGAAAAGAACCTCATCCAAAAGCCAAGCTTCTCACAAAGAAGTCAGCTGGCGCTCGCTTGTCTCCTGGCTCCGAGATGTGAAAGAGAAGCGACTTTGGGAGACCAAATGGGAAAACCCAATATGAAAGACTCCCTTTTTATGGTCCAAATGTGTGTCCCTAAATGGTCCAAATCTGTGTTTGATATCAGGGATGGGATTGTTTGCACTTGATAATCTTGATATCGTTGAAGGCTCTCAATTTCTCCTCAATGATGTTTCTGCAATGCTTGTGATTGGGTATACTTTGGATATACTTTGGATATAGATTGTGTACAGTTGTCTTCATTGTGGACTGCACGCTCCTCCGCTAATTGTCCCAGTTCCTTTCATCCAGGTATGCAAGCTGTCGAGTGACGCTAGGAGGTTGGCAAAAGCTTGTGGATGAGGCTGGTTTCCCTGGAGATTTTCTTCGAACCCCCTGGTTGATGATTTGATTTTGGATTCTATTTTATCCAATTAATATTAGGGATCAACATCATGAACTGGGAATTCCTGTTGACCAACCACTAAAATGGAACGGCAGCAGGTTATATAAACTGCTCATGTGGGTTTGGTTCAAAAATGCACTGCAGTTACATCTGGTGTTGAATCGTTGAATCGTTCGTTACGAGACATTACGAGTAGGAAAAAATCGGAACCACATCTACACAGCTATTTCTTCCCAAGAAATGCGGTTCCAAGATATGCCAAGTCTACGTTGCGAAAGGCCTGTGCAACTGAAGATTAATGATCCTGTTTGATAACCCAAACCTAGTCACTGGAGCGTGCTGGCACCTAATGAAGTATACGTTGGAAACACTGAAATAAATGGATCCAAATTCATAAGACCTCAATCACGACTTAGAGTTTTAGATGGTTTCTAGAGCCCTTGTACTCGTACCTGCTAGATTTTTATATAGACAAGCCATATCCCTGTCAATTGGAGGGTTCAACAATCATTGACCCCATTTTTTCAGATTGATAATCATCATTAATCATCCATAATCGATGGTTAACACGCCCTTACAAATAAACAACCAGAGGTTGTTGTCCCAGCTGGGGGGTAGGCAGACTCTGACAGGAGGGATGGGCCCAGCTGGGCGCCACGGCCGAGACTGAGGGAGAGCCGGAGCTCAAACGTGGCACGGAAGACATGGGAAGGGGTACGGTTGGTTTGTTAATATGGGATTCGTCATGATTCGACATTTACCATCTGGTTATTTAACATAGCCATGGAAAATCCCTTATAAATGGAGGTTTCAATGGGAAAATCATCTATAAATGGGCAATTTTCCATGGCTATGTTAAATAACCAGAGGGTAAGTTAACATTAGTTATTAAGTACCATTCATGTTAGGGATGAAAATATGGATTAATAATGATGTGGATTTATAAGTTAAGATGGGAATTTCCGCCTGTCAGTTGGTTTCTGTGGCACTATGGAGCTTTCCCCAAGTCATGGGGGTTACCATTTTAGGTTTCAATGCTAAGTCATGCTCATCCATGACTTGGATGATTTGGTGGGGGTATCCCCAGATCATCCAAGTCATGACTGAGCATGACTTAGTGACTTGAAACCTAAAGTGGGAATTTATTTTTTCAGCATCATTTACATAGGGGTTACGATCATAGGGGTTACTGTATAACTTGCAATCGTCATATCGTGATGTATGATTCAACCCTCCTGTTGGTTGATGATTAAAACAGTGGATATCCGGGGACCATACCAGGCTGACTTGAGGGATGACCCAGCGGAGGGGAGCGGTGAGCCAAACCAATGGGGAACTTTGAGAAATTAAGCTCTAAATCACCAGGAAATCAGCAGTTTCAGTGGAAATGATATGGGAAAAGAATCTATTGATGTGAGAAATCACCTTTTTTGTATTTAGGAACATATATGTATTTCATTGTATTTCTTTTTCCAGGAATGGGGGATTGTTGATGATTTTCGAAAGGTTCAACCGCATGTTGTTCTGTCTGAAAATGGGGGTAGTTCTCAACATGTGGTACCTCCAATTCCAATGGGTAGAAAATTGTGTTTCCCAGGAGGGCCCAAACTCCCCAACTCATTTGTTGACATTACGCTTCAAGTTCCACGCGCGCGCCCAAGGGTACTAGCAGCTGTCAGATTTAGAAGGTAGGAGGTTGTATTTCTTCAGTGTGTCATAAGAAGCGGGATTACACAAGCTTTCCAAGGATAAATTTTGGGTCCGGTTTTCTTAGGCAGCCGTCAGTGCACAAAGGTCAAGGCCACTACGCGTCCATGTGTGCGCACATGATATGTAAGGACGTCCTAGTTGCGAATTTGAATGTGACGGCACACTTCAGCCTTTGTGTGCCCGACTACGTCCTTCATTATATAAAGAATTTCTGGCTGAAACTGATCACAAGAACAATATCAGGGGGCCTTATAATAAGAAACCCGCAAGTGCAAGAAACAAATCGACACACCTTCGACGCCATTTACAGATCCGTTTCAGACACTGTAGACGTACGTTGCATACCCTCGCAAAAAGATTTTGGCTTCAATTCTGCTCAAGATCCAGCAGATACGTTCATGGGACCTTCGCGTTTGAATTAATGCCACTTATATAGTCCCACGCAAGTGCGCCACGGAAGTGCGCCACGGAAGTGAAGTGTGTGATATAATGGGTTTTGTTGGCCCTGCAGCGGCCCTCCTAAGAAAAGATCAGCATGTGATTTGGCAGTTTTGGATAGTTTTGGGAGATAATCATTTTTGGTCCTCCAAAACTGTAATTTCAAAAGTAGAATTGAATAGAATTGATGATTAACCATGATACACCAGGATGTTTGATGATTTTTTTGGGGTACCGTATTCTGGCACAAAGCCGGAATTCACTTTCGGGATCTTTTGGGCCTCATACCTGTGATATCCTGTGATATATATATGGGGGTTCCTACAGTCCCCTCGAGATGGGATCGTCGAGTCAGAAGGCAAAACAACGAGAACCTGAGGTTTTGCGCCAAGCGAAACAACGACTGAAAGTGACCCTGGTGTTCTTTTGGCGAAAAAATGGGGGACCTCACCTTCAAAAATCAGCGAAATGGATGCAAATGGATCCAAATGGATCAATCTCAGGCCCAAAATTGAAGCCTTTGAGGGTCATGCTCATCCTTGAATCCAATTCTGACACATGTTTTGGCTCGCTTCTGAACCTGGTTTTCTACTCTGCTGACATTTGATTTGGTAGAGGGGTTGTGATGCAACGAATTTGCAATAAGATAAATAAGGACTTTTCTTTTTGTTTGGGTAGGCAACTTGCGTTCCACCGGTTTCACAATCCCAGAGGAATACACGAGAAGAAAGCAGCCACTGTCCTTGTTTACCGTGTGGGTTTGAAATTCAGGGACACCACAAAATGCATGTTATGAGTTGTGATGGGAAAATTATGGACACATAGTAAGCCATGGTATTTTAGGGTACTCTATTTCCAGACCATTTGAAACCACCAAAGTTTCAAGATGCACTTCAGTCAGGTACGACGGATGATGCCAAGACGTGACTCAGATGCACGCGCATGTCGCAAGCAGAACAGAACCCTATGGATGGACTTATCTGATCTCAGAAGCTTGTGCCAAGGGGTGGCTATGCCACCACATCAGCAACACCAGATGCACCCGCACTGGACGTCCAAAGTGGCGTGCTGTGCTTTGAAGTCACTGCTCTTCAGCTGCAACTGGGTCATGCAATGAAATCTACAGATATGCTTGATCATTTCTATGTTTCAAACTTCAAACCACAGGAATCTTGGGGTACCCAATTCTACCCTAACCCATTTTTGATGTGAGTTTCAGAGTTGAACCTAGCCATGGATTGAAAGGCTGGGAGGTTTTGTGCAAAAACTGCAAAACGATACCCTCTGATTTACTACAGCTATGGAAAACCATCATGTTTATATAATATACAAAAAGCATCTACACATGTATCTATAATATCTAGTCAATGTCTATAAATGTCTGTAATAATTTTCAATTTTCCATACAGTAGTAGCTATCTTAATTTATCAGATGTTATGATGAACCGCAGATCCCAGGCAAGGGCTGACTGTGCAGGGACACCTTTTGCCAGCGAGGCGGGGCACAACACGCGCCAGTGAACTATAGAATTACTATAGATCTATAGTGATCTATATATGGATGTATCACCATCCCGAAATGGTAGGTTTTGGGTTTCCCACCCACCTGACTTTTTTTTGAGGTTATTTGGCTGCGAGTCAAAATGTACAGCCTGATCCATACCCTGAACCCACAGGCCGATCCATAACCCCGATCCATACCAAAACGCAGGTGATCCAGACCGATCCATACGTCCGGATCACCGCGGGCAGATCCATACCCGAGTTTTGAGGCAACCCTAGTATAGATGTATCACCCTTTTTTGCCAGCTGAACGCTTTAACTCATAAACTAAAGCCAGTGGGCTAATGTGAACTAAATAGATCTCACCCATCAATTGTTTTCTTCACCTCTTATTCCATAAGAAGCCCTAAACTGCCATATCCCCAGGAGTGTCAGTGGTTTCACTTCGGCCTCCGCACCGCGGAACATGTGGACGTCGCCGCGCTCCGCGCGCCGCAGCAGCTGCGCTTCCACGTCCTGGGCCTCTCGCGCTTCAGGCGGCTACAGACCACGCGCTTGGTCACTGGGCATCTGGGCCTTGACGCGGAATCGGGGACGGTTGGTTTAAGATGGGGGGGGTTCCATATGGGGGGTATGCCAAAATCGCTGGATGGTGAATCTATGAGAATCTCATGCATGATTTAGGGATATGACATGAATTGACATGATATGACCAGTTTAGGAAACCTCCATATTGGGTTTACAGTTGATTTCGAAGTATCATGAATTTAGGGATGAACAAGCACCATTGATAATAATTTTAGCGAATTCTATCACGTGGAACACCCAATGATTTTAGCGAAACCATCCCATTCATCAACCATCACTGGGGATCATTTTACATCATCCCATTTCTAGGGCTATATCCAATGTCAATAAACCTCTATTGGGGATAGAAATTACTATTTAAGGGTTTATCACATTGGAAATGGAAAACCATCATTTATAAAGGGGTTATAACTTACCATCATTGATGATCTATATGTTGGGTTATCATAATCCATGAAGTGGGAAATCCGTTCTTAACCAGGCAGTATAAATTACCATCCCAAGACCGTGCGGAGCAAGGGACGACAGAGGGTTTTGAACACTGCTCATATGAATGTCAACCCCCGATGAATGCTAACCTTTGTTGATTAATTCATCAGGGAGATTGGCCGACTAGCCCCAAAAGTGATCATTTGCTACTCAATTCGTTGTGGAGATATTGTTTGATGTCTTGTGATAGATGGGGGTTATAAACCAACTTAGGAGGATGATTAAGCAGTGGCTTTGGGGGTCCCTTATTCTTTTGAATCTCGTGACAGCAACTCTACACTTCACCGGCGGCTATGGCTTGAAATTGAATACTCAAAAGCATCTCAAAAACCATCCAAAACGGGATGGTTTAGCACTGGAGTCACTAGAGATGACCAACATTTCTAGGTCCCCGTGGTCTTGTGATACATGTTTTGGCTTAAATGTTTGATATGATGCTTTCTTTTGACGTGGATGGGGATTTTATACATGAATCAACTGATGAATGCAGACTTGAGCGTTGGGCAAAGAATCTGAGGCAGTTGTTGACAGATGGCTTGCAACCTGTGTTTCGACATAGCGGTGACAACGACTGGCAGCTGGTGAAGGGAGAGATTGGCATGCTGCGCATGCCAGCGGCTTGTCACAGCACGGACCCAAACTGCTTTGTGGTTTCACAGATTTTTGATGCTTAACATTGTTTGACCATGTTTGTGATGATGATCCAGAATGATTCTAATGTTTCTATTGTACATATTATATATATATTATATTATATTATAATTTATAATATAATTATTTACATGGTGGCTCAAGCACCAACCAGCAACGGAAGCAACGGCTACTATTTCAACTCAGGATGGCATGATCGCCTTCACCTTTGCTCTTCGGATCCAAAACAACGAACCGGGCACTCGAAGCAAACATGGCTAGCTGCGAAATCCCGAACGAACTGGTGGTTTCTGGCTGGGAAAATCATCAACGGAGGATTTTCCAGCTAGCCATGTTTGATTGCCGGAGGGTAAACCACATTCATAGATCGAAAATGGTTGAAATACAGTATGTGATGCATTGTGATGCTACATTTTTTTGTGAGACCGTCAGACCATGCCATTTAAATCATTTTTCACTGAGGAGCATTCCATGTCGCGGAACCTTGAGAAGGACCAGGACAGGTCTCAAACGTGGCACAGAGCCGTGGTAAATCATCCCATTGACCACTTGGTGCTCCGCAGGAGCTATACTTTGCCCTGACCTTTCCGTATCCACTAGGCGACTGCGTCGCGTCGTCACCGCAAAAACTGGGCAGTGGGCAGCAGAAACGGCAAAACACTCCAAATCCATACTGGAGTTGGGAAAAAACACACTCAATAAAGTATTATGGAATACTGCATACTTAAGATCATTCCATCTCTAATTCCCAAGTGTTTAATCTCTCGAGATTTATCGAGTCACTCAATGGTTGGAGTGCCCGCCATCTTTCTCATTTTTCCCGACATGCCATGTGTATTGCTTATGGTTGCGTGGAGGTCGCATCTACAGTCACCTCCAAAGTCTAGTTCCGCGCTTGGTGCAGAACGGTGTCTATGAGCACTCGCCTTTGCTTCAGCAAAGCTTTTGATATTTTGGGGTCGAGTCAAAACGGTTCATCCAATGGTCCAATCCTTCAACATTTTTCATCCATTTGGGGTGCATCGAAATGTATCGAATACGAACATTGGGATAACATTGGGATCATTGCGGGGGGTTCTGCTGATGGCAGACCTTTGGCTATGGCTCCATATGGCTCCAAAATGCTCCAAACTTCTAGAAATCTCGCAAGGTGAATCGGGAAGAGCTCACCAAATCACTGGGAGGCGCTGGGGTGAAACATGATGAAACCAGACATCGTCACCGAATCGTCGAAGTGGTTGCCCCCACATGTGTTTTTCTTCAGATATCTGCTGGAAATCCATTGGGGGAGCGTGATTTTGGATCCTGGGGGATGATGAAATACTTAAATACTCAAGATGTCGAGGTTTTTGTGGCTAGAGTCGTGCCTCCGAAAAAGGTCCTCGATTCCTAGATCCTTCCAGAGTTGGTGGAAGGGAAAAAAAATCTACTTGAACTCTTATGTTGAAGGTAAAACCCGGGTTTCCAGTCATCATTTTCACTTGTCCTTGAATCAATCCATGTGAAATGCATCATTCTTTAGATGTTTTGCGACCATAGCCGCAACTCCTCCAAAATCCGTGCAAATTCTCCAAAATCATCCCAACATTTTTCCACATAATCATTGACGAAACCAGGGCCATGTTCACAAAATCCTTCGAACAATCTCCAAAATCACAAAGAATCAGTAACTTTTCAGGGGCCCCTGAGCCCCCAAATGATCCATGGGCCCCCCATGGGCGCAGGTCATCCCATTGAATTGCTGAGCCTCACCCAGCGTTCCAATCGCTCGGCTCAGCGGCTCCCAAAGCCGGAGCTGCCAATGGAGGAAGAGGTGATCTGGGAGGAATGTTGAGGTGATTTTTCATGAGTTGTTGATGTTTTTAAATGTTTTTTTCATGATTTTTCTGGGTGAAGAATCCCACCAAAAAGAGAGAAATGGTTCATGAGTTCTTCTGGGTGAATCCCACCAAAAAGAGAGAAATGATTCCAACATATGGCTGAGAAATATAGTAAAATCGAATCATTTGTCTAATGTTGTTTTTTCTTGCTTTCTTTGTGGGTACATGTGGGTACTATAATTGTAGAGCCATTGTGATTTTACCTCCGTTGGGATAAGATACAACTTGATATGGCCCCAAAGATTGTGGTCATATACTAATATACCCACGCAGATTGAGTGGAACCGTACCCCAAGTATCTGCGATATCTGGGAATGTCACGGAGAACCACAAAGTTTGTGGGATGATGACTCTGGTGGCTGCTAAACGCTTGTTGGTTGATGATTTGATCAGTGATTATACTACCTTGTCATACCCTTTCCATATTGGAGTTTATCATTAATTATCCATGATTGCCATGGTCAAGTTGGATTACATCAACCCAGTAATTGGGGGGTGGACATACCTCCATCAGCAGGAATTAATTCATGCTGGGATGATCATGACTCAGATACCACCTATTGACCATGGCACATCTGATGGCCTTGCAATATGGACACATATATGTTCGAAATAAGGTTTAGATGGAACCTAGTGGACATATGATCTAAGAATTATGGGTTGGAGCAAAAATGTGGTACCATATATATATATATTATGTATATATATATAATATATATATGTATATATATATAATTCTAGAGGCAACATTCCCATATTCAGAAAATCTTCGCATACCATGTTTTCATCGTACTCCAGACCTGGGTTTTGGTATGTTACTTTGATAGGCATTTCAGCTCAATCTGGAGGGAACAGTTGGCCCACAGCGAATCCACTGAATGCCCCTCCACAGCTTTCTAGCCCCTATGTCGTTCCAAAGCAGCTGTGGACGTTGAATGAATTGAAGGCTGCTTTGATAAGGAAGTTTCCTCATTTGTCTACCGAAGAAGGACAGGGTTGTCAAAGGTAACGTTTTTAAAGGTTGGCTGAGTAAAAATTAGCAAGTTTCTTCCCCGGGACCTCGCCCAAGGTGAACTCGGAAAAATAGAACCCACTGGTGTGCCCCTGGAAGTTTGGGCTGGCTTTGGGATTGGAATTTTGGTTCTGGCCCCGAAATTTCCCTATGTGGTCTCTATACCAGCCACGCATACTCGGAATTCTTCGCATTCCACAAATTCTTCGCACTCCAGCGAGGGCATCGCACTCCACAGCTAGGGACGTACACATACTGTAAAATCCACGCACTCTGCAAGATCTTCGCACTCCATAAAATCTTCGTACTCGGTAATTTTCTCGTTTTTTCTTCTTTTTTTTTTGTTTTTCGTTTTTTTTTCGTTTTTTTTTTGGCTAAAATCGCCTGGAATCACGTTTTCTGGAATATGGGCAAGGTAGCGGTTTCGCGTGAGACGTCTGTAGTTTCACATACTATCGCATTCCAGGCCATTTTGGCCAAAAATGACCAAAAATAAAAAAATTAAAAAATAAGCTCAGCAGGGTGAAATGTGATAATTTTCTGGTATATGATGGAAAAAATTGGTGTTGGATCCATGGGGAAAGTCGAAGGGGGCCACGCATACTGTTTTATTTTCGCATTCCAGAAAATTAGCGCACTCCAGGGGTGGCATCGTACTCTATCGGTGGAATTATTTTGCACGGAAGAAAACAGGATCGTCGATGATTTGTGTTCCCAGATCCTGTTGTGCAGAGCTCTTTGGATGGCGCTGCTGATGAAAGGCCAGCCAAGCGTGCCAGAACATAAGCTTAAAGCTTATGAATTGGGTTTTGAGATCCTGAAAAGTGTAGATGACAAATTCCCATAAGAACATTATTAATCCATTTTTGGAAAGCTCAACATTATTAATTATGACATTTCCAGAAATTGTTGAAAGTAAGGATCTTCTTTGGGGAAGAACATGTGCAGTCGACAACGTACGTGCCAGAAGAAAAGGAGTACTTGGTAAACTGTATGAAATACAAATTTCACCTGAAAGGGGTCTTCGCAATTCCCTAAATTTTCCCAGCTATTTTGGCATGGAATATGTTCGGCCCTGGAATATGGGCAAGAAATTGCTAGAATAATATCCAATGGTTCAGAAAAATATTGGTCTTAGGGTAAAATGGCCGCTGTGGTTTGGGTGGGGTCAAATATCCCCAGTTGACAATCCACATGTGTCTCCAGTATGACCAAGCTGCTATGTAACATCATTCTCCTGTTTGGCCCCCATCCCCAAATACAGTGCATCATCATTTTCCTCCAGTTTTGAATGGACCCCATGTTCCCAATTGTGGACTAACCCATACCATACCTGTCCATATCTTTCCATAGTAGATTCAAAATTATAGAATTATAAGCCCTCCAAAAATTGCATGGATGAATCCGCACCAAAAATCCATGGATTCATTCACCCTCAAAATCCCAGACTTCCATGGGTTCTGTGGTGCTTTGGCCTCTTTCTGTGGCCATAGCTACCCAGGATCTACAGATTTATCAAATCCATGGAGAGGCGAAAGCAGTCACAAGGGCCATGTTCCTACAATAAAAGCCTTGTAACGACAGAGAATTTATCTATACATATAACTGGTTGGTGGTTTGGAACATGAATTTTACTTTTCCATATATTGGGAATAATAATCCCAACTGACTTTCATATTTTTCTGAGGGGTTGAAACCACCAACCAGATAACAATAAAGATAGTTTTAGCCCAGCTAGAAACCTCTTCTGACTGAGTTGTGCCATTTCCAGTTGCCATGTTTGATGACATCCCACGAAAAAAAATCCAATCCCATCATCCCATTAAATCCCATGAATCATCTTCAGATTCGTCAGATTTTATCCCATATTATCCAATGAAATCCCATGAAATCACCATTATGAAGCATGGTTATCATGGGATTTCATAGGATAATTACCATTAATGGATATAACTATCCCATTTTAATAGGGATGGTTGACATTAAGGATGATTTTATCCCATTAATCCAATCCCATCAACTATGAACTCCCATGAATTCTGAGGTCATGGGTTTTCCAGGTCCCCCACAGGCCTGCTGTCGCCAGGCGCGGCCTTGGATTTTTCCGGGCCGCCGGCCCATCTTCATCAGTGCACGCGTCCATCCGGGGGAGACCCCGGCCAGCTACATGCTTGAAGGTGCTGCTTTTTGAACGTGGCTTTTATCCAACCTGGCTGGGGGAAGAGTTTAGTTAGTTACACTCTGGTTATTTAACATAGCCATGGAAAATCACTATGTTAATAGGTAAACCATCTATAAATGGGCCATTTTCCATGGCTATGTTAAATAACCAAAGGGTAGTTTAATTCTAGCAAACAACTGATAGATTGCAAGCTGGTTTTGCTTGATTCTTTTGAGACATTTAGGGAAATGATTCACCGGTAACTGAATCCGAAAGCAATCAAGTTGGCATCATTTGTCCATTTAGTCCCCTTTCTCGAAAAACTCAATTAGACTCTGGATCAAAACTTGAATCTTAAGAACAAAACCTGAGATTTTGATCACAGTTTGGGTCAACCGATGATCAACATTTGGATCTCCAAGCATTCCAAGGGATTTGCATTCAATCCCTGGAGGTCTCTTGGAATTTCTTGCCTCTGACTGCGCCGCAGCCAAAGAGATGCTGCGCCGCTACGTTTTTTTCGTGGTGCCCGTGCTGAACCCTGACGGTGGCCAGTGGGGAAAGGGGGGAAGGGGGCCCAGGGCCAGGGACAAAACATGAAAAACAAATCTTCTGATGATGAGGATGATGAGGACGAGGATGATGAGGATGATGACTATAATAACGATGATGATGACTGTGAGGATGCTGATTATGATGATGAACTGGGACTGATAGTACCTGATGGCAGCTTTGCCGCGCTAATGCCGCTATTGTATTAGATCAATCATGATCCAAGATGTGGCTACGGCTCAAAATGATTGATCTTTAGAAATGGATGGTTTAAAATTCTGATTGCTGATGATGGCCAGTGGCCATTTGACTTTTTAATGGGTACAACATGGTACAACAATTTGGGCCCGCCATCCCAACGTTTCAGCAGGAGTGGCCTCCGGTCATCACCGTTTGGACCTTCGAGGAGAGAACTTGAACCGTGTCTATGGGAAGGCCACGATGCGTCGTCGCAACACCAAGGTTTACTCCAGGTTGCTCCATGAGACATAATGGGGATAGTTTGACCGTTAAAGGACCATTAAACCACCATACACAGGGTTGCTCCAAACCATAATAGATAAGACATGATAGCCACTTTTGGTATGTAATTTTCTCTGTTTACCTCGATATTGACCCAAATTGCCACCAAACGTACCTGGGGTGTCTTGATGCAATCGTCAAAGTTGTCAGATTGAAGCAAGAAGACTTCAAGATGCAACCTGCAAAGCAGAGGAGAATCGAATTCGGAGACAAGAAAAACGATAGAACATGATAGAACCAACAGATGAGGATTGAAACGATTGAAACCCTGAAATATTTGAGGCTTTTCCCCTTCCTTTCACTCCATCGCCGCAGGCGACCTTGGAACATCATCCAGCCATTTTCGCTGCCCAAGCAGCCTGCTTAAATGCGCACCAGCATCAGGCGGAAGCATGTTGGTTGTGTGGTAAACCACGGGAAACCCCAAAACCGACAGTTGTGTAAAATCAGGTGTGTTTCACTGATAGGGTTTAACATGGTTTAAATTGATATTGGCATTGGAATCTTTACAGCCCTACTTTGACCGGGCATACTGGGACGCCCTTAGCCAGTTTGGGGTAGGAAGTCAATGTATTGCAATAATAGTAGCTATGGAACAGTAACAGGTCAGGGACATTATCGCAACTGCAGCAGGACCTTCTATATTAGAGGATCTCACAAGATCTTCATACAAGACCTGCCTACCTACGAGCATCCATGAAGAACTGTCATACAAGCACCATGAAGATCTTGCAGATGCCATGTCTTAGAGTCTTAGAGGTGCTTGTATGAAAGCTCTTGGGAGGTTCTTGTATCAAGATCTTGTAAGATCCGCTACAGCAGCAACAGATCCTTTTATGACGATCTTGTGAGCTTCTCTTACGGGTCCTGGCATGAAGATCTTGGTCAATGTTTTTTACAAGTCCTTGCGAGAAGATCTTGTGAAGATCCTAGTGGCATGCTGTCAGAGGCCTTTGCATGAAGATCTTATCATAAGGACCTGCGCAAGATCATGCAAGGATCTCCGAGAGGATGCCATCAGGATCTGCACAACATCTTCTCACAAGGATCTCGGCAAGACCTCGGTCAAGATCTTCATGTATTATGCGCCATGAAACCCTTGCAAGAGCGTCATAGAAGGACATTCCAGAGAACGCAGAAGATCTCTTTACCAGAATCCAAGAGAATCAGTTAAAAGCAGCACTGCACCACTGCGAGAGCGATCTGACACGCACAAAGTGACGAGAAGGTTGCGTATTTCAGCTTTGTGTCGAGGTCTGCGAGCCTGCGCAATCGAAATGCACACATGGACATCTCAGAAGAGGCCGTTTATGCGAGAATTTACAGTGAAAATGCCGCAGGCCAACACAGGGACAACCCTGCGGCGCTCATTTTGTGCGAGCCTGCGCAGTCGAAATGCACATGGACGCCAGAATTTACAGCAAGAATGCCGGCTATCGTAAGAACCCCTCAGTGTGGACACAATGTTTGAGAAATCATGAAACAAGCTCTTGAAACATCTTTATTCGCAGTTTAAAACATGTGAAGTGAGCAGAGTTCCCGTTCCTAATGTTTACATATGTTTACCTTTTAGCATCTTTTAACCATCAGATTCGCCGCAGGGTGGCATCCGTTTGTATTTGGATCTCCATGCGCATAGCAATCGCCGGGGCGGCTTTTTGCTGGGCGACAGTGGGACGTCCTCTGAAGCACGGCTCTATGGGTGGGCCTTGGGCAGGCGTGGGGGTGGATGGGATTCCAGGGTTCTACTAGAAATAGTGGGATAATTATGGAACCTTAATTCACAATAATACTGGGATAATAACTGGGACAATGGGAGAATATGGGATAATCATGATTGATATTAAGATCTGTAAGGGTTCCGTTTCCACTACAAGGCCCGGCCATGTGATCCCTACCATTTTGCAGTTTTCTGGAGCAATCCGGATCCAAGAGGTGGATTTTCCAGATGGAAAAAAAACAACAACCACTGCCTGGTGGCACTGGAAGGACTTCCCCAAATCAAAAGTTGGTTTAGTTTCTCCGCATCTACCTATAGTTCAATATATTCCCCGTAAATCCAACGATTATGATTGCGTTACCTTTTGGTAAACCAACAGTTTGCTATGGAAAATCACTATTCTAAGAGATAAATCATGGTACTGTAATAATTATGGTAGATCATCTATAGATTGTCCATTTCCCATAGCCATTTACTGGAGGGTATAAGTTGACCAACAGAAACCCATCCTTTGGGGGGGTATCCTCAAGTCGTAGGCAGTGCGGAATCTTCGAGTATTCGCAGAGTGACTTCAGTGAGTCGAAACGTGGCACTGGAAAGTCCTTCATGGCTACAGCGCTGCTTGGTGCGAAATGTCCAGTTTAGGGAGGTTTGAACATTACTTTGAAGTATTTTTTGATGAAACATATCCAAGAATTGGGTGATGTGAAAAATTGAGACATTTACCCAGCCATGAAAAATGAGTTGAAGTGCTGATCGAGTCTGGGATCACTGCAATAACTGAAAACAATTATCGCAAAGGACAGAACTTGAAGTACTTTAGACATGGCAATTGCTCAAGCATAATGGGAATAATTAGACGTGGCAATGCTCATCATAATTATATCTTTAAACATGGGATAATGGGGTTATTTAAAAGAGTTGCTAATCTCTCCGAGGACTGGCAATCCGCTAAGTTTCACAGTAGAGTGCCACTACATCCGAGGCGCCTTTGCAGCATTTACAGTACTCGACGTATTCCACGTTGTTCGGGCGGTTCAATGCTTGAGCTGTTTGAGTTTTGCTTTCGTCATTTGGGTATGGTAATGCTCAACAAGTAAAAACATGGAACCTGCAGATTTTGCATCATAATTTCCAATAATTTTCTCTAATAAATATCTCTGGGTGGCGTTGATTGAACATAATGTACCGGATCAGCATGGTCCCATCATTTTCCCATGAAAATTGCCATAAAAATTCAGGATAGGTAAATCATGCTATTTTTTTTCTATATCCACCAGGTTTCGCTCTCATGTTTCCATGATTTCCCTTGATTTTTCCATGATTTCCTACAATTTCCCACGATTTCCCATGATTTTCCCATGATTTTCCCAAATTGTCCCACAATTTACCCAAAAGCATTGGAGCCCTTGGCCGCCGACAGGTCATCACAGTCCTTCTCCTTTCGGGCCGATGGCATGGCGCCAGATGGGTGCGAGCTGTTCCGAAGCTGAGATAGGAACTGCTGAGGAGTATACAGTAGGAATTACATGGAATTACAGTGTGGATATTTGAATAAATAAGCATATATATGCATATATAATCATATATAATTTCATATACACGTAATTGTATATATGTAATATATATATATATATATATATGTATAATATATATATATATATGTATAATATATATATAATATATATATATATGTATAATATATATATATATGTATAATATATATACACATATAATCATATAGTATATACATATTGTTTTAATATAGTTTAATAGTATATTATATCATGTTTATGTTGTGGTATATTATATTGTATTGTATTGTATTATATTATATTATATTACATTACATTATATTATGTTATATTATATTATATTATATTTTATTATATCATATTGTGGTGTGAATGTACATGTGTACATTTTAGATCATGTACTTCGATCTAATGAGATCTTCTGACATAGATCTTCATGTCATTCTGTAGCTATCGTTGCTCTTTCAAATGTCGGTGCTGTTTCTAATCTCAGAGGTATCTACCATCCTGTGCAAAAGATAGTCCAGAATTGAGCAGGGTTCAAGCCCCCTGTTGGTAATGATTATAGGCTACTATGGGTCAAAACACTACTATACTAGATTATACTATCCAATATTGGGGATGACCACAATCCATGGGGAATTCCAAGAAGCCAAGCTGCAGAGAGGAGCCAAACAGATCTGGCGGCTTTGCCAACCGAGGTTTGTTGGCACTTTTGGAGCTGGATTTTCTGGCCAAACCCAGGCGCAATGGCACCAAGCTGTGGCCATTTTTCTATTTGGCTTTCTTGGGTTCTAAAAATGGGGGATCCCCAAGTCACCATGGGTTTTAATACTAAGTCACGCTCATCCATGACTAAGTCATGGTCATCCATGACCACTGGAAACCTCCATACGGGGATGGATCAAAACCGGAGTCTGGAAGCAGCGGCGTTAGTAACGACACGTTACCACTATCACAGCAAGCACGTATACACAATATATATATATAATATATATATAATATAATATATAATATATAATATATAATATATAATATATAATATATAATATAATATATTGTATATATATATACACACTCCTACAATATTTATAATATGATGATAACTGATGATATTGCAAATATGCCAGCGCACATAATCTAGGATATCTACTAAACATCGAAGGATATTTACTAAACATCTAACATATTTATATAATCATCTATATACATGCCTTTTTCTTAAAGAAAATTGATATAGGTGCATGGACCCCATACCAGTCTCAGCGCTTAGGCGGAGTTTGTGTCCATCGCCCTCAGTCTTCCAGTCACGGCAGCGCGAGGGACTCTGGGCCTTGCGCTGCTTGGAAGGTCGCCGAACAGGGCGAGCAGGCGGCGCAGGCGAGATACGTAAAGGCGATGGTGTCATTAAAAGCCAGTAATATCATGTACCATCTGGTTATTTAACATAGCCATGGTATAGATGGCCCATTTATAGTGGATTTTACCTATTAAAAATGGGTGGATATTTCCATGGCTATGTTAAATAACCAGAGGGTAATATCCCCCCAGATAGCCCCAGTAAGATTCCACTATGAATGTAGCATAATGTAGCTATAATATAGCAAAGCAACATGGAAACCCAATTTAATAGCCTTTGGTGAAATTAAGATAGCGAACTGGACAACCACCATTTTTGGAAGGTAAATCAAGGGAAAAGATACACATATAATCGTATATATATACATATAAATGGCCCATGTTCCATAGCTATGTTAAATTGCCGGAGTGTCGATAGAAAAGTGGGACATCTCGAAATATATTTGTTCAATAACATCTATAAAAGCTCCTGGTGGCACACTTTTCGGCATCCTTTTGGGGATGGTTATACAGCAAAAGCACAAAGAAAACTATAGGAAATTATGGTAATTCATAGGATGATTCAATGATCATTGGATAAAATATGGGACATGTTTGAGATAATTATAGTAAGCCATCCTGAATCGGAAAATCATCCGAGGGCCTTTTTTTAAGGAGACCTTTAGGAGACATGAATCCCTTTATGGGTGAGGCTAATGGTTGAATCCATAAAGGGGTTCTTAATTGTCAGCTGATTTCCATGTCATTTGCTCCCCAGATTCCAAGAACTTGGTTTTGCATAATACCGAAATCTGACCAACATCGTTTTCAAATGATTTTTGAAGGGTCTTACAACCAGCACTGGATGGTTTTGGGGTTTCAAACGTCGGGCATCATCGACTCGTCGACCAATACTGTACACGACCAAAACGCTGTGTCCTGCGCATTTCGCTCAAGCTGCTGGGCTAGGCCCGTGGGGGGAACTTGCCATTTGGGGAGAAAGGACAACAGGAACCATACTTATAGATACTTATAGTATATATCAATGAACGTATATATATATATATATAGTCGGGATATAGTTAATGGTTTTTGTAGACCCAATTTATATAGCATTGAGATTTCAATCAAAAAAAGGGGCTGAACTTGATAAAAGCCCAGAAAGATTGGGATTGCACAAGAATAGAAGAATATATGTGAAGAGAAATTGATAGACACATATAGACTAGAAATTGGATGAACCATGTACCATACACTTCTGGCCATTACAGCCGATTGCAACCATGCAAAACCAACCTTCGTACAAGCAACGAAAGGATCTACAGTATATATTTTGTAGACAGCGATGTTCCTGCTGGCCGAGCTTCATGGTTTTTTGTGTGGTCCCAGGGATCAACATGTCCAACGCAACGCTTGAAGTTCTATCCCAGCGCGAAATAATATCCAGTCCATTCAAAGCTTGTTTGAAAATGATGGAACAAAAAAAACCAGTCGGTGTATCATCATTTTCTCTATTATTTTTGATGACTATTTAGGGGTTCTACTACGCCACTTACAGTGACATACCCACTGGACAGTACAGTACATGGTTTTTCTCATGTTATGATCCACGTTCTGCCATGGAGTACTGGATCGGTCTCCTTTGTGCTGCCTTTGCCGCGATTGCGTTCGGAGTGCAGTATGCGCCAGTGCCTTGTTAGGTGGATCATGGTTGAAGATGGTCGATGGTGTTTGGATCTTGTTTGAAACCCAGGGGCAGAATGCGTTTCATAACCATCCGGAGCACGTTTCTGTGTGCAAGCGGCTTTAGCAGCAGCAATCCTGTGCCTTGCTGCCGAGGTGAAGAAGTATGAGATCTACGATGGCATCACCTTCCAGTGGTTTATGTGTGCTGGGATATTGATGGTTGGATTTCTATCTTCCATCATTTTTGGCGACTTTGGAATGAAGGACGCTGAAAATCACCTGACAGTTGGTTCCTTTGAACGGTCAGGGACAGGTCAAATCGCGCTCTAAGATATGGATTTGAAGACTCTAGAAGCAGGTCCAACCAATTCGCCATCTATATATATGTATAGGTATAATAATGCACTTTGATTTCTTTGTAGATTTGTGGAACTGAAATATACTGAAATGCTACTGTATCATACTGTACCAATGTATTGTTGTACACTGCGCAATGCTGAAATTGCAGGCTGATTTCAAAGTTATTTGTTGCGTAAGATGCACGAACTATCGTCCGGAAGGCCATCCTCAAGACACATTGAGACCAGCTTGGCTAACCCGGGGGGGGCTTTGCACTGGTGCTGTCAACATACGCATGGTCATTCATCAACTCATCAACGACGAGTGGCCCGTGATTTTGCTCAAAGTCAAGAAAATCATCATTCGCTCAGCATGGCATCCAGTAGAAGCGAGCACAACACTCATAGAAGGACCGGACCATCAACTTTCTCAATTTGCCCTCGACAATGACGTAGTACAATGTAATACATCAAGTCATATCAAGTCCACAGATTTCTCAGACCATCTCTGCCCTTCACACCCTGACTTTGATTGACTTTGTATTCTCATGGTGCAGCTGAAATGGGCTGCAATGGCACTGGTCATTGCGTCCTTTCTGGCATGGACAGCTGGTTGGATGGAGACGGAAGAGCTGGAAGAGCTCGACCTCTCTGGTCTCGTCTCGGACATGACCACTGGATCGGGCGCTGGTCGGAGCACTGAGTGCATCTACAGCTTTCCATCTCCCACAGTGCTACGAAGTTCCAGTTTAGAGCGGATATGGTTGGAGCAGGTGGTTTCAGCATGTTTTCTTTCAACTTTCCATCCTAGATGAGATGAACTGCGATGATTACCCTGATCTTCTATGATCTTATTATATCTTATTTGCATATTTTTGTGGCCTTGGATGCCTGAAGAACTACCTTCTGTGTTTTTTTGCAGGTGGTTTCCAAGAACTGGTGCCCTATGAAGCTGGACATTTTGACTGAAGCAGAGGTCACTGCAGTCCTGAGGGCCTTCCAGAAAGGGAAGAAGTTTTCGCACCAGGACCGAGATGTGCCATGTTGTACTATTTATCCATCTTTATCCATCTTTGTCCACCCTTTATGGCGATCTTATTGAGGAAGGTTATGATATGTTGTGATAAACCCAATGTGCCAGAGCCAGGGAGGGGTTGAAAGATGTTGAAAGGCCGTTGTCAACGGCTTCCAAGCCAGAAACCCGGCATGAATGACATGTTTGAGCTTTATTGTCTGGATGCACAGGGATATATATATATATATGACGTGGAATCCTGCATTTTTTTACTTGGAATCAGCACCACATTCAGGACCAGGAGAACAATATCAAAAATTACCTTACTTCGAGTGATCCCCATCGTGACAAATTATTTTGTCGCAGTTTCTGACATCTCATTTGGAAGTATATATATGGCATATATTTTCTGACATTCGCTTCTGGCATTCTATCTGACATTCTATTCTGACATCCGATCTGGCATTCTTTCTGGCATCTATTCTGACATTCTCTCTGACACGGGCACTGAGATCTGGAGCTCGCGGTTGAGGTCTGGCAGCGCCCACTGAGGCCCGGCAGTGCCCACTGAGCTCCGGAGCTGGCCCGGCAGTGCCCACAGAGCTCCGGAGCTGGCAGTTGCGATCCGAGGCCAAATAAGGAAGGAAGGAATGAAGGAAGGAAGGAGAAAGTACCTCTGATAAAATCTAGAGACCGTCACCTGGCAGGTTGGGAATTAACAAGCAGAATCAAGCAGATAGCAAAACAAATTGACAGACATGAAGCAAAGAAGAAACACATTGCACCACAGCGCTTAGCATATTCGTGTTGTGCTATAGCAGATTTTGTTTCTCTGGAGACTCAGGGATCCCAAATCTGCACTTTTCCCTGGAAAAGTATATTATGTAAAAAGAGACAAGAAAGAGACAAAACAAAAAAACAGAATTTAGATTCGGAGCACTCTGCCGAATCTCCTTCCTTTTTGTTATGTGTTTGCTTGTTCATTGTGGTTTGTCTTTTGGATCTTTTGGTTTGTCTTTCGTTTTTTTGCTTTTATTCATCCAATGAATGCCACATCTCAAGCAGAATGCTCAAGATTCCCGCAGGATGTGAACAAGCAAGACATCCTTTCCATTGCATTTGGTCCAACGCGGTCATTTGATATATCATCCATGTTCGTTCAGCATCACCAAGGCTTAGCCCGAGGGGCCCCAGGCCGGCGATTTCTGCTATATCTTAACTTCCACTGGTCGATCTACAGCCGTCATGGCTTTGACATGTTGAAAACCATCGCCAGTTTCGTCCCTGAAGACGTCCAAGTGGTATGTGCTCGTGTATCCAGCTGGTTCCCTGAAAAAGACACGTCTTTGGGGAAGGCCTTGAGTCGTGAAGTTCGAGAAGGGCGGATGATCGATAGCTTTACCAAGTATCTTGGATTTGCTGAATGGTGATGGTTTAATTTCCTATGTTTTCCATTCTTTTCCTAGATGATCCAATGTTTGGGGAATCGTTTATGGGCATATTTTTTGATTTTGTTTGGGACCATCTTAAACATTTTTTGAGGTATCGTGCGGTCATGCTATACATTGAAGATGGAAAGGTTGTGGCCATGCGATTGAATATTGGCACAACATCGGAAGAGTGTTTGCGGAAAGAGGCACAGCATCAATTGTGACCCTGGGAGCCGTTTCATTTAATTATTTGGAAAGGAAACTGAAGATAGCTCGCAAATCAGAATGGTGGATTTTTCAACCTCGAGGTGTCAAATTTCAACGGTTTTCTAAGCATTTGTCTGAAAATAGGGATACCCCGTTCCATCCGCTGGCTTATCAGCATCTGACCCGTTTTCTAACAGCCTATTTTTCATAACCGTTCTCAGGGTCAATCTCCCATTTTCAGACACACCAAGTCATTTTCTTGATTATATCCCCGGTCATATCCCGATTAAATATGATTAAATCACATTGAATTCCTATTTCCAGAGAGTCCAGACACACCCAGTCATATCATGGAATCGTGGTTTAATATATCCCATGGAATCGATACGTATCAAAAATATATCCCATAAAAATTGCCATACATTGATAATACATTGATATAAAGTGTGGTTGCTCCCCATTTTCAGGCACTGGCCCACCTCTCATATCAAGCTGGTAACCAAAAAACAGATGATAGATGATGATAGTCCAATCACGCTCCCATTTAAATTACCATTTAAATCCCATGAAATCCTGTGGTTGAGCCCCAAATTCACAGATCACTTGTTTTTTCCATGAAAATCCCATGCTTACAACCCCAGCAGTTCCAGGTAGGGGAGCTCTGGAATCTGCCACGGAATTTCTCAACTGGCTACGTTTCCGAAGGATCCACTGCATCCACTGGAGCGCCAGATTTTCTCAGACACAGCTGCTATGTGTAAAAGTCTCGCGGAAACTAGCTTGGGGACTCTTGGGGTTCAGTTCCAGTTAGAAGTAGATACATATATATATAATATCATTATTATTATCATTATCATTATTATTATAAATACATACGTACATAATATATGTAAATTATATGTAATAACTTATATGTAAATAACTTATATGTAAATAAATTATATGTAAATAAATTATATGTAAATAATTTATATGTAAATAAATTATATGTAAATATATGTAAATATTAAATATATGTAATATATATATATATGTAAAATTGTAAATATATGTAAATATATGTAAATGTATGTAATATATATGTAAATATATGTAAATATCATATATATATATATATACACACGTATATACACTGTATAATGTATGCGTAAAATTACATATACAACTTCTGGAGGTTATCACCATGATAGCTATTTATAACCCCAACTGCCCAACTCCATTGCAGGTTGCTCACGGCCGTGGCAGGGTGATTGGTTGCAACAGAAATTCACAGCTCATTGTTTTGAGGGAATCCTTACCGGAACTCCGATACAAGTATATTTGATGTAGAAACATGATGAAACATGTAAAACCTTGGTTTCCTGTAGATATTCCCGTAAAGGAATCCAATGAACAGTACTCTTTAATACTTTTCAATATGTCTAATGCGTAACTCGAATGTACAAAAGAGACGATTCATATCTATTCACTGTAGACATTGAACAACTCATTAGGTCTATGCGGGCATCTGAGTTTTAGACATGCACTCCCACAGTCCATGGAGTACAATGACCACAGCAACTCCCCCTTTCACTGCAACTCAACCGAAGGACAATGAATGTCTTCTCATCATTTTTGGCGGTGGTCTGTGGGCAACTTGGAGCACCACCGCAAGTGGTGGTAATTCTGTCAAGGCTTGTTTGTTTCGAAACAAAGGAGATAGTAAGAACAAACCATTTAAATCCATTTAACACCTTTCTGTCGTCGATTTTTCAACAAAGGAAAGGATGATTTTTTGGAAAACACTGATTCAACGTTTGATTCACAGATTCCGATGGCGTTGATGTGAGGCACTGTCCAACTATTTAGTGCTGCCACTGGTGAAACTCTTGGGCATCGGCTTGGGGTTTCTGGGCAAAAACTCGCCAAAAATCGCGATGAAATCGAGGCGGACCAGTAGGGCCAAGCACCGTGCCATTCGGAAACAGGTGGAGGTTTCCGTTTTGTCATGGTGAATCCCAATCCAAGTCATGGACCATTTTAGATCGAAACTCATGGTGACTTGGGGATCCATTTTAGGAAGCCTCTAATTTCCAGTGAACCCAGTAAAGACATTGATGAACGACAAGTTGACTTGTCCGGTAACAGTCTGAAATAAGGCTGATGTGAAAAAAATGAAACATCCACAATCTGAGGTTCTCTTTGTATCACTTTGTGAATCTTATGGTGGGCTATGTGGTGGGTCGCTTTGGCCTTTTCCAAATGGAGAGGTTACAGGGCAATTTGTTGATTTGTGCGGCTTGGCCGGAATCGGGGACGCTTCACGGACACATCCACTCCTTTGATCAAGCCTTTGTCACGGATTCATCAGCCATGTGGTATACCCAATAGTAAACCTACCATGTGGGATGGTTCTACAACTCTTTGATGGTAAAGGGGACAATTTATTGCTGTTTCTTGGTGCAGTTTCCACACTATACCGACTACACATCAATTGTGAGATTTTTTGGGCAGGATCGTCAAGAGTCGTCACCGCAACTTCTGATCAGAGGCTAATGAGAACTCAGGTGAGAGGCAAATGGGGCGAAATTTCAGGCAGACCATGAATGTGGTAAAACGGTAAAACCCAAAGTCATCATACCACATTTGCCATCATTTGCCCAATTTTCTTGGGGTGAGAATGCATATTGTACTTGGATACTTTCGAATCAATGCATTTAGTCTGAACATCGGGTAATATCCTCAACAAATCATCCCCAATCGCCATTTTCTTCAGAAGAATTTTGGTCATGATATAAAAACCATTGGATGGAATGGGGGACTGCCGACTAACAATGCCATGGTTTCAGGGATTCCGTGACCATATTCAATCATCCAGAATATCTGTGTGATTTGCAAAGTTGATTGACTCGATTCTCTACATATGGTGGTTTCCTAAAATGGGGCATCGCCAAATCACCATAGGTTTCAATACCTAAGACGACTGGATGATTTGGGGGTACCCCCATGACTTAGGAAACCAAATGAGGAAAATTCACATATCATCACCATTAAATCACCATGAAAATCCATTAAATCACCATTATCTAGAGAATCTGTTTCGCCTCTTTCAGCTTTGGGCGGATCCACGGGAGGGTCGTGTTTTTTTTCAGGACTTGGGCTGCGCCTTGATCCTGATCTCCTTTGTGGTCATGGTCTTTGTGGAAGGCCGGCTCCAGTTAGAAATCGCCGGTGGCCTTGCTGACCTGGAGTCGTTAGTCGTACTACATGTTAATGGGGATTTAATGGTGGTTTCATGGACTTTATATGATTATATCATGAAGCCCAATGAAGCACCGCTTGGATGTGCATCCTACGAATAGTGGTTTATAATATATATATATATTATATTATATTATATTATATTATATTATTTTATATTATATTATATTATATTATATTATATATATACACTGTATACATACACTATATATATATATATATATACAAATATAATTCAATATATAACCCCTGTTTTATCTCATATATCAGTGAGGATATTCCATTAATCTAACTGCGTTTTTCTCCCTATTTACCTATTTACTAAGTGGGGTGCACCCCCAAGTGCTATGTACAAATGTCGGTTTCCTAAGTCATGGGGGTATCCGGTATCCCTATGAATGATTTGTTTATTTCATGGAAGATCAGAACATGAAAAATCAGGATGATTTGGGGGTACGCCCATGACTTAGCAGGACACCTCCAACTATATTCTTGTGATGATTAGTATGGTTACTCATTTGAAACTAGGTAGCATTGCGATTCTGAGTCATTCATATGATCATTATATGCACATATGTAAAAACATGATGTGATATGTACAACAGAGGCCCCATGTCTGCAGCACCATCGAATGCTAGTGGTCACTGAAGTTGAAGCTGCATTGACTGAAGAACTTGGAAGGGTACAGCAGCAGAAGCCAACCAAATCCGCAGGTGCCTGTCACTCTTTATTTTTGCCAATACTTAATTTTGGAAAGATAAACAACTGGTTGGTGGTTAAGACATGTGTGTTTTTCCATTTGCATTTCATATATAGGTCTCCCCTCATTCTTTGACATATTTTGTCATTTGGGACACTGGATCGCTTGGGGCCAACCAGCCAAGCTCATCCCCTTGGAGGTGATGAAAAGGGAACCAGCCCACGTCAAAGCCTGGAGTTACCTCCTCCCATTTTTCCCATCGACAACCACTACCGGGTGCCTGGCTTGGGCAATGATGGAGAGCATGGGATATGCCGGATATGCCATTGTGCCAGCGCAGAAATCCTTAGTCATTTACATCTCAGATCCAATAGATAGGTAAAGTTCCCAGGATGTCCATGCAATTCTTGTGAACCTGGATGGTTCCAGTACCGTTTGGGAGTATGAATCTTGTAGGATGGTCAAACCTCTGCCACTGAAGGCTGCAAAATCATCGTCTCCCGTAGACACAACTCTGCTCAGGAGATGTACCAGCGATGGCGCCAAGGACAGTGATGTGATATGATGTGATGGTATGTTGATGTCATACTTCGCATTTATTATCGCAGAGCCCGACCTTGAGGACTCAGCCAGATTCAATACACTGCTTAGCTGCTTGCAGTGAAAAACAACTCAAATTCTCAAAACATGTTGTGTTTGCGATGTCTTGATCTTGTCACACAACTGCTGGGTAGCATTCCTCGTAGTAGCTAGTATGAGATAGTATGAGATAGTATGAGTACATCCCAGAATTCGACCATTACCCAAGACCCTCGGAAAAGCCTCCCCTGGGATTCGTAGGAGAGGCGAGGGGTGCTAGAGATTTGTTCCTTGGCGCTGAAGTTGAGTTTTTTTCAAAGCTGGAGGAAGCTTCGAAACTGCCCGAAACCGAGTAGAACACCAATTTGTGATTGGAAAGTCCCCCTTGTGTTCCATCCAATGTCTGTCCAACGCTTGCCAGAAGCGTCTCAGGCCCCAATCTTTCGTGATGGAAACTGCGTTAGCCGTTCGTTCTGCCATGTTTGGCCACGCGGCAATGGAACCCAACAGTGGCTTCGGCGGCACTGACGCTGCGGAGGCCACAAATCCAAGCTGCGGTTTCGAGATGTCTTGTTGTACGACTCGTTGTTACTGTCAGAAAATGTCAACCCTTGAAATAGAGTTGCATCCCTCAAATTCGAATCCCCAGAAACAGGTCAGTCATTTATGGTAATTTATGATTCATGATAGTATATAGAATTATAATATATTATGATAGAAATTATTATCATAAATCTATACTGAAAGGTGATCTATATTACAGTAAGTATATAATAGTATATATGATATATCAAAATTAGTATGTATATATATATAATATGAAAAGTTGAAGCTAATTTTAGTCGATCCTCCCAGGCAGTTTGAAGTCGGTGGGTGGCTTCGGCTTACTGGGCACTCGATCTGAAGTGGTTCCTCTGAGGCGCGAGGATCGACTTTTTTCACGGTGGGTGTCCCACTTTGTGGCGGTGAAAATGGGGACCACAGATTTTAGATGATTTTAAACGTTACATTTGTTCTATTTGGATGGATATTTGGTAGGTCTGGATGGTGAGACATGAGACAGAAGACATCAATTTTTGACAATGGTAGGATGCACCCCTTAAAAGTAGATGTTTATACTATGTCGAGTAGCCATCCAATTGTTGGGGTACCCATGGGTAGTGACTTGACCTATATCCAAGTTTTGTCCAACGACTCGGAAATCAGAGCCTTGAATTGACATCCACCACTTTGAGAACATAATTAGGAAAGCCAAGGGGCTTCTACAGGATCATTTAAAGGACAAGGGGCTACAGTTTTTGAGTAATCCCATCCCCCTAATATTAAACTAAATATACCCCCGTGAACCCATGGGTTTAGTATTAGATCTATGATGATCTATCAGTTTTGGTGGCCCAGTCATGCGGGTTGTTTCACATTAGGGAGGATGGGAGTAGGAACCCCTCCTTGTCAGGCCCACTGAAGACTATCCAGTCTCCAATGGGGCGGTAGCTGCTTCACCTTTCATAATGCGGAGGAACAGTGAACCCAACTTGGCAGCTTAGAGCAACAAGCGCGGATTCACATTTGGGTACTAGCCACTCATATCTAAGAATTACGGTTTCTCTGTGTTTTTGAGATCTATGAGATGTTTTTAGAGTTTGTTCATGTACGTTCGTGTGATTTCTGTGGTTTTTGGCGCTTTGAAGCACACGCAAATTGTATTCTTCCTGCATATTTTTTTAGCTCAGCGAAGAGTTGCATCCCATGAATCCGAGGCTGGACCTTTGTCGCTGCACAACGTGAATGGACAGGGGATAGATCTTTATCGCGCCTGAGCTGAAAAATATCAGGACGGTCCCAGCAAGGGCTTCGTTGCACAGATATAAACAGAATCCATGGGGATTCAATGCCCCAAAATCCTGTCTATTTTTCAGAGTCGAAACTTAATGATGGAGAGTTCCCAATGTCTCATACTGTGCATGCTGTCGCTTGACTTCACAGCTTGTGATCCTTAATCGTTCCTTGTAGCACCAACTTGAACATTCTTGCTTTCATAGTGTTTGCATACCCTCTGGTAAACTAACATAGCTATTGAAAATGGCCATTTATAGTGGATTTACCCATTAAACATGGTGATTTTCCATAGTTACGTTAAATTACCAGAGGGTATGTTATTTAACAATGTCTTTTCAGGCGATCAAAGTCATTAATAGAGTGGACTATTGTGGCTGTCGGCACAATGGCGCGAAAAGGAAGTCAGAGTCTACTTGGGATCTCCTGATCTCCGGGCATTTCAGGCCAAAGTTTGACTCCACCAATCACTGATTTGCTAAATCGTCGGGATGATATACTGTCGTGGCGGTTCAGCAATTCTGAGATCAAACTTTGACATTTGACAGTTCAGGGTTTGGCATTATTCTGCCACTAATGTGGGTAAGAATGAAAAATCTATATGCAGGTGTAGGGTTGGTGAACATCTCATTCTTCAGACATCAATGCGATTAAAACCAGATGACATCTGATAGGATGCTCCAGGCCAGAAGAGCAGCTGCAAGTTGGGACTCGTTCTATAACATACCCCCGGGACAGGAAAAAACGATGTTTAACATGACATAACATGATATAACCCACGTATAATAATAATTAGCGCTATAAGCTCAGAAGCTGGAAGAAGCAACATACTCAGCACGTCCGGTCCTGAGCTCCACTCCGAGCTCCCAGGCTCCGGTTCTGCGAAGTTCTTGGGCATCGCCACTTGACGGAGACGTGGAGGATCCCGTTGCCGAAGGACTCGTTGCGTGACAGCGGAAAATAAATCGGCCCAAAACCGCAATTAGATGCAGCCCATCGTCATTTGGGCGGGTTTATAGCACCATTTTTCTAGTTAGATCCGATCCTCCTTTTTTAGTAGTTGGATCTCCAATGTTCTCTCACCTAAACCACCCATAAATCCCCATGTTTTCTGATTCAATTCATAGTTTCCCCACGTGTCTATCACCAAAACCTTGCAATATGTCCATTGTGTTTGCATCACCTTCAACCCGCCATGTCTATGTATTTTGTTTGTTTCTGTACATGGAACATTTACCATTCCCCCATCGGTCAATCCTGAGAAACCACCCATTCCAAAAGACAACTCAAAACTAATCTTCCGACAGGGTAAGTCAGAATTGCTCCAACCGATTGTAGGTACATGATGGTACATGTAGGTACCATATTTTACCATTTTTTTCAAGGTATTTATCAAATTTACCCAGGATCAGCGATTCCACCTGAGGTACTGGCACTCTTTGCTGGGGGCCTGGCGGGTGTTCAGAGTGTGCCTTGGAAGCGACCCACTTAGTACTGTAATGTACTGTAAATGGCTACCCCCAGTAAGATTCATTGAATCTCCCCGCTGAAAATGGGATAGGGGTGGATTTGAAACCACGGATCCTAAGTGGGGCCCGGGCATCCTAGTTGGCACACGCTTGGTAGACGGCCGCGTATTTTTGTCCACTTCAGGGTGATGCGTACTTTTTTTTACAGCATTTTCTCTCTTTCTCGCTGTGCCAATAGCCCGTTTTTCACCGTCTTTATCCTCTTTATTTGCACAGGGTTGCACGTCTTTTAGAATGTGTTGAATCAGTATGGTTGGGTGGGGTTGGGGTGGTAATAACATGTAATAACGTTTTATCGCTTGTAATGTTGTTCACAGACTTTTGATACTACGTTGTAAACTTTCTGTGCAATGTCCAACACGCTCTTGGTGCCACGTTATGGGCTTTCTTTGCAATGTCCGCTCTTGGGGCTATGTTAAGCTTCTTTCTGAAGTACTTCCAGCCCGGTTGAAGCGGGCTAGACAGCAGTGCGAACGGTTCAGGGAAATTCGTGTCTTAGACACGGGAAAAAAACAAAAAGCCAAAGACAAAAGCGAAAAAATACCCAAAAAGAAAGAGAAAAGACAAAATGAATTGGCAAAAGCCGAATACAAATTCGCATAGCTATGCTGATAATTATGCGACTTGCAGTGACTTGCATGAAAGAAGCGCGCAAAACGAAAGAGAGCAAAAGAACTCGACCCGGGCGGTCGGCTCTAAATACCTTTTGGTTCACGCTGCTGCTGTGGCTGTGCTGCGCTGTATGCCCTACCGTTCACAACACCTGAGGAATGTCACCATTTGGTGATACTAGGCACTACAAAACTTCATCATCATCATCATCATCATCATCATCATCATCATTCCTCACCATCATCATCAGCATTTGCATCATGCTTCTTCTTCCGTTTATTCCTCTTCTTCTTCTTCTTCTTCCTCTTTTTGGCCATCCTCTTCCTCATCAGCCTCATCCTCCTCATTATCCTCATCGTCAACAGCACAATCATCATCAGCAGCATCATCAAGTTTCTTCTATTTTTCTTCAGCATATTTATTCTTCTTCTTCGCCGCCAACACCATCATCATCATCGTCATCGTCATCGTCATCGTCGTCATCATCATCATCATCACCATCGTCATCCTCCTCCTCCTCATCATCATCACCATTCTTAGCGTCACCATCATCATCATCATCAGCATCATCTTCAGATCATCCTGATCATGATCAGCATCCTCCTCATTATCATCATGCTTCTTCCTTGCTGTCATCAGCTTCATCATCAGCACCACCATCATTATCATCATCAGCAGCTTCCATACCACCACCATCAGCATTATCATCATGAGTGTTCTTCTTCTTCTTTTTCTTTGCCGTTTTCCTCATCCTCATCCTCATCATCATCATCATCATCATCATTATCATCCTTATCATCATCATCATCACCATCATCATCATCATTGTCGTCCTCATCATCATTATCATCATCATCATCATTCATAATAAACCCTAAAGGTGTCGTGGCTCTTCTTACATCAAGTGCAACAAGGTATAAACCCTAAAGGTGTCGCGGCTCTTCTTACATCAAGTGCAACAAGATACAAACTCTAAAGGTGTCATGGCTCTCCTTTCATTAAGTGCACCAAGATATAAACCTGAAAGGTGTCGTGGCTCTTATTACATCAAGCTCAACAACAAATAAACCCTAAAGGTGTCGTGGCTCTTCTTACATCAAGTGCAACAAGATATAAACCCTAAAGGTTTTGTGGCTCTCCTTACATTAAGTGCAACAAGATATAAACCCTAAAGGTGTCGTGGCTCTTCTTACATCAAGTGCAACAAAATTTGTCTCTTCTAACATCAAGTGCAACAAGATATAAACCCTAAAGGTGTCGTGGCTCTTACTACATCAAGTGCAACAAGATTTAAACCCTAAAGGTGTCGTGGCTCTTCTTACATCAAGTGCAACAAGATATAAACCCTAAAGGTGTCGTGGCTCTTCTTACATCAAGTCCAACAAGGTATAAACCCTAAAGGTGACGTGGCTCTTCTTACATCAAGTGCAACAAGATACAAACCCTAAAGGTGTCATGGCTGTCCTTTCATTAAGTGCAACAAGATATAAACCCTAAAGGTGCCGTGTCTCTTCTTACATCAAGGGCAACAAGATATAAACCCTAAAGGTGTCGTGGCACTCCTTACATCGAGTACAACGAGATATAAAGCCTAAAGGTGTCGTGGCTCTTCTTACATTAAGTGCAACAAGATATAAACCCTAAAGGTGTCGTGGCACTCGTTACATCAAGTACAACAAGATATAAACCCTAAAGGTGTCGTGGCTCTCCTTACATCAAGTACCATAACATGTAAACCCTAAAGGTGTCGTGGCTCTTCTTACATGAAGTGCAACAACATTTAAACCCTAAAGGTGTCGTGGCAGTCCTTACATCAAGTGCAACAACATATAAACCCTCAAGGTCTCGTGGCAGTCCTTACATCAAGTGCAACAAGATATAAGCCCTAAAGGTGCCGTTGCTCTTCTTACATCAAGTGCAACAAGATATAAACCCTAAAGGTGTCGTGGCTCTCCTTACATTAAGTGCAACAACAAATAAACCCTAAAGGTGTCGTGGCAGTCCTTAGATCAAGTGCAACAGCATACAAACCCTAAAGGTGTCGTGGCAGTCCTTACATCAAGTGAGACAAGATATAAACCCTAAAGGTGCCGTGTCTCTTCTTACATCAAGGGCAACAAGATATAAACCCTAAAGGTGTCGTGGCACTCCTTACATCAAGTACAACGAGATATAAAGCCTAAAGGTGTCGTGGCTCTTCTTACATTAAGTGCAACAAGATTTAAACCCTAAAGGTGTCGTGGCACTCCTTACATCAAGTACAACAAGATATAAACCCTAAAGGTGTCGTGGCAGTCCTTAGATCAAGTGCAACAACATAAAAACCTAAAGGTGTCGTGCCTCTTCTTACATCAAGTACAACAAGATATAAGCCCTAAAGGTGCCGTGGCTCTTCTAACATCAAGTGCAACAAGATATAAACCCTAAAGGTGTCGTGTCACTCCTTACATCAAGTACAACAAGATATAAACCCTAAAGGTGTCGTGGCAGTCCTTAGATAAAGTGCAACAACATAAAACCCTAAAGGTGTCGTGCCTCTTCTTACATCAAGTACAAAAAGATATAAGCCCTAAAGGTGCCGTGGCTCTTCTAACATCAAGTGCAACAAGATATAAACCCTAAAGGTGTCGTGTCACTCCTTACATCAAGTGCAACAATATATAAGCCCTAAAGGTGCCGTTGCTCTTCTTACATCAAGTACAACAAGATATAAACCCTAAAGGTGTCGTGGCAGTCCTTAGATAAAGTGCAACAACATAAAACCCTAAAGGTGTCGTGCCTCTTCTTACATCAAGTACAACAAGATATAAGCCCTAAAGGCGCCGTGGCTCTTCTAACATCAAGTGCAACAAGATATAAACCCTAAAGGTGTCGTGTCACTCCTTACATCAAGTACAACAAGATATAAACCCTAAAGGTGTCGTGGCTCTCCTTACATCAAGTACCATAACATGTAAACCCTAAAGGTGTCGTGGCTCTTCTTACATGAAGTGCAACAACATTTAAGCCCTAAAGGTGTCGTGGCAGTCCTTACATCAAGTGCAACAACATATAAACCCTCAAGGTCTCGTGGCAGTCCTTACATCAAGTGCAACAAGATATAAGCCCTAAAGGTGCCGTTGCTCTTCTTACATCAAGTGCAACAAGATATAAACCCTAAAGGTGTCGTGGCTCTTCTTACATCAAGTGCAACAAGACATCAAGTGCAACAAGATAAGAACCTCAAAGGTGTCCTGGCTCTTGTTACATGAATTGCAACAACACGTAAACCCTAAAGGTGTCGTGGCTCTTCTTACATCAAGTGCAACAAGATACAAACCCTAAAGGTGTCATGGCTGTCCTTTCATCAAGTGCAACAAGATATAAGCCCTAAAGGTGCCGTGGCTCTTCTTACATCAAGTGTAACAAGATATAAACCCTAAAGGTGTCGTGGCACTCCTTACATCAAGTCTAACAAGATATAAACCCTAAAGGTGTGGTGGCTCTTCTTAGATTAAATGCAACCAGAAATAAACCCTAAAGGTGTCGTGGCTCTTCTTACAGGAAGTGCAACAACATGTAAACCCTCAACGACATGTAAACCCTAAAGGTGTCGTGGCTCTTATTACATGAAGTGCAACAACATGTAAACCCTAAAGGTGCTGTGGCTCTTCTTACATCAAGTGCAACAAGATGTAAACCCTAAAGGTGTCGTGGCTCTTATTACATGAAGTGCAACAACATGTAAACCCTAAAGGTGTCGTGGAAGTCCTTACACCAAGTGCAACAACATATAAACCCTAAAGGTGTCGTGGCAGTCCTTACATCAAGTGCAACAACATGTAAACCCTAAAGGTGTCGTGGCAGTCCTTACATCAAGTGCAACAACATATAAATCCTAAAGGTCTCGTTGCTCTTCTTACATCAGGTACAACAAGGCTTTTGTTTCATATATTCACCTTCATTTTCTGTGGCAGGCGTGGGACCTTTTGACATCGACCTTCATTTTGCGTGGCAGGTGTGGCACTTTTGTACATCGACTGTCCTTTTACGTGGCAGGCGTGGGACTTTATGACATGGTTGAAACGAGTCAAATTCTCATACGAGGAGGTTTTTTGTGTTGGTCTCGCTTTGGAACGCGTTTTTCTTCCAAAGTCTCGCGCCTGTCAGTAAATCTGATGTGTGTGTATGGCGGGGTTTCCATGAGATGTTTTATTTTGTGTTCTAAAGTGATGCAAAATGGCTGTGTTCTAAAGTGATGCCTGAGAGTGTGTTCCAAAGTGATCCTTTTACCCCCCCCAACGGAGCGAGGGTCGATGCCATGGCGGCTTCGGCCTCGCTTCATACAATTGCTGCGCGCTGACAATGCGGCAGAGATAGTCTGATTGGCAACGAGAACCGCGTGGGCCTTGGTTGGTGTCGCCAATGGGGGCTCTGGTGCTGTGTGTTGGTTTGTTAGGTGAAGTGTTCTTTACCTCAGAAAATCACGTGTGACCTCATGTCACGAAAGGTAGCGTCAGCTACCTGAGCTCTCCGTGCTTCAGCACAATCATAGGGGGTATTGGGGGGCTAGTCCGGCCAAAACGTAGAATTCTAGGCGTTATGTATTAGATTTCAAGCATAAGGGGGGCTTGAAATGGTCATGGGTTCAATTCCCACAGGTGACGTGATCACGGGCCTCCAGAGGCACACTCTCCATACTCTCCATGAGGGAGATGTCCCTGTACTCCAGCATGATGGGCATGTTTCAGCCTCAGGAATGGTTGCTGCAAGGGCTCTTAAAAAGGGGTTTTAAGTAAACCCTTTTCGTGCATCATTTCACGCTGCACAAGACACTGTATCATGCAGCCATGCTCTGGATGGAACATCTGATTAAAAACCACTTTTTTGAACAGTGAACATTCTTTGCAATGTCCAACACCGTCTCTATGCTACGTTATGAAGTTTCTTTGCAATGGCCATCACCCTCTTTATGCTACGGTCTTACCCTTCTTTGCCATCTCCACGCTCTTTATGCTACGGTTTTAACATGTTTTAACCTTCTTTGCAATCTCCACGCTCTTGATGCTACGTTTTGAACTTTCTTTGCGATCTCCAACACGCTCTTGATGCTACGTTATGAACTTTCTGTGCGATGTCCAGCACGCTCTTGATGCTACGTTATGAACTTTCTGTGCAATGTCCGACATGCTCTTGATGCTCCGTTAAGAACTTTCTGTGCAATGTACCAGTTGGTCTGGAGACAAATTTTTGGGCCGGTCAATGCCTTCGACTTCCTGCATGCATTGAAGCGATTCCTTAAAAACTGAAGCAAAGGAGTAGGTTTTTCGATCTCCAAAAAAGGGAAGTGAACATTTGCCGGGATTTTTGTTGAAATTGGCACGAAACACCACGGCCGTCTGTCAAGCGTGGACCTAGTTAAGGTTGAGTTGCTATATCTGGACTGTTTAACTGTTTAGAGAAGGTTTTCTGTGTTTTTTTTTACTGGTTGGTATATTTAGAGGAGGATTTCTGTAAATCGGGGATGCTTAGACTTTTTTAAAGAATGTGCTAATCCAAGGTACCCTCCCACACTTGGAGATAGTGTGTGATATGTCCCTTGTTCATCCGTATAGATGCACATTCCAGAAGGTCATCCACTGGGTCCATTTTGTTGTTTTTTTCCCTAGCCGCAACCATGCTGGATTGCTTGTTGACTGATGTTATATGATGTTATATGATGTTATATGATGTTATAGATTATACTATGGGTGTGTCTGAAAATATGGTGCTCCCAAATCCAGTATCATCATTTTTCCCATTCAGAAAAGCAACAATTTGTGGAATATACAATAATATACCACATTTTCAGGTCCACACCCATATATCTGTGCTTCAGTGAGATCTTTTCAAGCTGCGTCAAACTGTGTTCACATTTTGTACCAGTCTTGCCGCCGGGACTGCTCGAGGTACCTGCAACGTTGTACAATCAGCGACACCCTGAAGCGAGTGCAACTGCGGTGATCTTCCCACAATGTCTGGGGTGCCATGGCAGCCCCCCATTGGGGGATTTCTTAAACTGGGGGATCCCCATGTCACCATAGATTTCAATCCGAAAATAGTTTAATGACTTGGATGATTTGGGTGCACCCCCGATTTGGGCAGCCTCCAAATATGTCAACATTACAGGAGAATTCAAGAACGGTATTTCTCAAGCCTGCTCCTACCTAAGCTGGTTGAACAAAATCTTTTGTCGATTATCTCCAGATTTTTCTTTGGCGATTTTGTTGGCTATCCACATCGGCAGCAGTGAGGATTTACATTTGCTCCAGCTTGATCTACCTTCTCTATGCTGCTGTGGCCCTTGCTTCGGGATGGTCCATTCCACATTCGGTGACTTGGTGGATTGGAATTAGCGGAGACTAAGGAGACCCTCTATATTTATGTGCTGTATATGTGGAAGCCAATGTCATCAGATTGAAAGGACACGGTCCCTGCTTAGCACAACAAGATTTTGTAGAGATCAGAGGGTAGATAAAGGGAGTGAAGAGGACAACATTTGCGACTGAAGAAAGCGTCTTTGCTACCCACCAGATTCCAAAAAAGAAACATAGATTGATGTTCGCGCCGACAGGAAGACCACACTGCTGCTTTCACGTGCTGCATGGAACCCAAAGAAACACACCAGTTTTTGTATGTTTTTGTCACGTCACCTAGGCCATAAGGCCGCCGTACTTCAGCGGATGCATATGGGCCGTTGGGTTTTCCTTCATGATAGCAGCTGGGACCATTTGCATGGTGCCGAATGCCATGGTTGTGGTTTCAAATCACGTGGAAAGACTGGAAAAGGCCTCGTGCAAAATTCCATGTCCATACCTGAAAGGAGCAACAAAACCATACAAAACCTCTCATGAGTCATGTACGTTTCAGTATCTTGAAGTAAAGAAGTGCCAGGACATCCATAGGAGACATCCAATTTCTATCAATTTCTCCTTGTGGGCGGTTTCAGATGTTGTTTTCCTCCGTCTTTTCCAAGTCACCCTTGATTGAGTCAGGACGCCATGAACTCTCATGCGTTCTTCTTTATGGGCTGAAACCACCCTTTTATCGCTGTTGCATCAACAGTGTAAGCCATAACTATTGCATAGATCGTTTCCACTCTTATTCTAATGGTGCCAAGGTATTTTTAACGGCTCCAAGCCTATGATTCCGACGCAATTTGTCATGGTTCCAACCTCAACATCAGAACTTGGTTCCGAAAACTCTGTTTGGCTACCTGTCTCACAGGTAACGGAAGGGGCTACCTGTCTTAAGAGGTAAGTGGAAGAGGGTATGAATATATGGATATATAATTGATATGATATATATTTATTTATTTTTTTATTTTATTTATGTATTTATATACATACGTATATTATTGACAACAATTTAAAAAAATAATGAATTACAATTAAAAACGTACAATGCCCTATAAGATATTTAATGTATCTAATGTAATTTGATTTATATACTAGATAGTGTAAAACAAAAAATATAAGAATATAATGTATAACATTGAACATACAATAAACATATAATGAACATATACACAATACATAATGTATGAGTTTTAAATAATATGTATAAACTATTTAATATGTATATAATAAGTCAGATATCACATTTAATATTTAATATCTATTGTAGTATAATGTAATATCACCACCCGAATCCACCCGTTTAAGGCTACTTTTTTAGGGGGACCATACCAAAATGTAAGATATATTTTTTGGAACCCCCCCCTTAGATGTAAAATTGGTCGCTGAACGTCCCCCAGGTGTCGTTTTTGTGGGGAGGGTCTTAAAAATACCTTCAAAATGTAGGCTTACATTTTCAAGGTCCCCCTCAAAAACACTTTGAAAAATGTAGCTTACATTTTGGGTATGTTCCCCCCCTTTAAAGCGGTGGTGATAAAATACTACCTTTAAAAAAGTAATATAGATTGTAAATGTTTATTATAAAGTACAATTTATAAACAGCAGTGTTGCACGCCGCCATGATGAGTGAGCACAGCATTGGTCTCATGAAGCAGGGCAACTACAAGATTTTGAAGGGCGCTATTACTATGGAAATTTTGGCAATGGGCTATTCTGCTCTGCACGGTGTCAAAATGCTCGTTCACACACGGCAAGCGCACGATCCCTGTGAGGTAGAGGATGCTAGCCACCCGGGTGTGCCACCATGTGCTCCCAGCATGCATGTCCTGCATTATGGCCGGGGCCATGATGACGGACGGATTAAGATCACCAATGCCCAACCTTTGAATGGCTTGCAGCCTGCGTGGGAACAGCCCGTGGCAAGTGCTGTTTTTGCCAACCAGGCAGCACAAAACCAGAATGCTTCAACCATGCCAGCCTGCCAGATGTCCCATACGAGTCATCCTGGGTGAGTTCGTCAGAACAAGAGGCCACAGGGTACATCGTCTAGCTGACCTCTTGACAACGTTCATTTCTCTGGTGCTTTATAGGAGAAGCCCGGCATCCTTTTGCGCAGAAATCCAAGGCATCCTGCAACGCAGATTGCGGAAGTCTACTCCGCTGCCCAGCTGGCTGCGGTACCTCCTTTATGATCACCTTTTCACCCAATAGGAGCAAAGGTATAGGGGCCGTCTTTGCAGATGTCGGCAAGAACACGAAAGTTTTTCATGGGCCAAGAGGTGCCATACAAACCCATCACAGCTTGCAAGCTAAGACCTCTCCAGCACACAGATTTACATGCGTCAAAACACAACATGGAGATTCCTAAAATGGGGGTACCCTAAATCATCCATTTTGATAGTTTTCGACTATAAACTATTCATTTTGGGGTACCCCCATTTTAGGAAACCCCCATATTTATGCACTTGCTCTCTTTCAATGGTTTTTGCTCAATCCTATCGCTGTTGTTGCCCCGCAGAGTTCTTCAACGGTGAATGTATCTCACAGTGTGTAAACATAATGTCAACACATCTCTTTTTCAGCCAGGAAACAAATTACCCAGCCACCCTTTGGGGGCAGGACCCATCTTCAAGGCATTGAGAACGTAGTGAGCGATGCCGCAACCGACCAATGCCCAAAGACACCAAAAATTGGAATCTTTTGCATCCAGACTTTGTGGAGGACATGGTCCGCTCCAACGGTGCGCATGTGGATTGGATCCTGCAGAGGGTCATCTCAAGAGTCATCTCGTTTTCTTGACTGACATGCCCACCGGGTTCGGCCAATGCCTTGAATGTCACATCGAAGGGCGTTTCGCCACAGACACGTATGCCTATCGCTTGGAGTTCTCTGATGAGGAGGAGGAGGAGGAGCATTTGGCTAGTCTCCATCACCTAAGTCTGGGCTTTTATGCGGTTGCTCTGCGCAAAGTGCCGCCTCATTTGGTCGTGAGCTGCAACCTCGATATTGGCACATTCATGGAAAGCTGTGTTCACAACCGTGGCAGATCGTGAGTTCCTACAAGTGGGAGAAGTCTTGCCCCAGCAGGGGCTGTTATGCGTCAGCTACCTGTTGCAGATATGCCGGCGAGCTGAGGAGCAGGAACCAAGAGGCGCGCCTCTTTTTCAATGGGGCCGCAACCGAGCTTCCAACTCCACCTCCACCACGCCCATGACCTGCAGGCACATTCCGCACAATGCATTTCAAGATTTCAGAGCAAATTTTGTTTCAACAGTTTGCCGGCCGTACCACCATGGAACATCTGTATAATGAAATGAAAATGCTGTTTATCATGATAATTCCATGAGACTATGAATAAATAAGTATATATGCATATGCATATAGTTGAATATATAGCTTAATTTAATAGAGTATGATATATCACATATATACTTTAAAATACGAAGTAGAGTACAATGTGTAGAGTAACATAGAATACTAAATCTATAATACAGTATCTAACTTGTCATTTCAGACTACAATCAATTTAGCATATGAAAAATCATATAGTACAAAATATAATATGTTTTTCTTGTATAATATTTTCAGTAGTAAGTAACACAATATGTTGTTTTATATTTAACTATATTTAATATTGTATATTATGTTTTCAAAAAACGCAATCTATACAATTCTGTCTTTCATAATGTACTAGTTTTTGTCATTTGGTTTAAACTATTTAAAATGCAATACAGTATTCATAACATGTCATATATGTTGATATTCCATGGTTTTTTGTAGTATGGTTTATTTTTCATCGGGATATGATATATATATATGATATATAATATTCAGTATGTAATACATGATGTATATATATATATATATTTATATTTACATATAAGTAAACTAAATAGTATCTGATAAACGAAATATAAATAAATAGTGGATGTTTTTGTCCCCAGAAGTGAAGCAAACAACCAGCTTAGGGCTTTCTGCTGCTGACGTGTCGTTCAGATTTGGACCGCGCATCGCTTGGGAAAATATGACAAACAAATATATACAATATACCATATATGAACATATATGCTATTTATATACATAGTATAGTATACGTATATATATCATTTGTTTTTGTCGAAAAGAATATAACATAGCATAATATAATATGATAAATTGTTTCAAAATGCCAAAATACTTGAATATAATAAAACATATTAAAAATATGCTTTATTGCAATATACAATATATAATTTATTTTAATTTGAAATAATTTAACATAAATTGATTTAATATAGTTTAATTTGATTTAATATAGATCAATACAGTATAATATAACATTATATACTGCAATATGATATATATATTTATATTTATAATTATATTTATATTTATATTTATAATTATATTTATTTAACATTGTATTGTATAATACAATCTAAATAACATACTGTAATAGAATGTGATATATTATAATGTATTGTTTTTTAAACATGAAAACACATGCTCCAATATGCCCAATTACATTTTAATACAGCATTACAATAGATAACACATACATAGAGTATACAATATACGAGTTCTGGGCCGAAACCACCAGATCCGTGAAACGAGGTGGGCATTTCAGTGCTGGGCACCTTGGCCAAAATTTTGAGTTCTACCTTTGTCAGGGAAGTAGTAAACATGGCAATATTCGGAAGATGTTTGTTACCACTTAACAACATTAATGACACATGGGAAATCTAAATGACATCCCAAGGTTTCTATTAGCAAAATTGGGGGGGTTAGAAACCATCCCTATGGTTTCCGAGGCTTTTCGATTGGCTATACGCTGGACGCTGTTGGGCCGATTGTGGTGGCCAGCATGCTGTCTATTTTTGTGCGAGCTGGCAGCACAATGAGTGGATTGGGCATGAGCCGAAGTGGTGTGCAGCCCTGTTTTTGGCCATTTGAATACAGGTAGAAAATGCTCACGGAACATATTAAAACATGTCAAACCATATTAGAATACATTAGAATATGTTTAAAAAATGAAACCTATTAGCGCAGAAATTGTCAAACCTGTTTTTTTTGACTTAACAATTTTAAGTTGTCTTGGTGCAACGTTTGGGCGTCAGGTTCAAAGAGATCAGGAAGCCTCGACAACTGATGCTGTTTGAGGCTCAGTCGACGCAAGGTGCATGATGGGATAGGGGGATCTATGCTCTTGATATTATTATCATATCAATATATATATATATCATATCATATCATATATCATATATCATATATCATATATCATATATCATGTACTCCATGATACAGTATATAGATATAGTATATAGATATAGTATAGTTTGTTTTTTTCATATTTTTCATGGATCTAGACATATCAGAGCCAGAGTGAGTTTCACGGCTGAAAAAAAAACATCAAAATGTATCAGATGTCTTGAGTCTTACGGACACGCCTTTTGAGCGGAGAGACTACAGATCACCATGCGCACATGGAACTAAGGTATTGGGGATCTTTCACTCTTCAATTTGCCGGCGTGCTCTTGATGACATTCTTCAGTGAGCACAAATAGTTGGGATGGGGACTGAAAGTCTAAGGAACACCTTGTGGTTGGGAACTGGAATACATATGTATATATATATATACATATATTATGATATACAATTCAGTCTCAGTTGTCTTACCAAAGATTTGCTGAAGTTGTTCTTGTTGTCCCAACAACCCCATTGATGCAGCAGTTTTCGGCGACTCATGGCTTGGTCATCGTTTGGGTTTGGAATTCTTTAAAGGCAGCCGAAACAGCTGCAGGATTGGTGCCCTGAGCACCCAAAGACTTGAGCTGAGCGTTTGAAGATCAAAAAGAACAATGCCTCTGAGAGAACTGCTCCATTTGAAAATCAAACGGTCAAAGATGTGGGAGATTAAACTGTGGCATTTATTGATATTTGTTGGCTAGGATTTTGATCTTGGCTATCAGCTTCTCCGGTGATCCATAGTTTATCGCATGACGCTTCGCCGCAGGTCACGCGGCAGCGGCTCAGATCGGCCGCTTGGCAGCTCCACAGAAGCCTGAGCACCCACAGACAGCAGTAAAGTCACAGAATCTTAGTGCAAAGCAAAACAAAACATCGGGTCAATTGATGTCAATTGTCCATTCAGCACCCCCTTTTTTTGGGGTGAAACACATATAGAAGGTTCATTTGCCATTGTACAGTCAATATGTGCAATAAAGTTCCACTAGGAACTCAAGTTGTATCATGGAAAATCATAACATGAAATGGTTCCACTAAATGATGTGTGCCATGGTCAAAAGTTGGATGGCCATGGATAGCTATTAAATAGGAATGGAAGTACCTTGTGGTTATTTAAGATAGCAATGGAAGATGGCCCATTTATAGATGGTTTATGATGATTTACCTATTAAATATGGTGATGCTACATAGTTACCTTATGCTACGTTAAAGTACCAGACAGTCTTATGTTGTTTAATCCCCAGTTGTAAGCTGGTTCGTAAACGCCATGAGCTAGTTCGTTATATATGAATATATATATATATATATATGCCCCACAAAGCCTAGTTAACCAAGTTATAATATGTCACAATCCCAATGTTAGGATCAAAATCCCAATCTTAGGATTAAGCTTAAGTAATCATGGTGGGATAACCAAGGCCCAAGCCGTGCTCGGCCACACTTCGCGGAGATTCTAGGCCCGGAGGTTCACGAACTGCCCCGGCAACTGCGAATGCACCCAGAGACCTGGCAGTTGGTAGAGTTACCCATCAGAAAAAAGATGAGAAAAGGGGATTTACCCATCAAACATTAGGATTTATCATGATTTATCCATGAACAATTGGGATCGAATCGAACCATCTGTTGGATTTAAGCATCAGTGATTAGGAATTAGTTACCCATCAAATGTTGACGTGCGAGTAATATCTTACCCAAACATACATCGCTCCACGCGTAGAGTTTCCAGCCTCTAAGCCACCTCCTCCTTTACACAGGAGGGACCATTGGTTGGGTTCCAGAGGCCCACTTTATTTAAGGGGGTTTGCAAATCCATTGCAGGGAGTTTTCTTGTTTTATTACGGTGCTGTTCATTCATCGCATATTAACCAGTACGATTTTTCAGATGGTCAGTGGTAATGCGCAATGGTTCTTTCACCGCTAGAACCAACTGTTGACCCTGGGAAATAACCACTTGGTGGGACAATACAACCCCAGATATGCAAAGTAGTCTAGGTTCCACTGGGGGTTTTGGTGGCTTATACAACTCTTAAAATCGCCAATCATCATTGTAACATATTCTATGTACATACTGCACGCAAGGGTTGAATGCGCAAGGGTTGAATGCGCTATTCCGCTGCTGTCTTGTGACTCAATTTAGCCATTTTGAGATTCTCAGTGGACATGTGCAGAAAATACAAACCATCCGCGGAGTCTTCAGCTTCACCAAGCACAAACTTCTTTTTTAATGGTATTTGAAACAGTGCTATGTAGTAGTATAATGTAGTATACTTGTGAGATCTTGTGAGGATGATTGAAGCACAGTTTCCGCATTTAATTAATACTAAGCTTCTGGTTGGTTCACCTCTATTCGCAGTGAGATATCGGTCACCTAGGAACTGATCGGAGAGGTTGTGGAAGTGATCAACAGCTCAAGTGAGCCTTGGAATTGAAGAGTTGAAGAAACGTTTCAACGTTTCATTGGATTTCATTGGTACAATATCTTTGGAAGATTTCATTGGATGTGTATTTTGATGTATTTTGACTATCCTTCCCTGACCAAAACCGTGAAGGTCTGACGTTCATCCTGGAAGCCAAAGTGGGATTTGCCCCTGCAACAAATGGGGATGGGTCAATCTCTTGTTTGAACATTGAAGATAGGACAACACCCAAAAGATAGGACAAAAACGTTTTCGAAGCACTTTTTGAGCCATGGGTCTTAGGATGTCTGACCGTTCTGACAGCTGGTGAAAATTCATGATGTGCCAGACTTTGGGATCAGCGGCATCGAATTGGCAGGATGGCGAGCAGACGTGGTTGCACCTCCATGAAAGCTTCGGTGCGTTGCGCTTGCGCGAATGTGATGTAAGGCGAGATGACCTCCCTAGAGGATCAAGCCTGGGCCACCTGGGCCACCTGTTGATGTGGCGACATTTCCTGCGATGTTGGACCTGTTCATTTGTTTACAATTACAAAATTTTACAAAGAATATGAAAGAAGTAATGATGATGTCATATGTTGTTATCACAATATGGGGATGGATCAAGACCTGTTGGACCAGGGGGGATGAACGTTCATAAATCCCAGCTATTGGTGGCATCAGTGTGGGAAGCAACGGGATTCCTGAACTGGTCATCTCCCTCCATGGATGACAGGCATCGTCAAGAACAACATGGCAACCAGGCTGAAAAACATCTTGGTTCACTCTGCCAGCCGTCCCTGTCCTCCAAAAAACCAACAGCTATGAGATATGTGAGGATGAATGAAGTTTAACGTTGTGGAGGAAGACGCTTTCTCATCCGTTATTCCTTTTCCCTTCCGATCCGTGTTTTTCGGTTCATAGATGTTCATAGACATGATGTGATGATCCTTGATAGCTGGTAAGCTGGTAATGGCTCAAAATCATTTGAGCCTAGATGGTACCGTGTTTTGTCTTGCAATCCATCAGTGACCAGAACCCAGTTGCCACTTGTCAGTTTCTGTTTGATCATGATACTGTCATGGCTCCATTTCTGACTACATATCTCCCCACGTTCATTCTGTTGGTTTCAAGGCAAAACTATTTCAAACATGACGGTTTTGTAGTTTACCCTTTGAATTCATAGATTGTTCATTCTTTTTCATTATTGTTCTGTATATTTTTTGCATTTTTTTTGCGATATTAGTACAGTATAGTACAGTTTGTTTCTACTTTACCCTTTGAATTCATAGATGCTTCTGTAGATTTTTTTGTTATATTGGGAAACAATGTTTCCCTAAAAAAGCACATCCTTGAGCCCTGGGATTTCCTCATCTGAGGCGTGTTTTTTTATGGAGCCCTCAGCAAGGTCGCGCTGTCGAAAGACGCCAATCCGTCGTCGCCCGCAGTGTGCTTCTTGATCCTTGGCAGCACAGGCGGACAGACAGCTGTCTGCCGGGCAAGGAGTTCGTGTACGCCTAGCATCACCGTGTTTTTTTTTTTATATCTTCCAGTTATTCAGAGGTGATATGAATATAATGATATAAATATATATTATATTATATTATATTATATATTATATTATATTATACTATATTATATTATATGTTATTACATTATATTATATTATGTTATATTTTATTATATTATACTATATTATATTTTATTTCATTACATTATATTATTATTTTATATTATATTATATTATATCATATTATATTACATGATATCATATCATATTATATTACATGATATTATATCATATTATATTATCTTAATTTATATTATATTATATATATATGTACATACATACATACTTGTATACATATATATACATATAGAGGGAGAACCTACTGCGAAGTAAAACATATGGCGCAGTGGAAGCGATGGACGGGTCATGTCACCTCAGGAATCCTGGCACTGTCCTGGAGGTGTCCGAAAAACAAGTTGTGGTTTCTTGGCAATCGGAGGCATGATGGAATCGGAGGTTACACAAAGTAACTCCTGTTTGATCTTGTATTTGCTATGCCTCAAGTGAGTGAAACTGAGTTGCCACTTAAGTTTCTATCTTGTTTGTATCTGATATCTCGAAGGGAAATTGTTCAGTTCTTCCCAGGATGGGGTGCTGCGCTTGCGTGTCCGGCGCGATTCCATGCGTGGAACGGCAGATGGCTGGGTCGGAAGCTCAATTTGCCGAAGTTTGGAGGACATCTAAGCAAGTGAGAATATCCATCTTGATTGGTTTCTGTATTACAGGGACTTATACTGCTTATACTACCTGGTCGGGGGATTTGTATCACCCTTTTTTGGGATACCATGGTTGCAGGATTTGGAGGGCATCTTGTGTTTTCGTTTTGGCTGCATCAAATGAATGATCCTGGCATGGACCCCCACATACCCCACTAGGTGTTTTTGGCTCATCCAGTCGATAGGAACCTAGGAATACTATATGTACAGTTTGACATTCACACCAATTACTTCATGAAATTGTATCGAATTTCTGATATTTCTGTTCATAAGATTTCATCAAGTACAAAGACGCTCAGGTCAGCGAGTACAAGCGACCATGTTTCGACCCACGACTTGGTGGCGCCACGCAACTTTTGCGCCTCAGGCGATGTGGAGAAGTCGTCAACTCCACATCGAACTGTAAGCATTTACAGGAGGCTGTATCCATTTATATGATATAACATGATATTGTATTATATATCATTATATATATACATATTATCAAACGCATTTTTAAAAAATGGGGACACATGCTATGCTTAACGGTGCAACTCTGGGAAGTTGTTTTTTCGTCCAAAAAAATGAAGCCTCGGCAGGGGAAGACCCAGCAGCTTGGGCAAGAAAGGTCCGTGTGGGGATGCCTGGCACCACTGGCCACTGGCTGAAAAAAACCCTCCGGGAACTCAAGATAGCTATGGAACATGGATGAAAATGGCTCATTTATGGATGAGTGAAGCCATTTATAGTTATATAGTGTATTATAAATTATTATAATGTTATAAGTTACTGTAATAAATATAAGTTTTATAGACTATTCACTTCACCTGACCGAGGTTATGCCTTCGCATGCTGAGAGGCTTGGGGACCCATGGGGACCCCGAACCTCTGAGGGCTTCATCCGGGGATTTTCTGGGTCCCCAAGTTATGTTGTAACCTGTACCTGCTACCAGACAATCAGATTGCCCATGATTTCGGACATCACAGGTCATGCAGGGTTAGATCATGTTTGGTTTGGATTTCTCTCAGATTTATTTGCCCCACATTCGACTGCATCGCAGGATATCGCAGGTCACCTGAAGCTCTCTTTGCCGAGTGCAAATTGTGGCATCGAAAATCGAGCAACGCTTCGTTGCAGCAGGGAATATGGGATGACACCAAATCATGAAAGCAAAGCTGTATCTCCCACTCGTCCAATATCATGGCGCGAATGCTAGCAATGATACAATGATACATATCATACATATTCATATATTTTATATATAGTCTATAGTGTATATTATATACTATACACATATTTGGGTAAATTATATCGACCGCACTGTAACCTCACTGCAATCATGGTTAGTATAGGGAAATATCCCCAAATGGCCTTATTTCAGGTTAGTGAAATATCATATTTTACCCAGACATAAAATTGTCCATACATGTGAAAATTGTCCATACCTGTGACATGATATACAGTAGTATATATATATATATGTATCTATATATATGCAATACAATGACGTGCTATGTATAGACAGGTGTCTTACATATTATATAGTGTAAATAATATATATATATACATACACATATTGTTATACATACATGTGACATTATATAGTACACATATATACAATTACAATACGTGCTATGTATATAGATATGTATGTGCATACATGTGCTATATGTATATGCGTGTATATGCAATCAGTATATATATATCTACATATGCATAAATATACACATGTGCTATATATATATATACAGATGCTACGTCTATAGAGTTATATATATATTTATATCCCACATAGATGCTCTATGTATACATGTAAATATATGTATACGTATGATGTAGCAGGTATACATGGTATACTATGAGTATATGTCCTGTGACAAATTTTGGGCAGGTTGATGTCCTCAGGGACCATTTGGTGCGGCGGTCGCCCATGAATTATGGTATCATAAATTCATAATTTGAATCCATAATTAAATCATAATTTGAATCCATAATTAAATCATAATGGTATGAAAATTATGGAATCATGTTAAATCCAGTGGTTTCTCCCAATTTCCCTTGTTTCAGTCATGTTCAACTGGCTTGGCTCAAAGCTGGTCCCGGCCCGGAGGATGGAGGCGCCCATGACGGTCATTGGGGAATGTTTATGTTTTTTGATGGGATAATCATGAGATAAAATATGGGAATAATATTGGAATGTAATAGTGAGAGAATTGTTTTTTTTTTTGGGTGGGTTTTGGTGATCTTTTGAGCCATTGGACACACGTATATAATTATGTGGTAAGCCCAATCATCAACCTACCATTTGGAGATGGTTTCTTATTCGGTTTATAACATTATACTGTTGTTACTGACGTACAGTATACCGTACAAGTTTTTCACTGGAAATGTTCTCCGTTTTTGCCGCGGGAATAAGGTTCAAACCCTGGTGGGACCGCCTTACTCGTACCTATAACGAGACAGGTCAAAATTGAAGACTTAGAACCGATTAAAACTCGGTGCGGCTTTGCAAAACGAGGTCAGTGATCAAAACGAAGAAGGGTTCTCACCGCCTTTTGCAGTAACCTCAAATAGTTTCCTTCGACACAATAAATGACTACATATTACACAATTATATATTGTGTTCTATAAATTTGACTACATATAGTGTCATAAATATGTTTTAAAATGTGTTTATGCTTTGTATGTTTTTTTTGCATATAAACAATACATATATAATAATACACATATATTATATATATATATGCATGTATCCACCAAAACAGTGCATGTATTGAGACATATTGAGAATGGGTCAATGATATATCATGATATATCCAAGAATCATCAGGTGGCGCTTCGACACAGAAATATGGATTTGAGAGGTTCCCAATTCGACATCAATCACTGGGAATCCCAGTGATTTATGTCGTCCCTTCTTGACCTCACTATCAATGGGTATGGGTATCATTCCACCTGGGATAGCATGGATAGCTTGAAACTGTAAAACTGGAAGCCATCGATCTATTAATTCACGTTTGTTACCCCAATGACTTGACACCCTGAAATTATGGCCAGAAATTGGGCCAGTTCAAAGAATGAAACTGCATCTGGATAAATTCGGTCCAGTAACTTGCCCACACCGCAACTGTTCAATTCCAGAAAAGAATACAAAAGTAAAATCCTGCCAATTATAGTGGCATATTGTGGCAAAGTTTGCCTTTTTCTTTTTTTTTGCGGATACTGTTTCCTCAATTAGTTTGGCCAGAAATCTTGATTAAACCCTAAGATGCGCCCCACAGGTTCCGCTTGCAGAGGAAAGTCCTCTTGTGGACGAACAGGAGGCCATGGTCGGGGACACCCCAACCTCAATGGGACGGATCAATGCCAAAAATCCAACCAGAGATGTGGCTTGGGTATGCCAAAGGATTGGATGGATTGAAAAATTGGTTGTTTCTCCAAGTTTTCCTCCAATCAGATCACAGGAGCTACCGCAAACTCAGAGCCATCGTCATGTACGACTGACAGCCATTGGGCAGTCACCTCAGAGTCTTTGAAGTGTCCAGTGGAGTCAGACAGTTGGCTACCCTCCGGCAATCAAACACGGCTTGCTGGGAAAAACCTGCATGTACTTTGATGAATGTCCCATTAAAAGCCCATCCAAATAGGAATTTAACAGATAGTATGATGGCACCGGTACCCCTAACCACCATGTCATCACTTCATTACGACCGTCACGGCCCGTTGCACCCAGGTTGCTGACGATTTCGCTCCTCTGTGGCGTTGCACTCTTGGCACCGGACCACGTGAGATCTCTCCAGGCCTTCCAGGTGCAGGGGCTCCATATTTTTGAGGAAAACCAATGGGGGTTTCTTGGGGGATCCCATGGGATTCCTCATGGGTTTCAATACGAAGTCATGGTCCATGCCAACTGCCCCAGGTGGATTGGCTATGGCGTCTCTTGGGCTTGATGACCATGGCTGAACCCGAAGATGACTGCTGGTTTCCAGGAGACGGTGAAGGTGAAGGTCGCCGCTCTAGTGAAAAAAATCACGGGTTTGCTATGGAAAATCACTGTTGTTCAAAGGTAAATATAGGTGAATCATCCATAAATGGATCATGTTCCATTAAAGAAATTGGGAATTGAGATGAGTTGACAGCCAAATGCATTTCTATGTGGATAGAACCAAGTTGAACAGGTGATTCCTCAAGTCAAATCGTAGACCCACCACAACGGACACACCAAGGGTCTGTTGAAGTATTTGGGCATGGCCCACATTTCTGATCCCTACAACCCCTTCTTGTTCCATTTGCAGCACGAAGGTTGGTAATTGTCCTTGACCTTACGTGGTTGATGATCTCCTGAAATGGTGGGGCGCCGTGAAGAATGGATCGAACAACTCTAACTCTTATGGTTAAGCCCTCCCCTTTGGCTGGCAAGCCCGCCGGTTCACTTGCTTTGAACGCCAGGAGTCTACTATACCAAACCTTCCATGATGCCAGAGACCAACGAAACAAAGGAGAAGGATATCCACGCTTGTCAGGCGCGTTGCAATACGACGAGCATCAGCTGGCTTTTTTTTGCAGCTGCAGCAGACCAGGAATGAACATATGTGGGGATTTGGAGGTCTTTGGCAACAATTTCGATACAGACACGAAGCATTTTGAAGTTGATTGTGAGCAAACTGACGGACCAAAGTTCCGAGAGTTGTTTGCTCAAGTTCTTCAGCAGCTTTAATATTTGAAACTTGCAGGAGCGGTGCATGGAAAAGTATGGCTGCCTCCATTTTACATATTGGCCAATAGCTCAGCTCTTTTAGGAAGAGAAGCAACATTGCCAGCTCTTGCGCAACCAAACCTACTATGTGCCCGCAAAGTGTCTGCAATCTTCAACCTGACATCCTACTGTTTCCGGATTCATTCGGTGGCCTTTACCAAGTATCAACGCTGAGATGTTCATTTCGGGTTGCAGTTGCATGCTTATGTTACAATATATAGCAACCCCAGAAAAGATAGAGAAGTCATCCCTTCTTTACGAGTTTTTGGCTGTTGGTCAAACAATGTGGTAAACCTATGTCTACCCAATAATAAAACTTCCAATTTTAGATGGTTTATAGATGTTTATACAACCCATTTATGCATATTTATGGCAACATTGGGTTTACCATGTTGATACTACTTATGTGGGCACGCCAATCATAAACCATCCCCAGAATCACCTTATATGGGTGCTATAAACCATACCCCAAATGGAAGCTTTGAGGCCTGATAAGAGCTGCTACTTGACCTCGAGCGTCTCCAAATTAGAGGCCAGCACTGGTTTTTTTGAAATGGGTATGGGTATAGGTTGGGTTCTAGCCCCACTAACAGTGGATATACTAACCACAGAGGGGTTATTTGGGAACATCTGGGAATGGTTAAAATCCTATGGTTGGAGCTGCCCAACTGCATGCCCAAGTACTGAAGGTTTGTGGTTGGGGCCACCTGCTTGAAATTCTTGTGATCCTTAGTGGCGACTACTGTTGACAGGCTGTCTGAAAACCAGAGGAACTGCTTAAGGCTTTTTGCATCACATGCTGAACATGTTCAAGCATGTTTTGAGATGTTTTGAGCATGTTACATGTTTGAACATGCTAAGATAGATAGTAATAAGTATACCCCCACACACACACCTTTTCATATCGTTTTATAGAGCACCTTTTCAATCCTTTTTACCCATCTTACACATGTCATTTGTGCAAAGAACATGCGCAAAGTGTACAACAAACCGACCACAAGAGACCTTGCAAAAAGAGATGGTCTGTTTGAGTTTATACCCGAAATCATCCTAGAGAGCGTTAATCAATCAAATTGATGTCGAATTTGGTATGGGAAAT